CTCTGTTCCATTTTGGTATGCCAGTAAGCTGATCCTGCACACACAATACCCTGGCGCTGGCAGCATTTCTTTTAGGTGTTGGTTTTACAAGTCAAAATGTCTGCTTGCTTTATAGGCTTTTTGGATGATCCTCAGCAGTGATTCAGCTGTAGGATTTGTTGTGTTGTCGGCAGCCCATTCCTTTCTCTTTGGCCTTTTCATTAATATTTTCAGAGAATCTACATCTATGTTGGCTTGATCACATGTTAAGACTGTCAGTGTTGATGAAGCAGTGCTGCTAGAAGCAATGGTAATTTGTAGGGCACCTGAATATAAATTACTACTAGTACTTCTTAGGGCTGTGCGATATGAATATCTATTGTTAGACGATAGAAAAACGTCTATTGTTTACAATTATGCTATGCTAATTATCGTTTATTTAGTTGTGTCGCAAATTCCACACACGTAATACTTTGGTGAGGGAAAGGTGCTTTGCACCACGGTGAAATTCGTTTTCCGTTGGAATACAAGATCTATTGAATGTCCAACATAAAACTAATTTCCAACTTGAAACTAACTTCACTGCATTCCGTTATTCCACACATGTTGGCGTTCCAGAGAAGAAATTTGCATTAAAAATAATGGACAAGCCACACAACACTATCCAGCAGTGCCAGCCATGATGTGTGAGTTGGGTAACGTTAAATGACTTGCCCATGGACACTCGGTTTACTTCATAGTTCACCAAGACATGCTTTTAGCTCCAGTCAGGGTGCAATTTGGGGGGGAGGGATTGTGTGGGATTTCCCCCTTTCTGGATTACATATCCCTGCCTCTCCTGAATCATCTCCTGAATTTATCCCATAACTACTCTTAAAACATTTAGAGAGAAAATGGATTGTCATTGTTATCATTACCTTGTCAATACTGGCCTGAAGTTCAGCCGATGCTAGCTTCGGCGGTCTGAGTTAGCCAAAGTGGGTATTTTCAAGAGTTAGTTTTTTAAATATGAAATTTCCTTTGTATTTCCCTGGACTGTGCTTTCTTACTTAGCTGTTGCTTTGGAACATACCCACTTGATTTGGGAGGTAGATGGGCACAGCTTTCATGAGTCCTCCCACCCTGTCCTCTCCAGGGGCCTGAGGCTTATCCAAGTCAGGGTCACAGTGGTAGGATGCTAAGCAAAGTAGCCCAGATGCCCCTATCAATAGCTTTGTCCCCCAGCTCTTCATGGGGATATTGGTGCCTTCCCATGCCTAATAATCATTCAAGCATGCTTTGAATTTGCCCATTTGGAATGGGTTGGCCTTGGCTGAGTCAAACCATGCAAGAGAGGATAAGCTTGTGTTCAAATTGAATTCAGCGCTGGGTTAAAACAACACAGGGAGCTGTTTTGGTGTGAGGGCGTGCGGCTTTAGGTACTGGTGAGATGTGAAATACAATCTAGTTGATCCATGAATCCATACATCTGTGAATCTGTTCACTTCTGAAAGCCAGAACACTCTATGATACTCAGAAGCAGGCTTTTGAAACTCTGGAAAATTATGCTGCAACACCTTGCCAAAGTTGCAAAACTTGAACCAGGTTGAACTTTTTTGCTGGAGTCCTCAGTTCTTGCTTCCCCACTGCATCACCAGACTGACACAATTCAAATGAATGAGATGGAGGTGTTTTGACACAGTTAAAGTTGGTCTGAAAGGGGATTAAGGCCCAAGTCTTATGACACTGCTTCCTCCAAAAAGGATGTCTGCTGGGATTATAAATTCCTCAAAGTTCTCCTTCTCTACCGTCCTACAATATCCCTAGATAAGGTCAGCAGTTCTCCTTGCATGCTGAAAATAGTCTAGGCTAACTCCTGCCCCTTTCTGCAGTTTTCTGACAGTTTACCAGAATCTTTTTTAGGCCTACAAAAGTTCTTTTCAATGGCCTCACCAACATTCTCCCATATCCAAGTTTTTACTTAATGCAACTGTGTTATCTGGCTAGTTATTAACTAGGGCTGCAACTAACGACTATCTTGATAGTCGATTTAATCTATCGATTATTGAAACGAATAATCGACTATTCCAATTATGAATTGCAAAATTACACAGTACATCTTATTTAGCTATCAGCTTTTAAATTAAACTTGAGGTTGTTTTAGGCATGTGCTAATTAACAGTCAAAACAATAAAATAAATACTGCTTTCAAAAATGCATCTTTTAATGAACGTTTCTGCTGCAGCAACAGGAAGTTCCTCTGAAAACAAGTCCTGATCTCAGCAGCTGATCTGCTCTTTAGTGACAGAGCAGTTTACTGGTGTGTAAACTGCTCCATCACTCCGTACTGCAACACACCGGGACAAACTGACACCATATACAAAGAAAGGAATATCATTATGCATTATATTTGCTGAATTTACAGGGGGGTCAATAATTATTATAAATATTTAACAATTTTATAGTAGATAAATCCATTAACTCAACAACTCACAAAACTTTTTTTTTTTTTTTTTTAAGGGAGTTTGGGGCAGATTAGCCGCCCCCTCACGCATTGACAGGAGTTTTCTCTTCTTTAGAAAGTATGAAATTGTCCTGTGTTGTCTAATCTTGCGCACTCGGCAGCAACACATTCTGCAGCTGGGAATGTCGCCATGAGCAATCGTTTATGATTGTAAAGTCTGTGTGTGTATCATAAATGTGCTACTCTCAGTGCCATTAAAAATCAATCAAATTGTGATGTCCAAATGCAAACTGTATAGAAAACATTACAGTTCATAGCGTGAAGTAACACGGCTTTAAGGTGAAGCTAGATCGCTAACTAGCTTACCGAGACAAGTCTTCATCATCCACAGAGCAACATTACGTGCCTCCTCTTCAGATGCTCCGGTGTTTCCAGGAATGCTCAGCTTTGCAGATGCTGCAGTTCATGACCTTTTTGGCTGAGTGAAGAGTGAAATGCTTCTACACTTTAACTTTACTGTATAGCAAACCTACTTTTGTAATACAAATTATGACTTAATATTCAGAATTATTCATAAACTCTCGATCGCGGGGCACCACCGGAGATTCAGTTCGCTCAGGGTCTCCGAACCCCTGAGTAATGTTTAATAATTACACAATTATTCACTAGTGATTGGGTTCTCTTATGGGGAGAATTTGATTCATAAGGGCAACTAATAAACGCAAGCTATTTGGCTATGAGTTTTAAGGATTAAAGATAATGGATTAACAAACTATTGGACATCACTGATCACATAATGCAGGGTTTTAGCCTTACTGCTTGTCGTTTCTGGTCGGCGGCCTCACGCCGTGCGTTTTTGGTTAGGACAGCTTAAAGCCGTTGGCCGGTCGCATTTTCTGCCAGGGAATTGCTCCGAAGGTCCGTCTTGGTCGGCTTATTGAAGAAAACTTGCAATGGTAGGCTTTTAACCTTGGCTCAGGTTAAAGGTCTGATTGTCCTTTGTTACTGCGGTCTGATAACTTCTAACAAACAAAACAAAAGAAAATAAAAAGCAAGTAAGTATTGGCGAAACCAAGTCATTCTCCAGGGAAAATGCACTCAGTCAGAGCTTGTGGAGATGCCTACATATGTTCATCACCTAGGCAACTCTATTAAATTATATGAAACATAGTTACTTATAAAACCAATTTTGTCAGCCCCTGTCCAGTGCTGTGCATCAAGTTAAGCAAACCTATATCTAGTTGGTAGGGGTGACAGTAATGTGTATTTGTCTGAACCATTTGGTCCAGCATGTTCAGTTCAGTATACAACTTTCTTGGTTTTGTATGCCCTGTCACCCAAACAATTACTGTGAAAACAGCCGACCAAATGTACCATTACTCGCGCGCACAGCAGAAAAATTCATGCATCTCCTGAAAAAAGTAACTACACAACGCAGCAACGTAGGCCACAAGAACTATGATTGGTCTACTTAGTTGCCTTGCATCTCCTCCAAGTTCCCAGGAAGTGCACCATGCTTTGAAGCCAATTTTATTAGTGGCCAAACAAGTGGCTGTAAAATGGTGGATACTTTCTTTTGAGCATCACAACCCACGCGGAATTACTTTTATCAGAATTTAATACATTTGGTCGATAAAATTTGAGAAGTCGCACAATTATTATTTTACCTACATTCAAGTTAGTAGAGGGCAAGACCAGAAATACAATGGAACATAGGAGCCCCACCGCCAACTACTGTTTTGGTGGTGTTATTGTAAGAGCGATACCCATGCAGCAAAATGCGAGGGTACCTGCCTTGCCATAGGTATCGGCGATACCTTTAAATCCAGTGCCCCTTCTCTGCTTTTGATTGGCTCTCACCTTCTTCCAGAAGTGAGTTTTGGGGAAAACAGGCACACACAGATAGGGATGCAGCTGACAAAAATGTTAGGTGCGCCAGTACGACCAAGTATTTTGTTTATACTACTTGACAGATTTTTGGACTAAACTGGTTGCACTCTGCAGGTGCAGAGTACAGGAGTATGTTTGTGCTAGAGGTCAGTGAGGTAGAAGCGGGGGCTAGGTTGGTGGAAGGCTTTGTAGGTGATGAGAATTTTTAACTAGATTCTTTGTTGAATGGGGAGCCAGTGGAGGGTTTGAAGGACTGGGATGATGTGATCTCTGTTGCCGGACTGGGTGAGCAGACAGGCAGCTGAGTTTTGGATGTATGGTAATTAAGGTGGCATTTGAATGACAGGGCTATCCGAAAGACAAACAAATGAGAGGTCAGAGCTGGTATCCCTACATTTACTTCCACTGTATGGGAGCATTAGGAAATTTTTTTTACAGCACTGATTAAGGTCGAGCTATATTCGGACATGCTTCAACTGAAGTCATTATGTCCGTGGACACACTTCAAACATGTAAGTTATGACAGCATCACTCAAATTTGTTCGAATGAGTCAAAAACAGGCTAGTATGCAATTTGGCAATTCCTCCTGTAAATTCTCATCCTGGGTCTGAATTATAGGGACTTGTAAAATGTTCACAATAATTAAATGAATATAGATTTCATACTTTTTGTTTGTTTGTTTTTCAGGTATCGATTTTAGATGTAACCCACATCATCCTGGCTACTCCTAGTGCTTGTATGTCCAAGAAAAGGTCAGATTTTTGTTTCTGTGTGTGTGTGTGTGTGTTTATTTTTTTGTTTTTTTTATTGTTATAATTCTATGCTTTGTGTTTTCAGGATTGGGTAAATAAGCCCTAGCTTCCAGTCCTTGAGGAGAATGGCTCATGGATGGGATTCATACTTCCATAACATTCCACCTCTATCATCAGATCCAAGCACTTTAAGAAGGACATCAGAGTCAGAGGGAAGTCTTTCCCAGCATATAGAGAACCTCGTTGGACATCATGAATTCTCCAGCACAGCTGCTTCAAATGAAGCCCCTGCAGCAAACTCAAACTTTAACACAGACTATTACTCAAATCCCAGTAATGGAAATTCTAGCTCGGACTGTGTTTATCAGAGATACTACAAGGAAACACCATGGCAAGCCGATGGAGAACAAATGGACAATGTTTACTTGCAAAGATGTGGAAATAGTGATTTTGCCGCAGATGGATTTTCGACATCGGAATCTTTTCCTTCATCTTTTGCCACAGATTTACAAGGACTTAAGCAGGACTGTGGAATGCTAGCGACATCATTTCTTGACGACTACTCAGATGTCAGTAGCTGCTCAGATGCAGATGTTGGTGAAAGAAGGCCCTCTTGTAAATTCATGGCAAGTCATTCAGTTCCAAAACCTAAAACTGATGTTACGATAAAACAAAGCTCATCTGAATGGCTTTTCACACACACTGGAAATATTACATTTCCAACTGACAGTATGTGCCCTAATATGTCAGAGACTAATATTCTTCTGCCAAGTCCATCAAATGTGAAGGCAGGAGAAAATATAGATGAATGTGCACAAGACAAGATGGAAAGTCCAAAAAACACTGTCAAATCTTACACAGGAGCCAACCAGTCCCCTTCAACTTCTAACATGGTGACAAGTACAGGGAGTGAGACTGTCGGGGATAGAAATGATTATGGTGATTGTCAAGATCAGAAACAAAAGGAGGATCTGAAGAGAAAATTCAGTCAAGGAAAATGTTCGGACACCTCAATAAGTGGCAATAAAAACTTGAGTGGTGATGGAATAGAGGAGTACCGAGATGGCGATGAGGAGGAGCAAATCACTGCAACTGCTCAAAAGATCATGACTACATTTGACAGTGAGCAAGATCACTTTGATGAAAAGGTCCCAAGAAAGAAAATGAAGAAATCATTTGACGTAGACAATGATGGATTTGATAATGCCAACTCCACAGATGGTCAAGACAGAAATATGAAAGAGGACAAGCAGGACAAAAGTGAAGTCCTAAAAAGGGAAAGAAAAGAATCGGGTTCATTAGAAATACTGATTTTTGATGAGCAGAAATGCACTGGTGGCCAAGATGAAAATGTGGAAACGGATTGTAAGGAGAAAGAAACTCAGTCAAATACCTCTCAAACTTCAGATGCACTGGGTATCAAGTCGTCAGATTGCGAAGATGCTACTCATGAGCTTAGCGCATGCACAAGTACCTTGAAAAGCAAAAGTCATGATTCTGAATCCTGTTTGCAGATATCTGAGCATCAGTCTTACGAAAGTGTAGCTCAGGACAATATTTGTGTTATGAGTGTTGGTCATTGCAGTGATGCAAGAGGCAAGAATGAGAAAAATAGTGCAAGTCAATCAGAATCGTGTTTACAGTCAAATGGCTCCTGCACAGAGTGGACTAATGGAGGAGAAAAGACACATGCCACTTCTTCTCCAGAATGTCATGGCCCTGGTGTCACTAGTGACTGTCTTTCTATTGATACTAGTGACAAGAACGTACAAGGTTGTGCTAGTCATGTAGAATCCTGCCTACTGTCAAACATCTCCAGTACAGATGCAAATATCCATCTAGAAAAGGAAATGACAAGTCCACCAAAGAAGAAAACCACATCTCATACTGATCCAAATGGTAGTGGCCCTGATGTGACTAATAAACACAGTATTTCTAATAGTTCAGAATCCTGCTTACAGTCAAACATCTCCAGCACAGACAGTACCTGTCTAGAAAAGGAAATGTCAAGTCCAGGAGAGAATCTAAATACAACCTCTGATCCACATCAGCAAAAGTCAATACATCAAAGTCCAGTGGCCCTAGAACAAGAAAATCTTAGTGGAGATGTTGCTGAAAATGCAAGAGAGTCATTTGAAGAGATGGACACACCTACAGAAGGACCACCAGTGCTTGGCATGCTGTATGGTGAACCTCTGTCAAGAGAAGACTCTTCATGTGACACTGATGAAACAAAACTTGACACAAGTCAGTATCAAGACACTTATGTGGCTGGACCTGACAGTAACGGCATGAACAGTTTAGAAAGACAAGCACCTCAACTAAAATCCTCCGTACAAATGAGAAAACGTCTGCAGCCTGTTGTAATATTGAAGACCACCGAGTCAGTAAATGGAATGAATAACTCGTATCATTGCGCAGATTGTCAGCACACAACCCACAATGTAGATCGTCTAATTGAACACCACCATTGTCGTCATTCAGTGTACAGCTTCCAGTTTTGCAAGATGTGCAATCTCTACCTGATGAGGAATAAACAAGCAGAAAAACATGTGTGTGGTGTAAGCAAAGAATGTCCTCGGCTCCCTTCTGATTCCAACCTACAAAAGAAAAGACACCGCCTCGGCCGCCACAAGTGCATTAGGTGTGGACTCTATTTTTCAAAAATATTTCAATATATCAAGCATATGCGGACTCACACTGGCAAAACACCCTATAAGTGTAATGGATGTGGATTATATTTTGCACAGAGTAGTACCCTGCAAAGACACAAGCGTATACCTGGTAGATGCAAGCAGCCAAAACCTCCAGTTACAAATTGTGATGCTGCTATGAGTGACACTAAAACACCACCACTTATGGACGTTGTACAGAACAAACCATATGCAAATTTGCCTGAATGTTATGTAAAGCTTGTTGACATCTCCAAAACCCATATGTGTAGTGTATGTGATAAAAGCTTCTCAACTGCAGAGGAGGCCAAAAAGCACTTCAACAGCATACATAGGGGAAAGAGTTTGGCAGTTTCACCACCAAGTCAGTGTACCACAAACCTCAGTGCTGAGGAAAGTCAAAAAGTAGACAATGACCCAAGAGGAAAACACAAATGTCCTCTTTGCCCACGGCTTTTCAAGTACTCATACAACAGGGCTCGGCATTTACGTGATTGTGTCAGAAATTCAATAAGTGGTGGCAGAGGGAAAATTGGCAGTAAATACCGTTGTCCCTTGTGCCACACTACCTTCACTTTACCATCCAACCGACATAGACACATTCAAACATTTTGCCTCAGAGAATGTGTTAATCGGCTTGCAAAAGAGAGTGCTAAATCAAGGCAAAATCTGGAACAGAGAAAGACAAAGGTTGAGCAGAAAACAATGTCAAAGGAAAATGAACAGAAAAAACAGCCTAAGGACATTGAACAGAGAAAACATGCACCCCCAGCTTCAACAGCCCCCAAGGTTGTACCACGTTACAAATGCAATCTGTGTCCAGCTGTTTTTTCTCATGCTTCTGGAAAGTACAGACATATGAAGAAACATGAGTTGTTTAAACTCACTGGCAAAATGTTCAGGTACAGGAATTCAGTTTTCTCTACCATGTCTAAACCAGCAACTTTAAGTAGTACAAAGACTGAAGAGAGTAAGGACAACTTAAAATCAGCTGAAGTAAATAGTGGTCGAGCAATGAGCTGTCGATTTTGTGGAAAATGTTTCAGCATCTCGCAGTCACTGAAGAAACATGAGCGCAATCACAGAGGTGAAAGACCGTACCGTTGTCTGGAATGTGGAAAAGGATTCAAGAAACGTTCCCATCTTATTGGTCATAAAATCGTTCACCAGAGGAGGATACAGTGCACTGTCTGCAGAAAGATTCTTCCAAGTATTGGAGAACTGATCCAGCACAGAAGCTCACATAATAAAAGGGGAAAGCTTCAATGCCCAGACTGCCATCTGCAGTTTGAGTATCCTGCACATCTCCTCAGGCATCTAGACACCCACAAAAATAGAGACACTAAGGCACATCAGCTTGAAGAGGGACCACCATTAAAACCACAGCAGTTCATGGAATCTGTGCAAGAGCAGAGTGGACCCAAGCAGCTACAATGTTCCTTATGCAAAGAGATATTTAATGATGCCCAAGTGCTAAGAAAACATTGTCTTACACACATATCTGGGTCCTCGTCAAACCAGTGTCCTTTTTGCAAACTTAACTTCAATAATCGCCGCTATTTGCTTCGCCACATGATCAAACATACTGGAGACAAACCCTTTTCCTGTACTAACTGTGGAAAACAGTTTTACCGTGACTTGTACCTTAAACTTCACAGTGAGAGTTGTTTGCCTGCTCAAACCAGACATCTTGTCACTATATCCAACACTACGTCAAAGGGGTCACATAGGTGTTCCTACTGTCCTCGGGTGTTTACTAAGAAAATCCGCCTGATGGATCATCACCGTGGCCACAAAATAAACTCTCTGCTTCTGTGCTCAAGATGTGGGCAGTACTTTGGATTTCGAAAATTAAATCAACATCAGAAGAACTGCGGGGGGACTACCGAGCTCAACACTGGCTCATCAGCTCCTAATGGCGATGTCAGTAAAAGCACTTCACGGACAAGCCAGAATGGCCATAAAATGCCTTTACAGTCCAATGCAACCATGATGCTTCAGTTTAAATGCACTCACTGTACACAGAGGTTCAGGTACAGATCGTTACTCTTGAGACATCTTGTTACACATACTGGTCTGCAACCCTATGCATGTATGCACTGTGGCCAGAGATATAGAAGTCGGACAGTATGTTTGCAGCATGAAGCTTTGTGTGATGGTGTTAACAATGAGGGGCAGTCAAAAGTCAAAAGTGATGCAGTAACACAATTATCAAACATGCCTAATCTCAGAGAGGTACCGCAAAAGCCCCAAGCAGAAGGTGAAGTGGAGTACAAGTGCAAATTCTGTACCAAGACCTTCATGAAATCAAGAAACCTGAGACGTCACATTTTGACACATAACGAAGTAAAGCCTTATCGCTGTAAAGCCTGTGACAGTTGCTTTTCGAGGTATGATCATCTAAAAGTACATCAGACTCGTTGCAAAGGGAAAAGAACACGATTGGAAGTCTGTATTCCCAAAATCAGTTTAGATGATGTTGGCAAGGGTTGGCAAAATAAGTTTGGCATTGAGCATGCTGAGAAGCAGGACACATTCGAGTGCAAAATCTGTTCAAGGAGCTTCTCAACTCGGTCTAAACTTTCCCGACATGACACTATGTTCCATATCACAAAATTATTCAAGTGCACACGCTGTGACTCGTCATTCGCTCATGAAAAATCGCTGAAAAAGCACAGAAAGATGAGGAGGTGCAAAAAGGTCTCCAAAGTAACAAATGCTGCTCTACCACTGGGAGCTAATCCACCCACAGAAAATGTAACAAAACCCCTTGATGGGGTGAGAAATCGTGTTCTTCAGAGAATCCAGCCTTATTTCAACAAAAAATACAAATATGTATGTAGTTATTGCCCCCGTTCTTTTGCAAACAGCTGGCAGTTGGGTGTGCACACCCGCCTGCACACAGGAGAGAAGCCCTATGCCTGTGATTACTGTGGTCAGAGATTTATAAGGAAGGATTATGTGCAGCGTCATTATGTAAAGTGCACCAAGAAACAACAGCAAAGTAAAGTGCTCTGTGACAGATGTGGAGGGTTTTTTTCTCACGCCAAGCTTGAAAATCACAAAAAAAGTTGCACTTCAACACCAAGCTTATCAAAGGCAACAGTTTGCCAACCATCAACCTCTCAAAGCCCACCGAAGGGCTTTTCTTGTGCATACTGTAGTTCCCGCTTTTTGCTGTTTTCACAGCTCCAAGAGCATTTTTTAAATGCACACAAGATGGAAACAATGGTTCCACCAGTGGCTACAGCTCCCTTACAACACCATCTGTCAAACATGCCAAACATAAAAGAAGAGCCTTTGGATGAGAGTTGTGACGAACGGTTTAGTGCTAGTGCTAATCTAATCTGTAAACTAGACACAGCTCTTGATGGCGAAGTCCCCAAACCATTTTCCTGCCCAGAGTGCAATATGTCCTTTGCAAATAAAGCTGGACTAAGTGGTCATCTGCGTGTACATGCAATGGAGTTTCCTTTTAACTGTAAAACATGCAAGAAAGGCTTCTGGAATAAAACTCTTTTCCGTAATCACTATAGGAAATGTAGATTTGGACGTATTTCAGAGAGTAATACAACCCAACAGTTGGAAGTCCCTTTAAAAGCAGAGATTGATTTTGCACTAAATGACTCTGTTTTAGTGTTCAAAGAAGGCTCCAAAACAACTGGCACTGGGGTTTTGCAGACCAATTTCTCATGCAAAGAGGACTTTATTGATGAATCCCCACAAAATTCTGAAGGAAATGAGGAAGGCAGTTCAAGTACAGAGAAGAAAACTGAGCAGTACCAATGTTCAGAATGTGATAAGAGCTTCACAGATGGCTTAATGCTCATTAGCCACCTTGAAGACCATGGAAGAGAGGAACAAGAGAAAAAGCGCAATACATGTTTTAAGTGTGGGAGGGTCTGCAGTAGTCAAGGAAGTCTTGAAAAACACATGAGAGTGCATGGAATTAATAAGAATTACTCTTGCCCCGACTGCTCCAAGATGTTTGACAACTTGTCTGACCTTGACATCCACAGAACATGTCATGACCCAAGTAGACCTTTTGCATGCAAACTGTGTAATCAAAGGTTTTGGACAAGACCGTCTTTATGTAATCATTACAGTGACGCCCATCCAGAGGATGTATTTACTTGTCGCTTCTGTAACAAAGCCTATTCAGTCAAAAAATCACTGGCAAGGCACTATAGAAAATGGCATCAAAATGAGCAGAAGGATCATGGGAGTATTGTCCAGGAAAAGAAGACAACTGAACAACAATCAAACTTTCAAGTCGCTACAACTGGTGACAGTGATGAGGATGAAAATAATGCCACTGAGGACAGCGACTCAGACTCTGCACCATACTTCCCATGCCATGTATGTGGTAAGACATTCCCAACTTCAGAAAGTCTTGAGGATCATCAGCGGTGTCACCTGGGTGAAAAACCACATGAATGTGCAGAATGTGGTAAATGTTTTTTCCAGGCAGCTCAGTTGCAGCACCATCAACGAATGCACAAGTCTGAATTTCAATGTCAGGCATGCGGCAGGGGTTTTGTCTCTCTCTTTGCACTCCGTAAACATAAGCATACTCATGGAAAGAGTCGTCCATACCGTTGTTCCAAGTGTCACCTCAGTTTCACTGGACCCTCACAGTTAGCAGAACATATGTCCACCCACCGTGAAGAGAACTTCCCATGTGACATATGCAATCGAGTGTTTCTCTCCAAGAGTAGTAGAGCTGAGCATCGGAAAAGCCACTCCAAGTCAGGTGACCGTCACCCATCTTTAACTTCAAGGGAAGGACACAAGTCGTCTTCACTTTCTGAAAGCTCATCCGTATTCCTCAAGGAACTTAAGTATCGCTGTGGTGTTTGTAGTGAGCGTTTCAAAGACCCAGAGGAGCTCTCAGAGCATGGTTGCATGGCAGCCAAAGAGCGACCATACTCGTGTTCAGCCTGCGATAAACATTTTCTGCATGCATCTCACCTGAAAAAGCACAGGATCACCCATCAACTATCATGTTCTAGCAGTGAATATCCATGTAATCAATGCAACAGTAGTTTTTCCTCTTCTCAGCACTTCCTCAGCCATCTTAAGAGTCACGTTGATACTACAGCTGAAATGAATCATAACACTGAAGGTAAAGATGGAGGTCCTTCACATGGTTTCATATGTCCAGTTTGCCATCAGTGTTTTGCCACTGCCACTGAATTGATTTGTCATTTTCCCACGCATCCTGATAGTACATTTGAATGCAAAATTTGTAAAATGACATTACCCTCTGGAAGTAAGCTTGAACATGATCGCCGTCATCTGACATCAGCTACTGAATATGAATGCACCGAGTGTGGCCAGAGCTTTTTAGGAAGCGATGCTTTCCGCCAGCACCGCTGTTCCCGTCAAGAGCACGCAGTAATGCTGACTGAATACACAAATCCATCAGCAAAGACTTCCACTCCGACTTATCATCAGACAGCAGGAGAGGAGGAGGAGATTGATGTTACCGGAGAGGACTTTTACTATTGCCCTGTTTGCTCAATGCAGTTCTCTTCAAAAAGTAGTCTCTTGGAGCATCAAAATAAACAGCATGCAAATGAGAAACCATTCAAATGTGAGCTTTGTGGAAAAACATTTGCCGTGAGGCGGTACCTTAGAGAGCACGAGCGAAGGCATCGTCTAAAATCTGCTGCTCAATCAGCCAAAAACGAGCTCCGATGTACCCAGTGCCATGCCGAATTCACTTCAACACACAATCTGTCATTGCATATGAGAATGCATGCTGAAAAAGAAGTTGGAGAGTACCGCTGTGATATGTGCTACAAGTCATTCAGCCAGTGGTCTCTTCTTAAGCAGCACCAAGAAAGTCACGTCGGCCAAGTTGTATATGAATGCACAGAATGTGACAAAGCCTTTGCTTTTCCTCACCTACTGGATGAACATCAACAGACTCATGCTGGGTCATCTCAGTAATGGTTGTTGGATACCATCCCCCTTATCTATCTCTTGAAATAACTGTATTTAAAGTAACTTGAAATCCCTTTCATGCCTTACATGTGTACCTCCACTTGTACTCACAACTTAGATCCAGTTTGTATTTTTGGCCCTTTTTGCATACTTGCAAAGCTATTGGCTCATGTCACTATGACGGGGCATCTTCTCCTGAGTTTTTATTTACATTGTATATATTTTTAGTTCTAATATTGGAATTTGTTAACCACAAATTAGCCACAGTGTTTGTAAATCCATGACAAAATTGTGTAAAGGTGTTTAATATTCTGTGTGATGAATATAGACAAAGCATGATGTTTAAGCAAAATGTTTATGGAATGTCTTAGATAGAGACTGACCTTTTTGATCACTTTTTATGTTTGACATTTATTTTGAAATACTTTTTAGTCAGTTTTTTTGACAATGTTTAAAATGGATTCAAACTGGTCGTTTTAATCTATTGGTATTTTGTATGACTATACATGTACTATAGATAATTTTGTAATTTTCAATTTAACATTTCTCAATGTTTATCATGGGTTGCATTTTTGATATTGCAAAGCATCTTGTACAGACATTTGAAAGATGTTGTAATTGAATATTCCTTTCACAACCTAAGGATGTTAGTTTCTTAAGAAATTTGAGTTGATACATTCAGTTAAGGAGTAAAGTCAACTAGAAAATCTACGTTTGGGTCATGTTTGTTTTTCTGTGTACTTTGGGGATGCTGACAGAAAGAAAGCTGTTGGCTTGTTATGAAAAGCCTCACTTCATTTAACCAAAATAGTTGATTAGAGCTAACATGATTGAAACCTGTTTTTGTGAGTCAAGCTAACAGAAGGCACATCGCTTTAAATTACAGACCTGATGAAGTGGAAGTAAGAGGAGAAACTACTTTGTATGAGGAAGGAAAATTGTGTTAGAAATACCACTGCCACAAACAAAAACAGTAAATCTTTTGTGTAATCTATATCTACAGGGTGATATACTATTATACAGATAAATTACATTAATGGAAGATATAATTGTTTCATTAGAAACGTAAAAAATGTTAAAAAATAAACAGAGTATGCCAGTTGGCGATGAAAAATGGTCTCCACATGGTGGAAGTACACAAGCGGTGTAGCAGCTCAGTGGTTAACACTGTAGAAAGTTTGTCCTGGTTTGAATCAATCAGACGTCTGGGGAGTTTCTGTGTGGAGATTTGTACGTTGTCCCTGTATTTCCATGGGTTACATCTGGTTTCCTCCTTTAGTCTAAAGACATGTAGGTCAGACAAACCTAAATCTAAACTCTGTAGTTGTCTAGCTGTATTAGCGTTGTCATACGTTGCCAGCATGTCCAGGGTGCATCCTGCTTTAACCCAATGTATGCTGGTATAGGCTTCAGTCCCTGTGACCCTAAATGGGATAAGCAGGTACAGAAAATAGATTGGTTTTCTGCCTTCATTCTCCCCAAAATACTGAACTAGATGTCAATGCCCTTTTATGCCCTTCTTTTATTTTGACTGTATGCTGTTTGAACAATTTAATGGTAATGCCCACAGTCATGATCTAAGATTATCTTCATTTGGGGTTTTCATTGCAAAAAGAATTAAATGTATTTTTCAAGTACTTTTAAAAAAAATCTTTCCAAAGCATTTTAGATTTAACACTGATATAAACCTTAGCTTTATATAACAGAATCAAGTTTACTGCCGTCTTTGTATGTTTTCACAGATTTTGCCCTGGTATATAGCTGCATTAACAATAAACATAGTAAGCACAACATATAAGATGAAAGCAAATAATGCACGTCAAGAAGCAAACAAATTCACAAAATATGACAATCTAAAACCATTGTGTACAATATTACTGTTATTTTAAGAAAAGCGCTGTACAGCTTTGTGTAAGAATGTGCAAAATATTAAACATGGAATGCACAGAAGTTCACAGTATTAAGTGTAAACAATATTTGCAATGAGCAAAATGGAATCCAAAAGATGTGTGTTAATGTAACACATTGAATAAGGTGGGTAGACTAAAGCTATGGTACACCGTTGGAGAAACTAGCAAGAAACAGAAAGAAAGTAACCATCTAAAAAGATCCTGCCACTAACCTCCCTCCAAAGCCACTCCCCCTAAAACACATTTTCATGCACAGTGAGAGCAGGGGCAGAGTGTGTATACGTAGTGAGATAGGCAGGCTTGTAAGCCAGCCAATCATTTCATCCATTCAGACCGACTGAAATGATTGGCCATGGTTATTACAGTGATGCAACAGCCACATATACTAGTTGTATTTCATTTTTGTATCAGACTATTTAATTTATTGCTGCCACGATATAAAGAAAATTTCAACAAATAAATCACAAAATACTTGGAGGGAGGGGGGGATCCGGAGGCCTTGTTGATGACGCCAGCTGCAGATAGGAAGAAACGGGGGAGTGGAGTGTCTCAGCAGTTTGTGCCCGAGGAGGGAGGGGTCGGCCACAATCTTTCCTGCACGCCCCAGGGTCCTGAAGGAGTAGAGGTCCTGGCGGGATGGCAGATTGCAGCCAATCACCTCAGCAGAGAGAATGATATGCTACAGTCTGCCCTTGTCTTTGGCAGTGGTAGCAGCGTACCAGATGGTGATGGCGGAGGTAAGGATGAACTAATAAATAGTTGCTTTCCAGAAAAGAAATATGTCATCTGAACCAATTTTATTATAAAAACAATTAATAAAAATAAAATATTATTCATATATTCTTACTTATGGCCATATTATAATAAGATGAAAGACTGCAGGGGAATAAAACACTGTTTCAGTCTGGACAGATGATCCTGCCTGAAGCACTGACTCAGCCCCACAGAGCATACCATAGCAGATTGGTTTCAGGCCATTAGTTGTCATAGTAACCGATACAGTGATCCTGGTTTCTGTAAAGGGGGCATTTCTATGAGCCCTGTTTATGGGCAAGTAAATCTGGCTGAAGAGTTGCCTTCAGTGCCAGTGATCCTCTCAACCAATCCATTAGTGCCTGCAAGTGACAGAAGTGCACAATCCTGATGCACTGGATTAGATCAGGAAACATGGACCTGAGAGCAGCCCTGTGATCTTCCCAGAAAGCAGGAAAAAGAAACCCCTCTGTTCTAAGGAAACAGAGAAACTGTCAGTTCAATTAGTGAAACGTTACCAGTTGAAGATTGACTTCTTTGCAAAATGACTTTGTGACCTCATACAGGCAGCAAAGAATGCGAAATGGAACCTCAAAAACCCTTCTGTCAGCAAGACCAGAGCAACAGCAAAAACCTGCTGATCCCGAATCAGGACCGCCACAATGTTTTTGCTAAACACGTCCGTCATCACAAGAACATTCTCTAATCCACTGCCACAGGGCTCCAGCACCATGAATTCTATACTCACTGGCCACTTTATTAGGTACACCTTGCTAGTACCAGGTTGGACCCCATTTTGCCTTCAGAACTGCCTAAATTTTTTGTGGCATGCTTTCAACAAGATGATGTAGTAGCATCACGCAGTTGCTGCAGATTTGTCAGCTGCACGTCCATGATGCTAATCTCCCCTTCCACCACTTCTAGTGACTGTGGAGGCCATTGGAGTACATTGAACTCAATGTCATGTTCAAGAAACCAGTTTGAGATAATTGGATCTTTGTGACATGGTGCATTATCTTGCTGGAAGTAGCCATCAGAAGATGGGTACACTGTGGTCATAAAGGGATGGACATTGTCAGCAGCAATACTCAGGTAGGCTGTTGCGTTTTGACAATGCTCAATTTGTATAAAGGGTCCCAAAGTGTGCCAAGAAAATATCCAGCACACCATTACACCAACACCACCAACCTGAACCGTTTATACAAGGCAGGAATCTTTCATGTTGTTTACCCCAAATTCTGACACTACCATCTGAATGTTGCAGCTGAAACAGAACAGGCAACATTTTTCCAATCTTCTATTGTCCAATATTGGTGAGTTTCTGAAATACTCAGATCAGCCCATCTGGCACCAACAACCATGCCACATTCAAAGTCACTTAAATTCCTTTCCCCATTCTGATGCTCGGTTTGAGCTTAAGCAAGTTGTCTTGACCACGTCTACATACCTAAATGCGTTGAGATGCTGCCATGTGATTGGCTAATTAGCTATTTGTGTTAACAAGCAATTGAACAGGTGTACCTAATAAAGTGGCCGGTGAGTGTATGTCCACAATCTCATTTCAAATGCCAAACAGCAAAACATCCTTCAGGAGAGGACCAGCCTACAAGGAGTGAATTTTGAGAGAGAGTTACATAGAAATACAGACACCGTCAACTGGGTCACAGGCTTTTATTGGGTCTGATACATGATATCAAATTTAAAATCAGCAGGTTGGGCATCCCATCTGTGTTCAGTGGCCCCCAGTTTGGTTGATTGGAGAGGGCTTAGCTGGTTATTACCCGTATAGACCACACACTTATGCCCCAAGAAATACTGTCATTACAACTTCATGGAACTATAATTGGTCATATTGCACACAGTGGGCCTGAGACCTGGCATATGCTACATGCCTAACAGCGCCCTCTGTCTTACCTTACCTTTGGGATAGGTAGACACCAAATAACTTAGAAAGCACACTTTTCTAATTTCACTTTCAGACTTTCCTTTTGTAGCTGGTCAAGAACCACTTCTAGCCGCTGCATGTGCTAGGAGACAGAAGAAGAGAACACAATTACGTCGTCAAGACTAAGGCGCAATGACTACTGCTTGTCCACAAACATCCTCTGCATCAACCGCTGAAAGGTGCCTCTGGCAATACACAACCCAAATGGCATCTGGTTCACCTTGAATAAGACCAAAAGGCATACAAACGCTGTTTTGGGATTATCTTTTTCAGAAACTAGGACCTGGTTATACCCACTGTTCTCCTCAATACGAGGTAAGGGTAATGCCTCCTTCCTAATCTTGCTATTAAGCAAATGGTAGTACACACACACACACACACACACACACACAAGAAGCTGGTTGACGTGAGCCTTCGCTGCTCTATACTCACTTAGATGGGGGAATATGCCTGTACCGCTTCCACACTGGAACATCATCAAGCAGGGGAATGTCGTGTGAGATTGGTGCAACCCAAGTCACCGTTATGGGCAGAAAAGACAGCTGTATTTCTACAAGAGGGGCTGAACCCCCATCTGCTCTTGTTCCACTGATATCTGTGGACATATCCCTCACCTCCACTCCACCTGGGAAAGAAATGGCAGCCACAGGAGCGGTCACAATAGCTGTAACAGGGCTTTCCACAGTGACTCTCATGGGTACACTGATCACCTGGACACTACTTGAGGTACCAAGGATAATGCGTTGGTAGAGGAGATGTACAGTTGATTTTACATTGACCACCGAGTAGTCTGTACTGCGGGCAACTTGAACAAGACATGAGGAAGCTAGCAGCCCAGCCACCGGGTATGTTCACTACTCGTGTAACTCGAAGCCAGACAGTCCCAATGGGTTTTGTTGGACACTGGGGAGTGGACCTTTGGCACTGCTGCAGAGCCTCAACAACAGAACCACAGGCCTGTGCCAAAGAAAGGCCATGGGCCCAGAAGATCTCTCGATAACACCAGTGAATAACTTTTATCCCCAAGATTCCAGCACTGCGGGGTCTTTCACTACCAGGATAACGCACCTAGGGAGCACCTTCCCACAAAATTCCACATCTCTAGATAGCAAATGTATGTTATTGCTTATCTGTTAGCCACCCGAAGCTGTCACCAGTGGCAGGTACAGAGGCAATTATGGCCCCAAGGGGCAAACTACTCCAAAAGGAAGTTCTTAAGGACCGTGGAAACTAAGAAACCTGAACCCACCCATCAAGACCTTATATTCGCACCTCTGATAGGCGCTACAGAGCACTGTACACCACAACAAACCGAGTCAGGAATAGTTTATTCCCATAAGCCATCACTCTGTTGAACAGCTGATTTGACTCACAGTGTCAGGAACATATCCTGTGCATCCACCTACCTCAAGTTCATAACACTTGCACAAAATACTTTCCAATAATTCCAGCATCCTTGCACTATGCTCCAACGCACCGTGTACATGTGTACATGTATCTATGTATGTGTATGTGTTCCTGCATATCACACCCACCTCCGATATGTACATAATTAATGATAATAATAACTTTACTCCGGCATCCTCTGCACTCTGCTCACTGCACTATTTGTCAATATGTTATGTAATATTGTTTTTGTTCTGTGTATATTTGTGCTTTCTATACTGTAGCCTATGTCTGATTTTATTATGTTGTTGTATTATTGTATGAGTAAGCACATCGTGAGCATTGTACAATCCAAAGTTAAATTCCTCGTATGTGTACACATAACTGGTGACTAAAACTAATTCTGATTCTGATACTGATTGTTTGGGCATGCCTGACTCCACCTGTAGGTGGATCACAATCTACTTGTCTGACAGGAGGCAGCATGTGAAGCTGGTAAGACCTGTCTATGACTCTCTCAGACCATCAGCACTGGTTCCCCTCAAGGCTATTCTTTCCCCTATGCTCTTCTCCCTGTACACCAACAGCTGCAACCACAAGTCCGTCAAGCTCCTGATGTTTGTGGATGACACCGTCTTCAGCGTGTTTTGGACCAGTCACTTCCTGTGTCCCATAGGTGGCGCTAGGGAACACCACTAATTATATGTTGTGTACCAGCACATGAAGTGTGGACCACACTGTGAAAATGTCATGTAAATCAAATCATTTTTTGTCACAAAAGGCTTACTTGCTGTTGCAAGTAGGTGGTGCTTCACTTCACTTCATCCTCCAGCACTTGGACTCCTCAGAAACCTATGTTGGGATCCTGTTTGTGGATTTCTGCTTTGCTTTCAACACCATCATTCCAGCTCTACTGCACGACAAGCTCTCCCAGCTGAGTGTGCCACCTGCAGGTGGATCACAAACTACTTGTCTGACAGGAGGCCCCACGTGAAGCCGGTAAAACCTGTCTATGACTCTCTCAGACCATCAGAACTGGTTCCCTCAAGGCTGTTCTTTCCCCAATGCTCTTCTCCCTGTACACCAGCAGCTGGACCTCGAGTCACCAGTCTGTCAAGCTCCTGATGTTTATGGATGACACCGTCCTCAATGGGCCTACAGGTGAGAGATTGACCATCTGGGTGAACTGGTGTAGCCAGGCAGTGGAGATAATAGTGGATTTTAGGAAGAGCCCAGCCCCACCCACCGCTAGTTGAAACTGTGGACTCCTCTCGCTTCCTGGGGACCATCATCAGCCAGGGCCTCAAGTGGGAGCGGACATCAGCTCCCTCACCTAGAAAGCCCAGCAGAGGATGTACAACCTCCTGCAGCTGAAGAAGTTCAACCTGCCAAAGACAATGATGGTGCACCTCTACACCACCATCATTGATTCCATTCTCCCTTTTTGATCACCATCTTGTACAATGCTGTCACTGCTAAGGACAAAGGCAGACTGCATTGTATAATTTGCTCCACAGCGAAGGTGACTGGCTGCAATCTCCCATCCCTCCAGCACCTCTACACCTCCAGGAATCTGAGGCGAGTAGGAAAGATTGTGGCTGACCCCTCTCACCCAGAACATAAACTGTTTCAGACACCCCTCCGGCAGGAGGCTGCGGTCCATCAGGACCAAACCCTAACGCCACAAGTACAGTTTCTTCCCAACTTCCATCTTCCCACCCCAAATCTCCCCTCCCCCCTTTTACAGTACTGTAAATGTTTGCTCATACAAATCTGATGCACATGTAAATAACTGCTATATTGCACATAGTCTTTATTATACTTTTATATTTTATGTACTTTGTCAACTTCATATTTTTATATTTATATAGGTTTATGTTTATTATTACGCACCAAGTCACAAAAGCAAATTCATTGTATCTCTAAACCTACTTGGCAAAAAAGCTTTTTAAGATAATTTTTGCAGTACTAAACATTTCTGACTGGTCAAATGCAAGCCTTGAGACTGCTACTGCAGTAGTTAATTTTCTCTTGATCTGCCTTGCAGTGGATGTTATTAAGTCTTTCCTCTATTAATTTCATAATTTTTTCTTCACCCTGCTGTTGGAGCCTGCACACCAGCTGAGCTTAGGAGACAGATCCATGGATGTGAAGCTGCACTCAAGTCATTGCAGAACCTTTCTGAATATGTTCTGCCTGTCTGTATTTGCCTGCACAGGTGTTTAAGCTGCTATTTGAAGGTCATGCTACAGGCTATTAGCAATCATGAACTTCACAGCATATCCCAACCACCCCAGTCACTCCAATCAGCTAGAATAGGGCTTTTAGTTGTGGGTGTAAGTAAGTCATTCCTTTCCAGGCCTGGAGAAGGGAGATGTACAATCTCTATTAATTTTTGTTAAATTGTTATTTGCTTCATTCTTTCAATATCAAGGAACTATCTATTTATCAGTCTGTGTGTCAAAAGCTGGCATTAGGTCATTGCATTATAAAATGTTATGTCTCATTTGAAGAGATTAAGCAACTGGTCAACAAGGGAATTAGAGAACTTAAATCACATTTTGGCTATTTATTAAGACTGGTATTACCATTATTGCCTTGTGATTGCGAGAGGGAAATGTCTGAAAGAGAAGATAGTCAGACAAATGAAGCGAACAAAGCCAAGCTGACAAAGAGAAGATATGGATGAAAATCTAACAAGTAATGTTTGAAAAATACACCATTACTTTACCCTATTATTAATGCACTTGTTTCAAATATACAATGGCTTATCCAAGAAAACAGAATTGTGACCTTTTAGTAACTTCCCAGGCTTTTCTCAAGATCAGTGTCATCCTTGCATTGTGTGCTGATTTTTCTTCAGGGTTTCCTTCTTTTATCTGAATTACAATCTAGTCAAGCCTAATAAGTGTAAATATTATTTTTTTAATGAATGCACATCCAATGCACAGGGAAAACCCAGGCAGAAATAAGAACCTGCCGCTTTTTGCCCTATAGGCAACGCAAATCAGGTTCTCTTATCCTAGCAAGCTTATGTAAATTAATATTAGTCCAGGGCCATTAGTGTTCAATTCGTATTATCATCATGTGTACCTGAATGTGTATTCAAAAATAATGACACACCAAATATCATGAGGGGGTGAAAACAATGATCTTAGACCGGTGAGGTATGGAGAAGTGACAGAGCGCCTCGCATAACCTGCAATTTCGACTGTGGCCGCAGCGCCAAATCTCGGCGCAGCCATGGCGCACAGTTCAGCGCTTCAGAAGATGCGCATGCGCAATGTGAACCAACTGTGTGTGTGTGTGTGTGTGTGCGCGTGTGTGTGTGTGTGCGTGCGGGAGAGAGAGTGATCCGTTCCGCGCCTGCTGCAGCTGCAGCTCTCAGTTGGGTGCTCTTCTTCCTGGCACAGCATCACGTTTGTTCACCATAGAGCTGAGCAGACCCGCGTTTCCCTTGAGAGTATATGGCCTCTGCACGGACAGATGTCTGCGGAGCCATTTCTTCTCTTCTGCACAGCCATTGTGGCTCCACTCTGAGGGATAACGCTAACGCTCCTTTGGCTGGTGGGTAACCTAACGCGGAGAAAAAAAGGTTGGTTATTGTGAAGAAGCTGCTCCATAGGTCATGGTAGCTAGCTTGCTAACGTTAGTTTTTCCTTTCTCCGGCCTATTTCTGGAACGTGTCCGGCCACCTCCCCCAGGTTAGCTTTCACTAGCAACCCTTCGATATAGTTGATTAAGACCTAGTTGTTATGTATGGCAGGGTCTGATGCCAAGCTAGCAAACACAGCAGATGAATGTGAAAATCTCGTTAGCCTAAGATTGGAGCTTGTAAACATGGTAACTTACTATGTGCGTGTAATATTAGTAAAACTACATCATCTGTGTTAGCAATATGGCCAGGATTAGCAAGCAAACGTAGCCTTCCAGTATTCTGTTATTTATTTTCTTAAGAAAAAAAAAAAGGTTCCGTTTGTGTCCATTGTTGTGTTTATGTCCACCTTACAGTGTGTTTGATGGCTTATTGGCTTGATGTTTAGCTCGACGTCATTTGCTTGGTCAGATATTGCAAGCCACAAATAAGGCTCTCTCCTCCTCCGTTCATGTGAACTAAAACATGTTCAAACTGACGGGTTTAAGTTTATGATGTGGTTTTGTTTTAAACTAATTAAACAACTATATACTTTTTTAATATGTGTCCCGAATAGTCAAGAGAGGGTTCCAAAATAATTTTCATCTCCAAGAAGGACTAAATGTATATCAGACTGTCAAAAGAAATTATTAGAAATTAATTTTTTTATTTAAATGTGGTACATGTGGGGACGTCAAAGAACAAGCGGTTTATGGAACAATAAATGGTAACCAAATATCAGTATGAAAACTATTATACCTAAAGTCGCCATAATTAATAGGTCTTAAGTGTTAACTTACAAACATTGGACACAGAAGGAGTGAGCAAATTGAATCATTATTTATACTATCTTCCTGTTTGGCAGGACATACTCACGATGTTCTTATAAAAATAATTAATCCAATATTTATTGATATTACTTGTTACTTTAATTTTTTTATGCAGTCAATATTTTTGTTCCAACCTTCACAATATGTTAAAGGATTGAAGTTTCCCTAGATTGCAAACAGCATTTGTTGCCTTTGCTCTCCGTCTGTCCAGTTCACTGTAACTGTCCTTCCTTTTATTCCTCCCTTTAACTATTAGAAACTGATCCACGAATATAAATCTGCAGAAAACGATGTTGAGTGGTGGTGTTGTGTGCGACGCAAATGGATTGATACATTTGATCAGATGAAAGCGTATGTGTTACCTTTGTCAAATTGCCCTTTAAGCAGAGTAAGGATAAGTTATATTAAAGACCGGAAAACTCATAATGGTTTAAAATGCCAACCTGGTATGATCTCGCACCTTGATTACACCTGGTACTGTATTTGGACAATACACTGGCAGAGAATATGACACACAATGAAATGACCATCAAATAAAAAAATACATAACCATCAAAGTTATACAAATTAATTTCACAAAAAGCATATACAGTAAGTAAAATAAAATGCAAATCAAGTATACCGCCATCCCAATTATTAGTAAAACTAATGTGTTTCATGGACGTAGGAAGGCTTGTTTCCTGCATGACTGCACATGCATGTCCAGCTAGTTGGTTTTGCTTACCAATACAGTTAAGTTTGTCATGGTTTGGCCCTGCTCAGAGGCAACATCACTGTATCACAGGTCTGCATGAGTTTTTCCCCCTGCTTTGTGGATAAAGCGTCAATGCACATGATTGTGGCGAGGCTAACGCATGCTATTCAAAGCCAGTGGAAATGGGCCGTAAATCTGCTGCAGCTGTGGGATGTGATCCCATTTCTGCAGAAAGACCTGATGGATTTGCTGACCACTGCCAGACGGGGCTGTGTGCCTTCATGTTGCAATCCAGGACATCCCTCAGGTGCTCTGTGGAGTTGGGAGCTGGGAGAAAATGCAGGAAAAGGCACTATGACTAAGCATGGCCTTTTCTTCATATTGCTTACTGGTCTAAGTTTAGGGCTCTTTGAAAGAGACTTGATTAAGCATTGTTCCAACTGGACCATGTTGGCTAAAACCCCACCTAACAATGTTTTTTATGGATGGCAAATTGTAATGTCTCCAGTGTTTCCCATACATTTATTTGTGGCAGCCCACCACAATATCAACATTGGCCGCCACATATTGATTTATCTTTTTTACTATTTAAAATGGGTAAAATTGTATTTCTTTGTAAAGAGGCACACAGCACATCATTTCACTCCGCTCCTCCTTGTCCCGCTCTGAGATAGACCAATCTGTGAATAGCCCCTCCGCTCTGTGCACACTCTGACCTGGGCTGTAGAGGTTAGCACACTGTACACAGTTGCTGGTCAATATCGACTGCTCGTGCAAGTGGATAATGTTTATTCTTTAACTCTGAATTTTTGCTCCCTCAATCCAGATAATTTCTGAAATATTTTCAAAGACTCAAAAGGGACAAGAGGTATTAGCAAAACAGCGTACATGAAAACACAAGCTGGAAAGCGGAACAGTCTGACCAGTGTGATTAACTATCCAACTAATTTGTTTCGAATATTTCCAGGCTTCAACCAGTGCTGTTGGTGCAGCTGAAGCAGCAAGAGAGGGCCAGGAAGGGATAGCTGTAGCTAATGAAGAGTGAGATGTAGGAGAGGAGGAGGACAGCAGCCAACATGCTGCGGTGGGAGAGCCAGCTAGGGCAGAAGCAACAGGTGAGATTGAAGCAGTGCAGGTCAGAAAAAAAACCCTCTCAGGAAAAAGGGGCTCATTTCTTTTGTTATTTATTTGACACACAGTGAAGCAATTTAGCTGTCGACTACTGTATTGTTATTTATTTGTCACAAAGTACTTGGTTCTTAAAATATTTGTAGTGGACCACCTTATATAGTCTATTAATTAATATTAATTAACTATTGAGCACATTGTGATTCTCACTTGGTGTCATTTTGTGTATGATTTACAGGAAACTTCCTTGCATGATCACACCACCTGGATTGCCTTGTACGTTTGGCTGCCATGATGCTTGGGTTACAGGGAAGTGCTTCGTCCTCCAAAGTGTATCGTTGTGTGGCCTGTTCAGCCACCTTCACTGGATTGGCCTCCTTACTAGTACATCAGGCAACCCACGCTAGTGCACTCTCCAAGGTCTCTGCCCCTCCACAGCCTAACATCAGCCCACATGAAACACTCTTTGCAAGTATGGACTCATCCAGTGAGCACCCCAATCCACCAACAGTCTTGATGGAGAGCTCTTCACCTTCTTTTTATATTTGTGACTGTGGAGAGGAATTTCAGGACTTTAATCTTATGCTGGAACATAAGCGTTCACATGTCTCTCAACTACAGCTACTGCAACCTCTGGAAAACAGTAGTGTTCTTTCTGGAACAGGGTGCAGTGAAGCTTTTCCCACCCAACATGTATCATTTAGTCCAACTGTAACCCAGCCGGGTTTGGTCCTTAGTTGCCCCTCTACCTCAAGGTCCCCGGCTGTCGAATTACCCACATTAACAGGCCATAAAGCAGATGCCATATTAACAAATCCTCAAGGCCAGTGTAAACCCCCTCAAGATGACAGTGAGAAACAACTTGAAAACATGTCGGCCACAGCAGAGCAAATACCAGAGACTGTAGAGGACTTACATTTTCAAGCCAAAACAAATTCGGTTCTTAGCAGCGAAAATGGTGCGAATTTTCCCAGAAATAACTTAATGAAATTGGTGGCTTCAGCATACATGAAGCGCTTTCCACTTCCTCAGTCTCAGAGTCAGAGCAATAACACAGTGACCCCTAAACAAGAAGTGTTGCCCGTTGACATAACACCAAGACCAAAAACTGAGGCGTCACCGATCAATGATCTCTCTATTGCACAGTTGAGGCGGCTGCTTGCAGCACCTGGCATAAAGACAAAAGCTCCATCTATCAGCAGAGTTCTTGAGTCCAGTAAGAAGAGGGTTGTCTCTCTGACTAAGACGTTCTCTCCTGTTGTGGTTCTTGAAACCCGTCAAAAGCTCAAGGATCCTGGCAGTAATGGCTCGTATGGGAGATATCAATGTGGCCGCTGTCGTAGGGTCTTTCAAAACTTGGACAAACTGACGGAGCATCATTTCTTGCACAAAAAAGAGAGGATTAAATGTTGCCGACGCTGCAAACAGCTGATCATTGGGCGGCTGCCTTTACCTGACAATCACGTATGCCCTCAGTTAGGAAACAAGGCCGTACAGCTTCCAAGATCTTTAAAAAACAAGTTACCGTTTGCCCAAAAAATAGTGCCATTCCATAGTCTAAGCAATACAAGAAAAGTTTTCTTTTGTCCATTGTGCAAGCACAGCTATGCGCGGAGGTGGAACCTCAAAATGCACAAGTGCCATGGCCCAGGCTCAGCCCTCTTTCGGCAGGCCAATCCATCCATTCAGAAAATGCTAATGTCAAGATCAACCAATAAAGCCAAAACGGATGCAGAGGTTAAAGCTGAATCTCACATCACCAAGAATGTTGCCGTGGGCACTGAAGTTACTGGTCGTATCAAGGTAGAGGTGACCTCTCCAAATTCAGAGCAGTCTGCAATTTCACAGTTGGCGTGGACTAATACAGCAAAAAGCTTCTCACCATTCTACCCCGAATCTTCCATGATAGAGCAGCACAAGGACGCCTCTGTGTGTGGGGCTTTGCTCCAGCAAGGAGAAAACATCAGTAGCTGGGATGCAGCAGCAGTTGACAATGAAGACAGTAATGAAGGGCAGTGGACAATGCCCTTGGATGATGAAATGGAGGTGCTCAACTGTCCAGAGAAAGCTGGTAATGATAGAGAGGTGAAGAAATCTGTGTCAGGTGAACATGCAGAGGCGGCGCCCCATACCCTGCGCTATTTTGTCAGAGATGGTGTAAAACGTTACCCTTGTAACAGGTGTCAGAAAACCTATAGTCGGCCATCAACTTTGAGGCGTCATTTACGGCTGTGTGGGTTTAGGCCACGTGGACCTCTGACTGTAGCACAGAGTGGGGGTCAGGGTGCCACACCCGTAAATGCCAACAATATGAAACCACTGTTTCCTTGCTTTGTCTGCGGGAAGACCTTTAACCGCAAAGATAACATGATGGTTCACAGACAGAAGTGTCAGTTGCAACGTACAATGACGAATGTGGATAGGGGGGCTGTGCAGCAGAATGTGTCAGGCAACGCAGCGGAATGTCAAACCCAGGAGGAGGATGGAGGAAACTGGGGCATCATGTCACTGCCCTCCGTACTTCCAAGGAGGGTGACATGTGAGTGTGGGGTCGGATTCACATCTCCAAGGCTTCTCCTGGAGCATCTGCAGAAGCATGCACAGGAATCATACACATGTCCGACATGTGGAGAGACCGTCAATTCCTGGGCAGACTACGAAGTTCATCTGCAGATCCATATGCATCCTCATCACCAGCTGCTGAAGGGACTACAACCGCAACGATCGCAGCCTCTGTTACTTCGATTTCAGCAGCAGCCGTCTCAGCCAGTGCATCAGCCTCCGCAGAAGCAGCTAGGCCCAGAGCAATTTCCAAATCCAGCAAAAAAGAAGCAACGGATTGTATGCACACGATGTGGCAACACTTTTGCCACTCGCTGTTCCCTTCGAAGGCACATATCCTGCAATCGATGCAAAGGTGGACGGTCTACAAACCCACCGACAAACCCACCCAAAACCTATCACTGTTCCCATTGTAACTCCGACTTCCCCAACACCATCAGTCTTCTTTTTCACCAGAGGAGTGGAGCTTGCAAGCCTGCCATCAAGCCTGTGCGTTGCCCTGTTTGTCTTCGCTGGTTTGGCACGGTGGACGGTTTGCAGAAACACCTACTCACTCACAAGCAGTCTGAATCATTTCGCTGTGATGTCTGTCAAGGCACATACCCAAACCTTAAATCACTCAAAAACCACCGCAGGAGGATTCATCGCATAATGGCTGGAGACACTAAGCCAAAAACACAAGAACAGCTAACTTCTTAGCTAACTTCTTAATGAGACTTTCTGAAAAATGTCTAACATGGTGCATTTAAAAACAGAGCAAATTTTATTATAGTTTTTAGCTTTACATATTTGCCAGTTGTAATTTACTTTTGTTGTTGTTTGTTTTTTTACTGTCCAGGTGTTATTTTAACATTGTACAGCCACACATGGTGTTTTTTTATTTTGTAAAGCAACTCTGAGAGTGTGTTATAGTAGCTCAACACTGTTAAAGACAAAAAAAAGCTTTGATATACTGTACACGAATCCCTTTATTACATAGCCTCATTAGCCTGTAAATGTTTTAGTATTTGGTAATCAAACTTTTATCACAGAAGTTGTGATGTAGCTTGTTGTTTCTGGTGATAATAAACATACCAGTATGTGAAATATGTACGTTACATCATTATTATTGATATTGGCATGTACTATCTTAAGGGCTTTACTGCAAAAAGTGTAGTGGCATCACAACTGGCCAAGGTTTGTGTCTAGGGCTGAACGACTTTGAAAAAGTATCTAATTGCAGTTCTTTTGACTGATAATCCCATTTTATTACAATTTGCGATATTAGAGGGAACGATCATTTTTAATTATTCTCATTTTCATTGGAAAACATTTAAATGATTATGGTGGGAATTTTTGCAATGATCTGTAACACATAAAAATGTTTTCTTATGTCTGTAGAATATGATAACAGGCCAGGACATCTCTGCAGCATGACAATATTAAATTTAAAATGGTATTTTGACACACATTTTACCTTTTGACAAATATTGCTTGATTTGAAAATTGCAGTAGGTCATATTGCAGTTTTGATTGAATGTCCAGCCCTAGTTGTCCTAGCCCTAGTACTGCAGCTAAAGCCTGGAATAAAAAAATTGCATTGTTAATATGAAAGAACTTGGTAGATATAAGTCCGAGCTGAAAGGGCCACGGGGTCAAGTATGTACATTTTTAGCTAAATGCAGCGGCATGCAAGTATCCATTTTGAAATCTGAAAACTAGACATTGACTTCAGCATTACTGTATAAATCACTAACTGAAGGTATTTTGTCTTCATGTGAGATGACCCACTGGGGAGACCAGATGAGTAATTTTGTATGTTCAGACGATTTCAGTGTGGCATTACTTCCAGAAGGATTTAATTTAGAAGTCTTCATGGTGTACATTTTGGCCTTAATTGGTTGCATTTGCCTCTAGATTATGTATGAGGAGTATGCAAACGTTTAAGTTAGGAGTGTGTAACTGGGGTGGTGATGACGCAGTGGATAAGACGCATGCCTTTGGTGTGGGTTCAATGCCCCACTGTGACACATCCACCGATGCGTCCCTGAGTAAGACACTTAACCCCTAGTTGCTCCAGAGGCGTGCGACCTCTGACATATAAAGCAATTGTAAGTCGCTTTGGATAAAAGCATCAGCTAAATGAATAAATATGAATGTAATGTAACTGCCACAGTAAGGGTAGCTCCTACCTGTTTTGAGGAGGGTCTTGTAAGTTTAAGACAATCATTATCTCAATGTTGTACTTGCATGTTGCATATTTGGGAATGCATTTAATCAAATTACAAAACAGCAAATCTGGGGCCAGTCAGTATTCCAGCATAGAAAAGGGTAACTGTACACATTGTTCAGTGTATGAAGACAAAGGGGGCTTTGTCAGAGCCCTTAGGTAAATCTAGTCATTTTCTTTATAAAAAGAAAGGTTCATAAGCCTAAAACTCTTTATGTTAGTCCTGGATTTTTGTCTTCTCATGAGTTATTCAACTGAATGGGCATTCTTTTTTTTATCATAGCTTGGACCTTTTGTTAAAGATCCTGTCATTTTCAGTCAGTCAGTGAGAGTCTTAGCCACTGTTTTTCTTTGTTGCCCTTACCCATATTACATAATATTACCACCACACAGGCATCAACAATTACCAAAGGCCTATTTGTTTTTGTAAATCAGATAGGAAAGAAAATCAAAGTGAGACAGTCTTTCCACAACCTTGGTTTTGCGATCCCAAATGCTTGTACACAAGATTGTAAGTACGTTTTAAGTGTACTGTGTATAGTGATATGTAAAAATACTTGTGATAAACAAAATTCCTGGGGATAGTCACTGTCTACTTTATGTAAGGATAGACATGTTGACTCATATGTGACTTATAAAAGAAGTAGTTCTCCACTTTTCATTTAATAGGCCATATTCAATGTAATTTATGTTTATTAAATTTAATTTTCTATCAATCTTTACGTTGACAAATTAACAGTAATAGACTCAATTTGCTGCACTCTAGGGCCCTCTGTGCTCAAGGTCCACTACTCACTTATTCAGGGGCTTCCAGCTGTTATCACACAGTCCTCTGAGGTGATACTGTTTTGTCAACTTTGGCAAAGGACTGTGCTCCAGAACAACCAAGGAAGTGGAGTCAACACTGTTTCAAAGGTCATGGTTGAAACTTTCAAGTTCATGCTAGTGTTCTTTATCGTTGTTTAATGAAGACTAAAATTAATCCACTGTGAAGTAGCGCAGTATAATGAATCTGGGACTCCAGTCGGTAGGTGTCAGTATAGGGAAACCAAACCCGGACGTGCAGCAGTGAAAGCGCGCCCTCAGTGGAAGAAGAGGTGGTTGGGTCTATCTCTGCTTCTTTGGTGTGGCTAATGGGCTAACTGCTATCTACTCGTTGAAAACACCGGCAAGTTAGCCCGATTGTGAATGTCACACTGAACGAAAATTAACAAGCTGTTTGCGGTTTGTTGCAAGGACATACCAGAATACTGACACGGTGGTACCTTCATGTCCATGTGAAGGTAAGCCAGCGTTATTGTCCATGAGCTAGTAGAGGCTAACCTTAGCTGGGTAGGCTTGTAGCTAGACATGCGCGCCTTCAACAAAATAACGTTATACGTTGTAAAACTTTACCACTAGCTAACGCATTTATACAAACATTCAGGTCTGTAAAAATAACATAGTAAAATTGCCACCCTGTTATTTGCATGGGCCATTGTACGGTATGCATTTCACAACCGATGGGCTACATGGCAGGAAATTATTTGGTAATTGAGTTCATTAACGTAGCTCGTCTCTGAAATAATGTAAAACCTTCAAAGAAAGCTGCAAGTGGTTTTGAAAAGTTAGTCGTCTCTCTTCAGCTTAGCATTCAGTTCGTTTATTGTGTGTAGCTGTTAATATAACTAGTTCCTCAGAGATGGACAGTATCCACAATGACGTAAAAGTTCATTGAATATTTTGCCATTTCAGTTATAATGTGTCTATGATTCATACTACCACCGGTCTCCAACAGGAAAGGTGTTCTAGAGGGCTCCACATCAACACATCCATGTCTACCCTGATCATGGAGAGAGGGAGGCAAAAACTGCTGAATATCCTCGAGGATGGCTTAGGCAGAGACCTGATGAACGCCGGCCGGTTTTGCTTCAGCTGTGAGCAGATATTTGCGAATCGGAAATGCCTGGAGGAACACACGTGTTCTGCTGCAAGTCACATCTGCTCCTGTGGAACAGAATTCACTGAATACAAAGACATGCTGGAGCACAGCACTACTCATGAACCAGGACATCAAGTGCTTGATCATGAAACGATAAGGAAACGCAGAATTGAGAAGCGCATGGAAGAGGAGGAGCAGCTGAAAAGACTACAGACAGGTGAGGTTGTCTGGAAGATGCCTAAATTGGACAATGTGCCATCAATTACTTTGCCAGTGAAGCCTATGGTGCAAGTACCCATTACATCAGGTCCTACGCCACCAGTTCCCATGCATATTTCACAAGTGCCTGAGTTGTATCCATCTGTGTCACAAGCGTCTTTGCTCCCAAATCCTATAACCTCTTCAACAGATATGAGTGATATTTTTGCCGGTGTAGGTGCACCAACAGTGGATCTTTGGACAATTTACCAGCCAGTCGTGTTGTTGCAAACAGTGCGCACATTTAACAAGAAAAAGCCATACACTTGCGGTAAATGTGGGCAGTGTTTCCTGACAAGGACCTCTCTCGTCTCCCACCACAGCTCTCATGTTACAGATAAGGTTTCTGGCTGTATAGGATGTGGGCTGCTGCTCTCCAGCAAGAAGTTAGTGCCTCGCTTCCATGTTTGTAACTCCCCCAACACTGCTACAAAATTCAGACTTGTCACTGCAAGACCACTGGGTAACAAGAGGCTAAATGAAGCCAGTACAAACAGGAGTCAGAATCTGAGTGCTCAGGGGTCTCCGGCTACTTCCTCTGTACAGCTGAAAAGCTGGAGTACTACTGCAGCCACTAAAGGCAGTTGGGCGCCTCACGTCACTTCCACCCTCCAGTTGAAAAATCCGCATATGAAACCATACAATAAAAGCAATCAGAGGCTTAACGTCACTCGGTCCCTGCAGTTGAAGAGTCAGAATCTCAGTGCATCCAATCGTTATGTCACTGTGGCCCATTCATCGAAGAACCAGAGTCCAGATCTCAGTGCATCCAATAAACGCAGTCATGGACTTCCTGTCGCTCCCTCCGGGCAGGTGAAGACGCCTGCAAACTGTGAGTTAGGTGTACCGAGAAAACCAACGCAGATATCCTCTTCACCAAATATGTTCACTTGTCGCGTCTGTCATATTCCTTTTGAAAGCTCTCAGCTGCTTCAGAGGCACAAGTGTGTCAAAGCACAGGAGTTTATGGCACAGCATGTGCGAGGTGGCAAACGGCATTACAAGCTCAAGAGGGTGACGCCAGTGATGAGCCCAAATCCTCCTCAGATGAATGGTGAGCGAAAACTGGGTATTCCAGCATCTGGTAACATAAAGAAAAACCAAGTCATGGCTGTGGGTCTGGACAAAGGGCAAGGGGCGGCACCTGTGAATGGGAAGACAGGAGTGGATATGGATGAAGATTGTTACATCATTGAAAGTGGACCAGACAAACCTGCTGAGATGATCTACCAAGTAACCTCATCTGTCCCTATTAAGACTTGATAAAGCTAGAGAGGCAGATATAGTTTGCATGTCACATTTTATATTAATTATGGACCAAGCACATCCAGTCTCATGGTTGAACACCATCTACTTGTTTAGGTTCATCGTGCAGGAACATACCGCTTCCTTGCTTTCTTTGAACTGCGTTAAAAGATGAAGTATGGGTGACAGCATACATGTATCTTAATTAAGATGGATATTTTTTGTCAACACAGTCCAAAATTGTCCAATATTGACTTCCCATTAGTCTAACCTCGGTGCCCCTGCAATTGTTATAGAAGATGTAAACCAATAATGTCTATTATCAAAATGTATGTGAATGGTTTACCCATGTTTGGTGGGATACCAGGTACCGTATTATAGTTGGGTTTTCTTTTTTTGACTTTTTAAATATGCTTTTAGTATGATCACAATGTGTTGTGAGGCTGTGGGACTTGGCCACAATACCTTGTGTGTTCTTACCAGCTTTGTCACTCTTTAAGGCTACAGTACAAATATGTTGTATTAAACTATATTTTCAAACTCGCTTTGTGTTTGTTCATGGGATAATGCAGCATGTTGTATTATCAATGAGGTTATTCACGTGATAAGTGGGCTGAATGTGTAGTGCTTTTAACCAGAGAACAGTGCAAATACTTAAATCGATAACAGCGTTTGATATTTAATACTTAAAAAGTTAATGGTGCCTGACAAGGGCAGTAAATGCAAGTAAATATGACAAATGTTTCAGTAAAATAAGTGATAAAATAAAAACTTTAAAATGAAGATATAGAATGAGACATGTATATATTTGTTTAACATCAAAAAGCACATTTGGCAAAAATGCCTGTGTCTTTTCAAGTCTTGTAAATACTGGTATGTTGTGAAGTGTTTGATTCGGTGGAAGTAAAAAAACAAAACAAAAAAAACGTTGATGCATCATGAACAGTTACACAAATGATTATTTAAACTGACATTCCTCCACAATGCTAGGTATGCTTATCTGCATTTTTTCAACACTCCTGTGAAATAGATTTGACAATAAGAGCAGTTTTTAAGCCTTTAACTTCAATGTCATTTAAGGACGATGCTGCGCTTTTATTATCTATATTTATTTGATGCCTTCATTTTTATTGCGTCCTTATTCTTAGTTTCTGATATTAAAAGCCTCCTTTTGTCAATGATTTTTTCGGTATTTGTTGTCTATCCTGGGGCCCTGATCTCCAGCAGAGGGGGCCATTTAAAAGGGAAAAATAAGGCGCTGCTGTGCGTCCATTTATGATGAGGTAAATATAATAGCCAAAGAGTGGATGCGGCGTTCACGTAATGTTTGTGTGCTTGTCATCTCGGAATCTGGTGTGAACATCGAAAATCAGTCATCTAACGCAGGAAGAAACAAAACACCTGCACACAAAAATAATTGGGTAGTTGATGTGAGCAAATGTGGCCCTGACTCACTCTAAAACCCGCAACGGCGGGACTGGCAGAAGTGTCGGGAAGACGCTAAAGTTAGCTTCCGATTCGCAGCTTCCGATTTGGCAGTTAAGGGGAACGTAAGGGAAAGTTAACTTACGTTGCTGAGCGACCGACGTTGCTTAGCTCTAGGTACACAGTTTGGTTTAATATGGTTTCACTCTGTAACAAACAACAAAAAATACGTAGCACTGCAAATACAGTTGATTTACTGTGATTATAAGGTTAGCATTATTGCTAACAACCTTATGCCAATAATGCCTCAACCATGGAGTGTTTTTCCGGTTGTGTCTATTCTGCCGACATTGCCTGAATGCGTAACAAGTACTGACAAAGTTTTTGCAGTAGCCCAACTTAGTGAAATCGCCCTTTATAGGAATTTCACAACAGGAATAAAGGTTTCACAAATCTGAAACTATGTTTGATTGAAACATTAGCCTCTCTGGGACAATCTAGTCCAGATTTGAGATCTGTAGGTATAGTGGTTCTGGATCTGTACCTGGTCTAATATGGTCTACATGCGAAAAAAGCATTGAAATCACCCTTTTGTCATTTTCACAACAAAATTAAGTTTTTTCAAATCTAAAAAAGTGTTTCAGACAGCGTTAAGGCTTTGCCTAAAATGCATAAAAGCTTTCACAACAGTGAGAGGTGCAAAAAACGGAGATTCATTCGGTCGCTCAGCAATATAAGTTCCCCTTAACTTTCCCCTTAACTTCCAAATCGGAAGCTAACTTCAGCGTCGTAGTGTCGGCACAGTAGTTCGTCTACCTGCAAAATTCAAGATGGTGATGTGCATCACTTTTCCAGCTTCCAAGCCTATTGTCCTTAAATGCCATATCTCCGCAATATACTACCACAAAGAACTCACGTCGTTTGTGTCGTCTTTGCCACTTTTGAAGTTACTTCTGCAAGAAGAACTCACAACCCCCACATTTCTCACAGCGCCTGAAGTATCCACTGTGTGCGCTCGGTGTGATTGACACTTTCTCGGGTCGCTTTGTGCTGGATATCGAGTGGCTCACTGCTGCAAACTGCTGTTAAAATAAGAGAAAGCCCGGTCCACATTAACAGCTCAGCTTGCAGACCAATGCATGCTTGTGAAAAAGTGCCAAGCAGCCACGTAACGACAGAGCATATGTTAGCTTCGAGCTAGCGAGTGCTAGCTAGTTGAGCAGCGGTCAGTGCATGGCTACGCAGAGACCAGTCTTGACTCTCTCCCACGCAGGCAAGCAGTTTGTGTTTACTTCTAACCATCACATCTGTAAACCTCTGTTGAGAAGTAGCATACACAAACGTCATTAATTATAAAGAAAGTCATATAAGCTGACACAGTAGTTAACGGTTTGGTTCGTGTGGCCTGTAACGTTAAATAACCGGAGCTAGCGATCTGGCCTACAGAAAGATAACGCCTAGCTAAGTTGCATTGTTAGTCATGCTGTTGGTTTAATGATGTGATATAGCGGATGCTGAAGCTGCCGGATCGGCCATACGTGTTTGAAATAAATATTAAGTGACCCTTTAGGACATGGTTATGTGTTAGTGTGTTTATGTGTAAGTAACGTTACAACAGCAGCCATTTGCTCCTGTGTGCATGAGAAAGATTCAGCATCAGATGAAGGATGCTTGTTATGTTACGGGAGATGAATGGCGAGCTGACGTTAGCAACCACTGTCTGTCCTGTTACACACATGAAATGTATACATTTACAAAACTGCAACACCATACTTTGAGTTTTGGTTCTGAGTGTGTTCTCCTGGTTCAGAAGTGTTAGCTTTAAAGTCTTTCTAACGTATAATCTGTAATGAACAGAGATGGGGTTACGTATTCAGATGCATTACTTGAGTGAAATGAGCAGTGTTGCGACGTAAAACTGCTCCTTTACAGGTTCAACCATGGATGAAGGTTTTTTTTTTTTCTAAAGTAATCCTACAGAAGTCTTTTTTTATTGTAACTTTTGTTTACATATATTAATGATGCCTTAACGTGTAAGTAGCATTTTGAAGCTGGTGGGGATGTAGTTCGTTTATATCTAGTTTATAAAACAACTGGGCAGATTATTCTGTAATGGCTCACCATAATTTCTAAAATGTGCATGTTTTTGGGAAAATGTTAATCTGTAAAGCCACAGTAAAGCCTATCTGTGACTCCTGTTAAAATAGTTGTGTAAAAAAAAATACAACATTTCTCTCTGAAATACAGTGAAGCATTAGGCAGCCTGGAGTGGAAATACTCAAATAAAGAATTGTATTTAGGCAGAGTACTTAATAGTTTACAAACTATGCAATGAAGGTTTTGAACTTTTAGTGGGAAACTTTAAAATCTTGCAAAGCATAAATCTGTTGAGGCAAGTTATAAACAGACCCAGTGATTGCTTACAGCGGGCTTCTCTCTGGTCCAGATTTGTGCCACAGTTCTCTGTTGACACCTGTGCTTGAATCACTGATGAGAAATGTTTGTGTCACATAACCAACTTAACTTGCTTGAAAGAGTTGGTGAAGAATCATAATTCAGCCAGCTACTTCCAAGTTAGTGCAACAAACAGGCATAGCATGCAGTGTATGCAGAGATGTCTCTCCTATGGAGAATGTCTGTTTGTGATTTTTCAATAATAGGTAGGCCAGTCTGTTTTAGGGATTGTGACGTGAGAGCATTTTCCTGCGGGGGTACACGTTGCTGTTTTTAGTTACAACCTCCTTGTCACTGTTTAATCCACAGACTTTTGACATGGGGAGTAAAATGTCCTTCAGCAGAGGAAGCACTGACCAAAATACAGTCTCTGAGTTAACTTCTGTGGCATCGCATCCGTGCAATTCCATTCATGCCCCTTCGGACTGCAAGCAGGTAGCTAGAAGGACAAATAGACGTTTCGCTCCAAATGTTGTGCTGTCTATTTAGGTCTGGGCAATAAAACAATAATGATAATAATTGCAATATAATTTTCCTCAATAACAATATAACATATATATATATATTTAATATATCGTCGATAAATGTTTGATTTAATTCATTTAAACCACGAACGAATCAGCACTTAATTTTTCTTTTAAGAAATTTATTTTGTTGAGGAAGGGGGACTAAAAGAAGATTTACTAATCATATTTAAAAAAAAGATTTTATCATAATTATTTTGAATGTTCTACCTCAGATTTGTGAAGTGATTGGCTGTTTGGCGTCAAGTATTTGTCATGTTCTGACCATAAATAACAGTTTAATCACACAATTAACCATCTGGCTTCTTCAATTTTAAGTCAGGAGCAAAAATCATCCTTTAAACTTGAAAGAATTAATGATTTGCGATTTACCGTGATAATTATCAATATCGAATGATATCAGATGTTTTGAAAATGAAATTTTTGGACATATTGCCCAGCCCTATGTCTATTACAGTATACAGCAAAATTTCTGGAGTATCTTCCTAGTGGAATATTTATGCTTTTTCTTTATACAAACATCAAAATTGAGGGCTTACTTAAGGACTATTGTTGTAGTGCTTTCTTTTTCTTTTGTTTGCATTTTTTGTAATGTTATTGAATAGTTCATATTATTCCAATTTTAGTGTGCAGTAAATCATTGTGTTGTGTTTATGTTGATCCTATGGCATCCAAATGAAGAGAGGGCAGTCCCTAAAGGCAGGAAATAAACTTTTTTCAGATTTTGCAATACAGTTTGATTCTACTCTATGTTTACATGCATTTTCATTAGGATGTTGTCTTCTACTGTACACCTGACTGTTGTAGAATATAACTGCATGCAGTCTAGAGATAGACAATACCATAGAACAAATTATATATTTAATTTAATTCCGTTTCAGGAGACAAAAGTACCATTAATACAATTGTGACAAATGCATTTTTTTCTTCCACAGATACCTGAAGACAAGAGATGCAGTGAGGAAGACCTGGACCCCAGGTGGGGAGAGGAAATGAAAGCAGAAGCACTGACTCAACCTGGACCTGAGTCCCGCTCATCGGAGCATCTGCCGTGTGATGGCCTTGTTAAATCTGAAATAGAAGGCGGAACGAATTGTCAACACAGTGAGCACCCATCGCCACAGGTAGAGATGGAAGCAAAGTCTCAATTGACATCAGCGAGTGTGTGCAGCTCTACAACAGACAGCCAAGGACAGCCTGTGGAGGTCCGCAGAAAACGTGGGCGCCCTCGGAAAATAAAACCGTTGCTGACTGAAGACAAAAAAGATCCAGATTCTGCTGGTCTTGATGCAGTTCAGCATAAGGAGATCAGCACGACGATACCTCTGCCAACATGCTTAGGAAACCACAACAGTGATGATGTGCCTAACGCCGTAGACGGTCCCTTAATCAATAATTCACCTCATAATGAGATGGCTGGTCCTCATACTGTCGCCGATGGTAAAGTAGAAGACAGTGTCCCCGTGCTGCCAAAAAGAAGGAGAGGAAGACCAAGAAAAACAGAAATCGCAGCTTTTAAAACTCTGGTTGCTAAGGCTGCTGCCGCCACTGCTGCTGCCGCTCCTGCTGCCGCTCCTGCTACTGCTAATAATGTAAGCGGTCCTGCACAGAGACTGAGGAGTAGAGGAGAACAGCACCCTTCAACACAGGATGGAAAGGCTGAATCTGATAGCAAGGTAGACCCCAAGCAAACTGAAATGACTACCACAGAAAGTAGTAATAAATTGAACTTTAAAGGTAATAAAAGAAGAAGGGCTAAACATGCTGATCAGCAAGTTCCAGCTAAAGTGTCCAGACTGGATGTTCCCCAGGAGGCCTCGCCAGCACTGAGCAATTATCCAGGCTATGGTGAGAAAGCAGAGGCAGAAAAGCAGGTGGAACTTAGTACTGACAAACAAGAGACAGAAACAGATGGAAAGGTCGATCAACTCTCCCCGCTGTCTGGAGAAGGAGAAGCGCAGCAGACATTCCTAAAGGAAGATGTACTACAACACAAAAAACTGTCCCCCCAGCCAGCAGCTGAGCCTGAAGTTATTCCATCTGAGGGTTTGAACAGCCTAAGCTTGGTAAGCCCTTCTCAGAGTGATGACCCTAAATTAAAACAGTCAGCCGACATGAATGGCAGTGTGGCGTCACAATCAAAAAGCAGTCTTGAATCTCCAAAGAACACAAACTCGGAGAATACAGAGCCCTCTAACGCAGATGTCGTAACATCCTCTGAACAACCACCGAAACCCATTGGGGTACCCCCTGCTGTGAAAGCTGAGAACATCGAGATAGATCTGGATCAATTAAATCCTGTGTCAGAGGTAAACAGTCCTAAATCTTATACCACCACAGTCAAATCTGAGGGTACAAACAGTTCGCGAATCGCTTTCAGGCGCAAGAAAGGCGGCAAGAGAAGGAGGAGAATAAGTACAGTTTTGTTACAGAGAGCACATGTTGGCCATGAAGGAAGCGACGACACGCAACAAAAAACAGACAGCGGTGATGTGGATAAGGATGGCAACTCAAATGCCGATGCAAATGTCACCTACACTAAAAGAGGGGGGAAAACTCTGTTGAAATGTGGTTACTGTGGTCAGACATTTAGATTTCTGTCTCAGTTCGTCATCCATCAACGCATTCATACAGGAGAAAGACCTTTCAAATGCACTGAATGCGGCAAAGGTTTTAGCAAAAATTCAAACTTAAATCTTCATCTCAAGACGCACAGAAAGAGCAACCTATATCAGAAATGTCCATTTTGCAAAATCAAATTCTCCTGCTCAGAGTATGCCTCTCACATGAAGATGCATGCAGATGTGCTGGACCAGGACTCTGCGAGCAACAAGTCTGAAAAACACAGCAGAGGGAACAACAATGGAAACATCCCTGGGCTTCATAGACCGGTTCCCCCAGAAAAAAGAGAAAGAAAGGTGTGCCAGTACTGTGGTAAGACATTCCCGTTTCAGTCTGCCCTCATAAGACACGTGCGTGTCCACACAGGAGAGAAGCCTTATAAATGCGATATATGCGGCAAAGCTTTTGGTCAGGCCTATTTCCTTCGTGTTCATGAGCTGACGCACTGGTCTGTGAAGCGTTACAACTGCACACGTTGTGAGAAATCATTCACTCATTATAGCAATGCAAAAAACCACACCTGTAGACCGTCGGGAAGTGGTGACGATTTACAACCCAACAGACGCGTGAAGCCTTCGCTGACGTACACGTGCCACATCTGCAAGAATGTTTTTGACCACCTGCAGGAGTTCAACAGCCACATGAAAGCCCACACCGGCGCGAAGCTTTATCGCTGCTTGTATTGTGACAAGCTGTTCGGTGTGCTGTCTGAATTTAACTCCCATCGCAGTCAGTGCAGAGGAGAGAAAAACGCCTCCAGCTCTGCCATAAAAGAGGAAGGGACAATGTCATTAATAAATTACACAGTGCCTGCACTTAGGTGTTCAACAGGACACAATTCAGCTCCTCTCGCAGCTGCAAATTGTGAAACACCGAAAAAACAATCACAGACCGGCCGTAAGAAACGCTCTGCTAAGAAACCGTTCCAGTCAACAGTCATACCAGCTCACCACCTCTCGCACCTCGTGTCAAAGTTAAACAAACTAGATAGCCGCACAGACCCCAGGAAATATTTATGTCCGGGCTGTGGGCGACTGTTCAGACACATGGGGAGACTCCGAGCTCACATGCTCACTCATGCCCCGGGTCAAAGTTACACCTGTGCTTGTTGCGGTAAGACTCTAGAAAACTGGAAGAAACTGTGGCATCACCAGAGAATCCATCGACAGAGACGCGGCCGCTTCACGTGCGCTCAGTGCGGGCAAGGCTTTCGGTTTGTGGAGCTGTACAAGAAGCACATGAGCGAGCACCCGGAGTTCCAGTGGATTCAAGTCAGGCCCAAGAAATCGTTTCTGCCTTATCAATGTGAGCAGTGCAGATGCAGTTTTAAGACTCTAGATTTGCTGTTCAGTCACCAGCTTTGCCATTCCTCAACGCAAGACATGCACAAGGACTCTGATTTTGACTTATCCGTAGATGATCACAATACACAGTCTAACAAGAAAATGTTTAGCCCTCCCACAAACAACCACATGGCTATGTTTCATCCAGAACCTGAGGAAAACAAGTCTCCTCCGAGCCCTTTATCCAAATACCCAGACCCAGTTCGTCAAGAGTCGCCTCTAGTTCCCATGACTTCCTATGTCCAAAATCAGGAACTTGATTTAGATAAAACTTCCCAGCGTCCAAGCAGCACACATTTGATCCAAGATAGAGAGACCAGCGGTGACAGAAAAGATGAAAATACACTTGGAAAACCCATTACCCCTCTGAGAACTGTGAAAAGACACGTGAGCCAAAATGGCAGGAAATCAAATGAAGGGTCTACAGATGGTGTGAAGTGTGCTGTGTGTGGTAATGCGTATCCTGCCATTTCAGACCTTTATCACCATTATTTACAGCATGCCAGAGGCCAGGTGTAATAACCTCACTGGACATTCAGCGGCCCTTCTGTATTTACATCAACTATTTTTTACATTGTTTAACACAGGGCTCCTGTAGTCCTAGATTAGAAAATGTAGAAATGTCGTCTGTTGGAAAGGTTAGGGGAACGGAAATGCCTCTGAAAGGATTTTTGAAGATTTGTTCACTTTCATGTGTTCATGTACCTGTCATGCCTGTCCGTTTTCAGATTTTAAGAATATAACGCTGAATGTACAAAATAATACGGGACGCTTTCTGTTTTCATGAAGAAGCCACTAATCTTTCTTTAGTTTCTAGAATTATATTTGTGTCCATCAGAAAGAACAGATAGAACATTTTAAATTTGACACATTTGGATTGTGCCAAAGACGCCCCAAACATGTTATACATTCAGTGCATTGACGCCCAGCCAGAAGCAGCCCTGGCACAATGTAATCAGCTGTTCAGTGAGCATTTGAAAACAGAAAAGGTGCTGAATGTCTATGAAAAATAAGGGGTGGTTAAAAACTTTTATACTCAGAAATAATGTTTGCCATGTAACCTCCCAGCATATTTATGTTCCCCGCACATCCAGCACAAGACAAAATCACTAAGTGATCAGAGAAGGTGGAGGTCACACTGAATTCATTTACAAACTCCTTGTTGCTGTTTGGTTTGGCAGACCTGACAAAGAACGTCTGCGCATACTTTTCATTTTATAACACATTGTCAATGAACAATGATCAATTAATTGAATAGTAGCTGTATAGTTTTACACATTTCAAACATTGTCACCTCATCCTGACACATAGATTCACTGTGACCACTGTGAACTTTAATATCAAATGTGTGCATTTCAAATCACGCAGGTCTTTTCTTGGCTTATACAAGTGAAACTGTTACTCAAAAGTGTTGTGCTGATTTCACTGAAATCAAGCGATGCTAAATCTTTTTAGAAAAATACACTGACAAACGCACATTCCACACCTGAAAAACCAAGTGCAGCAGGAGTGTTGTTCAACATCCATTTGTGTTTACTGCTTTTGAAAAACTACATTTTCATGCTTCGGTGTCTCGCTTGATTTTGTTGGAATCATGAAAAAAAATAAACATAAATGGACACTTTGCTTTGCTGTATTTGATTTTATGTTATAGTTTGTCTTAAAACCAATAAAAGTCCATTTTGTATTGATGTGTGATCATGTCATGTCATTTTTAACCTGTACTCCAGCTTTAAGAGGACATCCTTAAATCTAGAAACATTTCTACTGGTGATATGATGCTGAAGGTTATGACTCAAAGATCCTTTTAACATTGAACAAGAGATGTAATCAAAGAAGACAAAGAGATGAGGTATCTTGGGAGAGTTCTGTTTAGTTAAGGGATATACAATTTACTGTCCCAAAACAAATGACTTTGAATTGACTTTAGTAGGAGGACATGGTGTTGCGAATCCAGCTGACGTAGTTGCAGACCTTGGCGTAGACTCCGGGCTTGTTCCTCTGGGCGCAGCCATAACCCCAGGACACAACACCCTGCAGCTGACCGTTGCACACCACGGGGCCACCAGAGTCTCCCTGAAAGGACACGGATAGAAAGGACAACAGGTGAGCAGAGGAGTCCTGAAGTTTGGTGTGTCGACTTTAACAAACAGTGATTATGGCTTCAGCTCGTACCTGGCAGGAGTCCTTGCCTCCCTCGAGGAATCCAGCACAGAACATGTTGACGGTGATCTGTCCAGGGTAGGCGTTCTTGCAGCTGCTGTCGCTCAGGATGGGGGCATCCAGGCACCTCAGACGATCAGGATAACTGCCTAGAGAGGAAGAAACACAATACATGTTGATGTTCATACCCCGACATGTACCAAAAATATTTTCCTATTTGCAGTATTTTACTGACTTCCAGAGCTGCTGGTGTTGCCCCATCCAGAGATCAGACAGCGGGTGCCAGCGCTGGCACAGCTGGAGGGCAGGGGCACGGTGCGGACGTAGCTGTTCAGTTTGGCGGGCCTGCTCAACTTGATCAGCATGATGTCATTGTCCAGGTTGCCGCTGTTGTACTTGGGGTTACGGATGACCGTGGCAGAGTCGATGATCTGCTCTGTGCCCTCATTGACAGCAATGTTGTGCTCACCAAGACGCACCTGGATGCGGCTGCAGGGAGAGGAAAGAGGGTTAAATTACATGTAAGTAATGAGGCGTTTGATATGCCTGTTTAGAGTGCGTATGTCTGCTAATAATGTCTGCACGTACGACTTGTAGCAGTGAGCAGCAGACACCACCCAGGTGCTGGAGATCAGGGAGCCTCCACAGAAGTGGTATCCAGCGTTCAGAGAGACCTGATAGGCCACAGAGTTCTTTCCGCACTCGTAGCCTCCAACAATCTTGTCACCCTCATCGTCAATGGGAGCAGCATCTGACAGGAGTAGAGAATTTAGCAGAATTTCTGTATTGCAGCACAGTCATTTTCAAAGAAATCTTAAAGTAAATAACCTGTCAGTCCTACCCTGTCACAAAGACAGACAAAATGACTATTATAAATACTGACATGCCACTGCGAACAGAGCCAGAAGAATGAAAGTCTTCATGATGGGTTCGGTCTGAGCCTCGATGTCAGCTCTGTGCACTGCATGCCCTTTTGTACCCACTCTGCCACTCTGTTATCTGAATGGCCAAGGACATGTATTTCCATTTTTACCTTCATGTTGTTGAGTAACGGGTGTGTGTGTGAAAAGACATCTGGAAGACAAGGGCCAACTTATTGATGACGCAAGCTTAAGGCCCACCACTGATCACATACACTGTTCATGAAAGCTATGTTCTTCTGGATTTGTTTGAGATTATTGTAGGAGTTGAAAGGATGTGGTGTTGCGTTTTATACTATCCTTAAAATCCCTGGTTATCTTTCAATGAAATAAAGGCTACATTACATTACTGCTACACATTACTTGTTGTCATGTGCAAAACATACCATCATCTGGAGAAAAACACAATAACCTTCATTTAAACAGTGTCTGTAAGCTGTCTGCATTTCATTTCTAGTGTTTATATTTTCACCTACAAGTCCAGTTAAAGATAATTATTTTCCTGCCTGTCTCCTGTTGGTACTTCTGGTTAAAACCCTGAGTCATAAAACATTAACTAAAAAACAAGATAAAAACTAGTGTAAAATTGTCAAAGTGATTATTTGAATGCAGTCTATTTGCACTGTTGAACACTTTTTTCTGTGCAATTACTGCCGCACATTGTCTATGTATCAGTACTGCAGTGATATTTAGTTAATTCCTAGATATTTAAAAGGGGGGACAATACTTGCCCTCAAGTATTCCCAGTGGTGAAAGAAGTATACAAATCCTGTTCTTGTGAAAAAGTGCAGATACCCTTGCTAAATATCACTCCACTAAAAGTACAAGTTTTCAATTTAAATTTCCACTTGAGTCAAAATACAAAAGTACCTGCTTTTAAAAATACTTAACTATAAAAAGTAAAAAGTACTGTTAATATGGTTATGCTTGTCAGGGGATGCTGACATGACAATCACAATTTAAAAACAATCATCAAAATGGTTGGCAATTAAATTTCTGTCAATCAACTAATTCCTTTAGCTCTATTTGTATAAACTTATGGGTAGTTTAATGTATTTCAAAACATCATAAGTTATACCTCTTCACATGTTTTGTGTGTAACTAAAGCTGTCAGATAAATGTAGTGAAGTAAAAAGTAAGAGTTTCCCCTGTGAAATGTAGTGGAGTAGAAGTAGAAAGTTGCTTGAAAATAAAATACTCAAGTAAAGTACAAATAGCTCTAATTTGTATTTAGGTACAGTACTTGAGTACATGTACTTAGTTTCTGTCCACCACTGAGTATTTCTCTTGAATTGTTTGCCATACTATGTTTTTTTTTTTTATCGATTTGGATGTTGTGATGGCACAAACAGAATCTTAATGCAAAATGAAATATTTCCAGACAGTATTTATCTTCTTTTGTCACACTGGTGAACAGAAGCAAACACATGCATATATAGGCCTATAGCAGGATAAAATGAAAATGAAATATCCAGTGCATGATGAAATAAACAGTATTTCTCATCCAAAGAGACTTAGTAACCTTAAATTGGTAGATATGCTGTATCTTTACTGATTTGAGCAACATGCAGTAAGATGTACTTATATTGATCAAGTAAGACATCTTGAATATTCATTCTCTCAAAATCCCTCTAATTCCACAACGTTTGGTACAATCCTAAAATGTATTGTGTATGTATGATGGGACACACTGAACTCTGCCTCTTGAGCACAGAAACACATATATCTTTTTCAGTTTTATTTTTTGAGGTATTTTATCTCAAATATTGGTGAAATGTATTTCATTTTGCGGCAGCTTTATTTGTTTTTGATAAGATGATTTATGATTTTTCATATTTATGTAGAGTCCCTGAGTTTTTAAAAATATCTTATGTTCATTTCTAAAGGAAAATTACATTTTGCTCTTCTTTTGCTTCCTGGTGACTGTCTTCATTGGTAAATCTATGTTTTATCCAACAGCACAAAACAAGGAATAATAGTGAGGTTGATGTTAAATGTTTATTTTCTTGAAACAGTTGTCATTGTTAGAGATTCTTTAGATGGATGCTCCTTCCAGTCGAGTGACTTTAGTAGGAGGACATGGTGTTGCGAATCCAGCTGACGTAGTTGCAGACCTTGGCGTAGACTCCGGGCTTGTTCCTCTGGGCGCAGCCATAACCCCAGGACACAACACCCTGCAGCTGACCGTTGCACACCACGGGGCCACCAGAGTCTCCCTGAAAGGACACGGATAGAAAGGACAACAGGTGAGCAGGAGTCCTGAAGTTTGGTGTGTCGACTTTAACAAACAGTGATTATGGCTTCAGCTCGTACCTGGCAGGAGTCCTTGCCTCCCTCGAGGAATCCAGCACAGAACATGTTGACGGTGATCTGTCCAGGGTAGGCGTTCTTGCAGCTGCTGTCGCTCAGGATGGGGGCATCCAGGCACCTCAGACGATCAGGATAACTGCCTAGAGAGGAAGAAACACAATACATGTTGATGTTCATACCCCGACATGTACCAAAAATATTTTCCTATTTGCAGTATTTTACTGACTTCCAGAGCTGCTGGTGTTGCCCCATCCAGAGATCAGACAGCGGGTGCCAGCGCTGGCACAGCTGGAGGGCAGGGGCACGGTGCGGACGTAGCTGTTCAGTTTGGCGGGCCTGCTCAACTTGATCAGCATGATGTCATTGTCCAGGTTGCCGCTGTTGTACTTGGGGTTACGGATGACCGTGGCAGAGTCGATGATCTGCTCTGTGCCCTCATTGACAGCAATGTTGTGCTCACCAAGACGCACCTGGATGCGGCTGCAGGGAGAGGAAAGAGGGTTAAATTACATGTAAGTAATGAGGCGTTTGATATGCCTGTTTAGAGTGCGTATGTCTGCAAATAATGTCTGCACGTACGACTTGTAGCAGTGAGCAGCAGACACCACCCAGGTGCTGGAGATCAGGGAGCCTCCACAGAAATGGTATCCAGCGTTCAGAGAGACCTGATAGGCCACAGAGTTCTTTCCGCACTCGTAGCCTCCAACAATCTTGTCACCCTCATCGTCAATGGGAGCAGCAACTGTAGTGCAAACAATGAGGTGTGACAGTTGTATGAACTAAAACTATTTAACTTATCTAAAGAAATTCTGTTTTCATCACCACAAACAAAATAAGCAGGAACTTACAGGCTGCAGCGAACAGGGCCAGAAGAATGAAGTACTTCATGATTGTTTTCTGCACCTAATGAACAGAGGAACAGATGCAGTGGGTTTATATACAGACAAACTGAATGGGTCTTTATCTTACTCTTTCTCAAGGATTTTTCCATGTAGCCTACCTTGCACAATGATTAAACATTATCCCACCTGGGAAGCAGCCTTATGGTCAAAGAGACAAACACATGGATTTCCATGAGTCATTGACTTTTATCTGACAATTACAGATTCAGCCTTCAACCCTTAACCTATGTATTAAAAACTGAATCAAAATAGGGGACACCGAGATAGACAAAGGTTGAGGGGACACAGACAAATCAAAATCATTTGTTGTGTTTAAGTTTACAGTTTTTTAAATTATATTAATTGTAATTCTATAAATTGTAATGAAAAAATGCAGTCTAGACATAAACACACGGTTATTAAGAGTGTGTAATTATCACATTTTCTTAATTTCCTAGAAAGCTTTCTGAAAGACACTAAGTCAAATGGTACTTATTATGTGAAACAACAAATAACTGTTATTTGATTGTGCTGAGTTGTGTTTAGTTCTGTTTCACGTTTCATATTTTTGCATGTTCAGCAGATCTGCTATGCACTGACTGAAGACTGTCAAGATTTTATTTGGAATTAATTTGAGAAAACCACAGGACCTGTAATAGTTGCTCAACATTTCCAAACTTTGATTGGTCTTGAACGTCCCCCTTAGTGACGTCAATAACAAGCGACTGCCCTCGGTTTGTGTATCGGCTGCTGAGCTAACAGCTGCGCCAATTGTGTTTTGATTTGGTTTTGCCTCCCATGTGCAGTTATCATGAGGTAAGAAATACAACAGCGTCGGCTTTCTAATCATGTCTGCTCAGTTGTTGCTGGCAGTTCAGGCTGCTGCTGCATCCGACACTGTGGTAGCCTGTTAGCTTGCAGCTAGCTCTATTGCAAGATCAGCACCTAATGTATGCGGAATGCGCAACCATTGCGGATGTGGTGCAGAACAAAATGCGCATCGATGCGACAGAATACAGAAGTCAGCCTCACTGAGAAAAATTAACACAGCTGTTTTAAAATGATACACAGTTGTAAGCAGTGTTATGTTTTGTTGTTGTATTTCAGCTCCGAAGGAGATTTTCTGCCTGGATGATGCATCTCGCTGTAAAACAGCTGGATGTCTAGATGTAGCTGCACTAGGTGTTTTTACACAGTGTATATATGTTTTCAGTAACGTATCAGTGTAAATGGAAATGATAGATATGGATTTAAGTGGCTGCAGCTAGCCATAAAAGTCTCTGGACTTCATGCTCCAATCAGAAAGTATGATTGTATCTCTCACTAAGCTGCAGCATTGGCCTGATTCATTTGAACAATAGTGTTAAAAAGAGTATTCAAGGATACTTAAACTCTATATTTCCTATGAAATCCCCCCATAGTGTGTGTGGCAGCTCTGCCAAAAGCAGGTTCAGAATTACCCGATGCAGTATACTGAAGAGTTATAATGTCTTCAGATGTAGGTTCAGTTCTGCCTTGAACTTGTGTTAATGGGGCAGCAGCTGCCAGTATCAGAATTGGCCCGCCAGTCAGTTCTGCTGTAAATCAGGTCTGACCCATGACTGAGTACTACGAGGAGGGGGGGCTGCTGTACGAGCAATCACCTCCCATGCACATCAAAGTGGAGTCTCCGGAGGGACCCTTTGGAGGGGGAGCCTCAGAAAATGGCTTCCCCAGGGAGGATGAGGACTCGGAGGGCAGCTGTGACCAGAACAGTGGATTACCTGGGGGACTCCCCTTCAACGTGGTAGTGGTGCATCCGAACATCATGGCACCTGGCATGTCCTCAGAAGACCTCTTGTCCATTGAACAAAGTAAGCCTGAAGGAGATTAAGACCATTGTGGGAAACAGCGTTACACATTTCCTTTGTGTGTTTTTTAATTTCTGCAGAGCATGTGGCGCCTAATCTGAGCAATACACGTTTTTAATAGCACAGTTCTTCTGTTTATGTACATGTTTTTATTTCAAACTTTCTTTGGCAATGTAAACATCTGTTTCCCATGCCAATAAAGCCCCACTGGATTGATTTCTATAAAACATGTACTCTTAGAATTATTTCATAAAATGATTTCATCAGTAGTGTAAAAAGCACTAATACATTTATTTATATGCAAACAGACCAATGGCATTTTGTTTTATTAAGAAGACGTTTAGCTCAAATATAGTCACTCAAGGAAGACTTAAGTAAAATTAAGATACATTTTTCACAGTGCCTTTACAAAAGTAGTTACAGTTAAATATGTTTTGGCTTAGCACAGTGAAAGCAAGACTGACACTGATCAAGCACATTTCTCTTCCTCGCTCAGTATATTTAGCTTCACTTGATATATTTCCTTTGCCCTATGGGTTGTCCTCTCGCCTTGCTCTCTACAGACAGAGCTATGTCGGCTGCACTGGCTGCTGGTGGTGCAGGAAAAAGAAAGAGTCGTTTCAGTGGAGCAGAGCTGGAGGTGTTGGTGTCAGAAGTCACTCGGTGTGAAGGAGAGCTCTTTGGTCCCGCGGGGAGGCTTCGGCGGCGGGAGAGAGAGCGCATCTGGGCGGGAATCCTAGAGAGGGTCAACGCTGTGTCCAGAGTCCCACGTACCCTTCGAGAGGTGAAGAAGCGCTGGGACGACTTGAAGAGACGCAACGGAGGCAGGCTAGCGGATGCTCGCCACCGCAGCTGTTACCTGCCATCCAGCAGAGGGGCCTCGATGCTCGGCCGTCCTTCCCAGACAAGCCCCAGGCTTCAACAAGCCAGGCAAAAGCAAAGCACCAGACCAAAACCCAGTTTCCCATGCTTCCCTGACTCTGATACAGGTAAACATAAATTGTCTGATTAATCAGCTGTTTTTCTTTGTAGATTTTATAGATGCAACTAATATCTACTCGTGTCCACTTACAATTTTTTTTTTCTACAGGTGTTGGTGTGGAAGGATCAGAAAGAGATGGTTTGGAGAAGGATGAGGACAATCCTGAGCGTGACAGGGATATGGGAGAACCTGATTGTGAAACGGTAGAGAACAGCATGGAGGATAAATTAGGATTAGGACTGGGTCTGGGCATAGGACCGCCTCCTCCATCAGAACGATGGCTGCCTCCTTCCCCACTCTACAGTGCTCCTTTCCTCAATGGCAGTCCTCAGCCCAGCAGTCCTCAGCCATCACTTGGAGCACAGCAGGGTCCTCTTGATGCCCCTCCGCGCAGCTCCTGGCTTGAAGACGAGCTACGAGGTTTAGGGGAAGCAGCAATTCAACTGGGAAATCGGGTAGAAAAGAGTCTGCGGGAGTTTGGCGAAGGCTTCAGACAGGACATGAGAACACTTGTCGCTTCGCAAGAGGCATTAGCAGTCAGTCTACAACAAAACAATGTCCTCTTGCAAAGGCTGTTAGGAGTGCTTGAGGCCCAGCAACAACCACAGCCACAGCAACACCGTGTACAACAAGCACACCAATCACAAACATCTCAACAGCACTTACAGCCACAGCCAGCTCAGCAGTTACAACACATAGAACCACAGCAGCAGCAACAACAGCGGATTGAAGCACCACTGCATACGCAGCTTCAACATGCGCAGCAGCCACATGTAGTACAACAACAGTCACAACAGAACCAAACACAAATACAGCAGCAGCCACTGGTCACCCAGCATTTAAACAATCAGTCAGCTGTAGCGGTGGTACCTGCACCATCGTCCCCTGACGTACACGGCACTTTCCCATCTGATCCACCCGCAGACACAAATGGAAGCGTGCAGAGGCCACGGCGTGGAAGAGCTGTTGATCACAGGCGCAGAAGACGGCGCTGAGGAGGAAGTACTTAGAAACTCAAAGTGCACATCATGCATATTTGTTGTTTCAAAATGTGATGCTCTTTTTCTATTGAAAGTATTTGTGTAAATAAACATGTAAAAGTTATTTGGAGTTTTACGTCCCACTCCAAATCAGTAATCCATCTTGCACTTCACTTTGTCTTCAGAGAGGATATACTAAAGTGGATAAGAAAAGTTGATACATGAGATGATAGGGTGGCCTTAATAATGTTTCCTCAGACATGCATACAAATTCTTGTGCTAAAACACTTGCTGAACAACAGTTGCTCTGTGGAGTGACAACTTCACTCATGAAACATTCAATACCCAGACAGCAACACTCTGTAGGTGCTGATGTTTAATATGCATGTCACTGTACATGCTTTGCAGCAGAGCTGCAGATCCTCTTACTAGTTAAGTACTGTCTCAATTATCCTGATACACTAACTACATTGCCAACAAGTACTTGTAATATGCAGTTGTTACCATATATTGTAGCTATTGTAATTACCTGCTAACGTATGCTTGTGCTTTTTTAACAGCTTCATGGTACATACTTTTCCAGCTTTGGTTGGATAATAAAGTTAGACTGTGTTCTGTTCAGTGTGTTTTGAGAGACAAATGTTTAAAGAATTGCCAGTTATTAGTGGTATGATAAACAAACATCCTTGAGGCATAAACATAACAGTAGACTTTTAATTCATATGTTTCTGGTGGATTTCAAAAGCATACACAAGTATGTAGGGGCTATTTATTATAATCGTGCATGCAGTATGATGGATGTGTTTGTAAATAGTTGCAAAGAAACAGCATATGGCCATCATCTACGTAGTTTTGCACAAGCTATATTTTGTAGATAGCTACTGTTTGGATGAAATGTAACTACACTTTAATAAAAGTCAGACATGGACTGCAAATAAATCCAGCTGATCACTTGTGGATTTGTCACATAGCATATAAAAAGTGAATGTAATATTAATGTGCAAAAGTTTATTTATGTTGAGTTGTGTGTGTAGAAAAAACAAAATCAATGCACTGTAGAAAGGGAAATGTATAATTTAAGGTTTGAATTATGTTTCTGAAGTGATGAACTACAGCTGGTTGTCAGTGATAAGACTTTTATTTTGAAAGTATCGGGCGGAAATATCATTCCTTGTTCAGGCTGGCTAGCATGATCCTTGTGTGTTCTGGACAAGGGGGTGCATGGGTGAAACATGGCCGCCGTAGACCCATCGGAGTCTCCAAAACGAGAGAAAATCCCTGCGGAGGAGGCGGAAACATCTGGGGAAAAGACCGAGGCGGTGGAGTCGGGATGCAGCTTAAATCAGAAAGACGAATCGGCACCTAATAAAACCGAGGAGAGCCCCAACGATGAGCGGAGACCCAGTGTTGGCAACGACGGCGGTTGTGTTGCCAGCCATTCCGAGGTTAGTGTCGAGTCCGGTGCTGGAGCCGACAAAACGACATGCAATTCACCGGAGGACCTCGCATCGGCCGAAAAAATGACCGAGGCTCCTGGGAGCGACCAGCGGTCTTTCGATTGGTCCGAAACTGAAGACGACGATGAAGAGGCGAAAACACACAAGGAGGAAAATAATAAGTGTGGTATGCTAACGTTGTTAATGTATTTTACTGTTAGCTTTAGCCTCCGGGCTAACCTTACTACCGGTTCAATATACACTGTCAACTCTGCTAACGGTTAATTACCATAACAAAATCAAGCTAGCATCCTGCACTGTAGGCTGTCACCCCATGTTAGCTTTGGTAGTTGCGTGCAGTCTGTTAGATTGGCAACATGCAGGTACTGTTTATTTCTGTTGGCTAAGTTATTAGTATGATGTGCTTTTCTCTTCCAGACCACCACAGTGTTGCAGAGGGTGCTGAAGAGGTGCAGCAGGATGCACATGTTGATGAAAGCATTACAGATGATGCAGAGGAGATTTGTGAGGAGGAGAACTCTCATACAGATGGGAGAAGCGCAGAGAAGCAACCGGCTGAGGAGCCAGTGGGAGAAGTTGATGGGGTAGAGGACTTGGTTGAAGACGATGAAGATGCAGACCGAGTGGAGAACACTGATTCGACAGCCAAGCCAAAAAAGTGCCGTCTGGTGTGCAAAGAGTGTGGGAAGATGTTCAACCGCCGCGAGACGTTCAACCTCCACCGCCACTTTCATGCACACGAGGATGAGCTCACGCCCCTTACCTGTAAAGAATGCGGCCTTACCTTTCAGCACCGCAGCAGCCTCATTAAACACAGAAATGAACATAAAGAGAAGGAGGAGCAACTTGTCACTCCAAAGAAGGAGATGCAAACAAAGGAGGAGGGGAGTTTTGGATGTGCAGAATGTGAGAGGATCTTCTCTACAGTGGATAAGTTGAGGGACCACAACTGCTGCAATACAGTTGAAAAGCCTTACCACTGCCCCCTGTGCCGCCAAGAGTTCCAGTTCAGGGTGTCTGTCACGAAGCACATGAAGACACACTCCAGGGAGAGTGTCTTTACATGCCAAGAGTGCAGTCAGACTTTCCCAAACAACATGGCCCTGCGCTACCACCAGCGGTGTCACACCGCCCTGAAACCCTACGAATGCCCAGAGTGCGGCATGGTTTTCAAACACTACTCCGTCATGGAAGACCACCGTCGCAAGCACACGGACAACACGCGCTCTCACCTGTGCAACATCTGCGGTAAGACCTTCAAGTATAGCAGCCTCCTCCATCAGCATCAGTATCTGCACACAGGCCAGAAGCCCTTCCGCTGCCCTGAATGTGGCAAAAAATTTGCCTTTGCCCAGAACATGAAGGCACACTGCCGTCAGCATAGACTGCGCGAAACCAACTCCTCCGCTGAGCAGGCCTGCAAGCAAGCCCCTGCATCTGCACAGGAGGCAGGAAGGGGGCTGGGAAAAGAGAACGCACGCCAGAGCGAGGAACCGAAACGCACATTCAAATGCCCCCTTTGTCCCCAGACCTACCCGGCACCAGCTAACCTGAGAGCCCACATGCTTATTCATGAGGCAGAGTATGAGAAGCTGGAGAGAACCCCCAGACCCCCAAGTGAGAATAACAAATACTGGGAAAAAGGACACAACTGTCCCCACTGCCCATCTGTTTATCGTGATGAATCCAGTTTAAATGTACATCTGCTAAGTGTCCACAAGTCTGTAGCACAATGTTTAGAGAAGGTGGCAGCAACGCCTAAAAAAGAATTTAATCCATTAAGCAGTGATAATGTGCAGGGGAAATGGAGAAGCGATGGCATCAGTATTAAGTCGTACAAATGTTCAGAGTGTGGAAAAACGTTCCGCCACCGCTCAGTGTTAGAGCTGCATATGCGCATACATTCCAAGGACAAGCCTTACCAGTGCAAAGTGTGTGGCAAGGGCTTTAGATTCAGTAGCTACTTACAGCAACATCTTATCATCCACACAGGCAAGAAGCCATACAAATGTCCTGACTGCGGGAAGGACTTTGCCTTCCTGCAGAATATGAAGACGCATCAGAAGCTGCATCAGGAAAAGCCGTACCGCTGCACCAGCTGCCGCAAAGGCTACAGCGATGAGACCCAACTGCAGCACCATATGTTGTCACACAACGGTGACAAGCCTCATAAGTGTGACCTGTGTGACAAGAGCTTTGGTTTAGCCTATCTGCTCCGTGATCACATGAACACACACACTGGAGAAAGACCTCATCGCTGCGAAGAGTGTCACAAAACCTTTTCCTGGTTTAGCAGCCTGCTGGTACACCAGAAGATCCATGCCCGTAAGCGGCAGGGTTTCAGCCAGTATAGTTCTTTCCCGATGGGTGCTAGGATGAGAGGCAGGGCTAGCAGGGGGAGGAGAGGGGGGCGACTCATGTGGGGCTGGTCTAGACCATTAGGCGGCTCAGGGATTGTTAGTTCTCAGCTGTCTCCGTATCCAGTTTCTGCACTGAGAGATGCGGAGTTGCACAGGAGGGCAGTCCGGCCACAGTCTTCCATGCTCTCATCTCGCATGGATTTACAAGGCAGACAGCAGAAGGAGCCTTGGCTGGCCGAGCTTCACTCTCAGCCGGTGCAGTGGAAGGTGGACGGCGGAGAGGTAATGCCTGTCCCATCATCACAGCAGCAACATGCGGCGCCGCAGCAGGCGCGGTTTGACAGCCCACCACAGCCTGGCCTGCAGCAGCACCATCAGAGAAGCCCGGGCTGGGCAGATAGCCCGGCGATAACTCAGTCAGGCCCCGCATCTGCTCAGACTTCAGAGTCATCACACATGAAAGAGAGCGCGGCCTCTATTGTCAGCTCCCTCCTGGCAGCTGTGCCAAGAAAATCCAGCCCATCAGTAGTGAGTGAGATGGAGCAGCACAGGCAGCCCAAACCTGTCACTTGGAGTAACACACCCACGTCCACAGTGCTAGCATCCACGAGCTCTTTGCAGCATGATTTTTCCGTTCCGTCCTACATAGACGGGGCCGCTCTGTGGAGCGTCAGACCTGCCCTGCTAGCAAATTCACGGGGCTCTCCAAATAAGCTCGGTCAAGAGCTCCAGCTGCCAAGATGGCCAGGTGCCCCAGTGTCAACACAAAAGGAGCCATCCACACCTCCTAAAAAAGAGGACAGTAGAGTGTGGGACATGAGCAATTCTCAAATTATACCGTCGACTGTTAGCCAGCCAGAGAAGCCATGGAACGGCTGTGAGCTCCAAAAGCAGTGGGCTTCAGGCTTAGCAGGTGCATCCACCTCAGCTCAAATAGACCAAAGCAGTGCTATGTCAATTTCAACTCCTGTTTCTCACGGGGTAGGTAGCACCTTGTGGGACATACAAAATCCACCAGGGATTCCAAAGACGATAAACTATAACTCCCCTGAGAAATTAGTAAATAATCAAGATTTTCAAAAGCAGGTGTCATCTGGCTGGGCCAATGTACAGAGCCAGACAGCGACACAGAAGGTTCCCATCTCCATTCAGTATGAGCCTCATCGCTTTGGCCAAGGGTTGGGAACCCCAGTATGGGGCTTCCAAAGTAATCCCGTGGGTCCTCAAACGCTGCTTACTGGGCAACTCAAACAAGGGAATGGACAGGAGCTGCAGCAACAACCAATGGTAACTGGCACTCAAATAATCATAAATCAGCCTTCTCCTTTTTTCTCACCTCCACTTGCTCCGCTCCCTCCTCTTGCTTTGCCAGGGCCTCACCCTCTTCACTCTGTCACAGTTGGTGCACTTCCAAGAGCTCCACACCCAAATATCTTTTTCACACCACAGGCAGTCATGAGCGAGAGGCCTCACATGCCACAGACCCTGCCCCTACCTCAGCTTGCCCCACGGACAGAACCTCACAAACTTGGACCCCGTTTGCCTTTTGCCCCAGAACGGCTTCTCCAGTGCATGATATGTGGGTGCTCTCTTCCTCGGGAGCTGGATCTACAAATGCATTACTTGCAACATGCACAAGGAGAGATTTGACATTTCTACCCTAGCAACAAGACTTAGTTAACATTTTTTATGTACTTTTTTCAGTGGAACCTCATTTATTTGACCCTCCTTTGTGCAGTTTGACCAGTTGAGTGGATGGGCATCAGGAACAAAAATGTTTAAAGTCTTTCAGCTCCAAATTAGACTGCCCAGAGTGTTTGTAATAGAGAGTGTATACCCATGCCGTTAAATTGCTTTCACTACTTATTTTAATGTATTTAGGTTATCCAAATGCTTAACTGGTTAAACAACTTGTGAGGGGTACAGATTAATGAGGCTCTATGGTCTACATTTCATTTATTGCCAATGACATTTAGATTTAGATAATATTAGTACTTTTATAGTTCTGTTCATATGTCCTGAACCATTTGAACTGTGTTTCTTCATGTACAGTATACTGTGTGCCTTTTATGAGTACAGTCTGCATGTCTGCTGTCTTGGTATTCTAGGCCTAGTTTGTGCTTAAGGTAGACTCAACAATGTGACCTCACTCCCAAAACAGAGAGCAACTCTTTCTAAGATACTGTAAAGAAATGTAAGTTTTTGCTTTTGAGGAGGCGAGCGGCAGGTTGTTGGGCTCATACATCACATGTGTCAGAACATACAATGGAAAGCTGCCTACATACAGCGAAACCCTGTTAGGAAGCACTTGTATTCCCCGGACCATTGGCCGGGTCCAAATATTTCATAAGTAAAGTTGTCATCATGATAATTTGGTCACAGCGAAAGTATCTAAACAAAAGGTGACGGTTCCATGTAAAGCTCATTCCACAGTAAAAGTTTTCTGTAAATTTAACTCTTGAGTGATTATAGGGAACAGGGAGAAAGTAGCGTTATTACGCAATTATTGATGACACTGTTGTCAAATAGTGAATTTTGTAATAAATCAAACTTGGATTTATGTGATGTTTTGTCATTAATATTTTTTACAATGGCAAGACAAACATGAAAGTGATGATATTTTATGTATGTTTTGCCCCAATCAAGTCAAAGTCAGCAAATTTCTGGCAATGTGTCATGACTGACACACTTTAAACTGATTGTGGGTGGCAATACTTAGCACCTACTGTAAACTGATGAGTGCTATGTAATATGTGTCTCTTATCAGAATGACTGTTTCAGATTGGAATTTCAGTCCTCTTTTGAGTACAATTCAATGTATTTTCTGTGAATACTGAATGATTTTTTCCTCATCTGTAGATTTAGTACAGAATCCCGTCTCCTTTGTTATGACATTTGAGTAGCTTTGGTGGCCCAGTAAATGACAGAAAATCTTCATACTGCTGTAAAATAAACACACGGCCCACTTGTTTTAAAAAAAAACAACAAAAAAACAACTTCCCTGTGCATCTTATCACTGAGCGTCTTCATATTCAAAAACATGTGCCCTTCTACCTCTATCCACTGTTTTAGCATGGAAAGAAATAGAAATTTCCCATGATGTCTACATATTGGATTGAATAAAACTTGCCTTTGATTATAATGGTGTGTTGCGCTGTAATTGTTAGGTAAACCTAATTCAAGGTTTTGAGTTTGTGGAAAATTAAAAGTATAGAAAGCAAGAATGCATGAAGATAGATGAAGGCAATTGTTATTAAAATCAGCATTTTCTCCATCAAAACATGCCTACCTAGAGGAAGGACATAAATGTTCACTTTCACAGAGAGTCACTTTCATTAATCTGGTAAATTGGGACTGATATCCCCCATACACAATCACATTTATTGATAACATTACTTCAAGTTGAGTGTATTTCATTCTAGTGGAATACTAAATGGTCCTTACTGTTAGAAACAGATTAAATCATAATGCAAAATTATGTATTTCATTTCCTACAGAAGCATAATCCATTCATTTCAGAGGAAAAAAAATCTGCTGAATTTATGAGAATTAGCTCAGAATTACAAGATAAATTTTCATGAAAGAAAATCCTGCTGTTTTTTTTAAATGAACGAGATCTCTCAAAATCAAAAACAGGACAGGACATGTTTGCTTCTATGAAATCAGGCTAAACAAGAGTTTGTCTTGGGATTTTGAAAAAAAACAGCAGAATTTTTTTCTCAAATGAATGCATTATGCTTCTGTAATTTCCATAATGACCCAGGGTGCCACAAATACTGCCTGAAGGAACCATGAGATGTTATATAACTACTGTGTTGGTGGGGTCAGTAAGGGCAGAAAATACATTTGACCAAAATAAAATCAAAACATGAGTGAAATAAAGTAATTTGTTACCTTTGCATAAAGCCTGTGATAGTCTCAGTCTGTTTGTCCATGTGAGTAAAATACATTGAGAATCGTGTACTTTATGCCCCGGTACACTTTTTGAAACATTAGACTATTATTACAAAACTCTACACACTAACCACAAAACTGTATACCAAAAAAACAAACAAAAAACATTAAACATCTCTGGCAAAAGCAAACAATTCTTGCAAAACTATTTTAAAAATTGTGCATTTGCATCAATACAGTAACGTTTTACACACAAACCATCTTTGAATAAACACACATGCACTGATAATATAAATGTATGATAATATAAATTTTGTATGTTCCTTGAAGTTTTGGCAATATTGTTCTTTTTACATTCATGCCTATAAAGTAAATGAAATTGAATAAATGAAAAACACTTTTGCTTTTTTTGTATGTATGGTTTGTCCTGCATATAAAGCACACATACACAGAGGTGTCGAAATGTCTGTATGTAAAGTATGGAAGCGTTTGTGTCAATACAAAACGTTTTTTATTCTTATTTTTCCCTGAAAATATTCTACTGTAACACTCAAACAAACGCTCAGTAAAGGATAACAATAGACAAAGTCTTCATCTCGCCTTTGTGGGTTTGGCCATAGGATTTATCAACATCACATGCCATGTTTTATGCAATGTTCTAAAGTGTTTTCACATGAGTCAGTGTGTAGTGCCAATTGGCAAAATAGTGTAGCAAATTAGAGACCAATGTTTGCAGTTTTGCTATTAGTGTGTTATTGAATTGCAAACTGTGTAAAGCAGTTACTTAAGTAACTTGTGTTTAATTTTGTAAAGCAGATAACGTGCATGCAGTTTGGTACATTTGGTACATGCATTGGCTACGTAAGTGTTAATGGTTTCAGAAACAGTGCTCACCATTAGTAAGCATTTAGAAAAAAAAACTGTTGTAGACTTTAGCTAGTGGATTCACTGTAACCGTTTAGCTTGAAGGGAAACAAAACAGCAGAAGAAGAATCCACTTCCGCTGATGGCTGCACAGCCGCACAGCGCAGGTGTGTGTGCAAAACAGCTAGCTGTGCCGTCTAACATCACTCGCATTGCTAAAAACATTACAAAATGCTGCCTAATTATGTGGTAAAAGACTAGATTCGCGTTTTCATTGTCTTTTACCCTGCCTCTGCTCTGAGTGACTGCGGTTAAGAAAAACTATTTTAAAACAACTGTGGCGCTGTTTAGCTAACGAGCACTAGCTAGAGTAAGCTAGCACTAACAAACAGCCACGCCAAGATGGACGAAGCTGCTGCAGCGGCGATCAAAGAGGACGGAGCTCAAAAGAACCCCCACAATGGAGACGGAGCATCTGAAAACGACGTTGGTCCATCTGCGGAGGACACTGCTCATAGTAACAGTTAAGTATCCGGTAGCCATCACTCAAAACGTTAACGTAACTATCAATAAGTTTCACAAACAGCAGGTCAAGGCGTAGTGACCTCCTACGATAACATGAAATGCTGCATGCAGTGCAGCAAGGGTTGCAAAATAACTGCATTTTTCCAGCAAATGCACATAATTAACAATTGGCTGAAAGTTGTATTTACCGGCAATGGTTCATTTCCACGCCCAGCCTTTTGGATTGTTTATCTTAGGCAAAGCTGCTAAACTATCCAAAAGGCAAACCACATAGAAAAGATTGCAAGCATGTTTGCATTTAAGCATGACATAACAATTGCATCACAAGCATTATACTCAAAAATGGGGGTGTAAAAATGTTATTACTGTGAACAGTATTTATTATGTGGCCGGGCCAAACTCAGAAATCATAAAAATGAAAAGCTGACCTGCAATTATTAATATTTTATGAGGCACAAACCATTTCACAAATGTAATACCCTGCTAGTCTCCTTTCATTTGTAGATATTTGAAATCTGAGTTCAAGTGCAGTATTCTCTATTACAGACGTAAAAGTAATACGCTAAACCATCTATCAACAATCAGACAAGTTTTACGTTGATTTTCAGGTTTAATTGTTAGTTTATCTTAATTAGCTACCTAGAATAACAGTATTCCAGCAAGCTCAAGATGCCTTGATAATTTACCTTAAATTGTTATCCTGGCTGTTCTTGTCTATGCAAAATTGACAAATAATTTAATGCAATAAAAGAATGCTACTGCCCACTTTATATCACATTTTGATGAGCAGCGGATGGTACAAATGGTTTCAAATAGGGGTTTAACGTTACACAAAAATCACGGTTCAGTATGTACCTCGGTTTTGAAGTCACGGTTCGGTTTATTTTACAGTACAGTAAGGAAAACATCCAAAGTAGTTAACATTTTTTTCAACAAACTTTCAAATTACACATAATAAATAAATTATATCAAATAAAAAGTAATAAATATACCACTATACTAATAAAATACTGGTGTAAACTACTACCAAGTTCTCCACTAAATAAAATATTCTCAATACAATACCACATATAGCTAATAAAATATAATAAAAAATATATAATAATATGGATTACAATGCAGAATTCTTCTTCTTTTATTCCATCTATGAGCAGTATCAATCCCAGCTTGAAGGCCTGCTCAGAAAAAAATAAAACTTTTCTAAAGTTTGTTTAAAAAAAAAAAAAAAACTGTGCTCGTTTTTTTAATTTGTTTTTTTTCCCTTGTTGCAGTGACGTTCTCCTTCGTGTGATACCATTAGTGAGTTAGCAAGTTTGACGTGTTGCCAGAAACATACCCGATCATTACTGAGAAATGTCGGCCCACTGCTTTCATCTTATCGACTGTCCGTTAGTTGTATTTCACTAGGAAACAGAAGTGTTCCCAAACAGAAGACCTTAAGGGTTTTCAAGCTCTGACTTCTCTGCACTGACCATGATGACCGAGTCTGTAGTTGGCGAGGGGCTGGGCTAAAGTGTGCTGCTTGTGTAGCGCCATAAGGCGGAGATTTGGTCCACCACTTGTCCGTGTGGAGACTCGGAATTTACTTATGTTCCACACAAAACATGCCTTATATTTAACGTTAAAGATTGCATTCGGTGCACATGTGCACCATTCCGAAAGTCCTGTACTGAAACGGTCCGGTACAAATACATGTACTGTTACACCCCTAGTTTCAAATAAGCTCAATAGCAAGTGATAGTGTTTGACTATTGACTATCCTCTATAAGGAAATGATAAATGGTAATGTTAACTTAAGCATGGGTGTTCTTTGTAAAAAGTAGTCAACGTGTGTTTGTTCTTGGCATGGCAATGCAAAAAACAAAAAAGGGAACTAAAGGAGTTTTGTGGCATCTATCTTTGTTGCCAGGCAAAGGACAACAATGTTCTCGCTATAACTGTTTGCATTGCTTACAAGCATATTGTGTACTTAACTATCTGTGCCAAAAAACACTATTGTCAAGTGCCACTTGAAGGAAGCATCAGAATATCTTGAACGTTGTCACTTCTTCTATCATTAGGTTTGATTGTGGAAGTAGCATCAGGTTTGCTGTGAGAAAGATCAAGTGTTTTTTCTTTCACAACCCTATGGTGCAGTTCCACAATCAATTGCAATGGGGTGCTTTGGTAACAGTTGCCTTTTTAAAACTGCAGCACTTTCTGCAACAGTTTTATCATATATCCAAATGATTGAATGAACTTTATAAAGGTCATTTGGCTTAAACACTGTATGTATTAGCCCCTCTGTAATAAAACAGAGTTCTTTATTAATGGATATGTTTCCACAAATCAAATATTGATAATTTTATTTGTAAGGCCTCTTCATGATTTTACTGTACTGTTACTCTAATCACCTTTTTTTTTAAATAAAGACATGATTTACACCTGTTTGTGATGTGTTTTTCTTTCTTTCTTTCTCTGGAAACAGGAGTGGCTTTGACCTCCTATTTTCCCCTTTCTTTTTTAGGGGTTGGGCTTTTCTGCTGTCGGGATTGTGGAGAAGCCTTCAGAGAGGAGGAAGCCTACTTGGAGCATCGCCACCAGCACTCGCAAGAAAGTGTGTTTTTAGACAACCAGCTGGATGGTTTTCATGACACAGAAAAGGACAGTGAATCAGCTAATTTCTGTACTTTCTGTTCACTCTCATTTGTTGAACCAAGTGAGTTCCACTTGCACATGGAGAAGAACCATGGTCAAACCTCTCAAAAGGAGTCTAGTATTCAGATAAATTCCGGGATAACAATGCAGCGTACTTATGAATGTCCAGACTGTGGGAAATGTTACTATGTGATTGGACACTTTCTTAACCATCAGCGCTCGCACAGACAAGCCTCCAAATCAGTTTTTCATGACCTTGAACATTTGAAAAAAAAGTCCTTTCAGTGTGAGTCTTGTGGGCGAAATTATTCTCGCGCTTCAGCTCTTGATGCACACCGTCGTTGCCATGAGGAGAAGTTAGTGAAGTCACGAAACAGGAGTTCAGGAGAGGCATTTCACATTGAGGAGTCAGTAGTTGAAGCCAAGTCTAGTGAAGACCAGACAGATGATACTCCTGAAAAACTTTTTAAGTGTTCATGTGGTAAAGCTTTTACTGCTCTGTTACGCCTTAAAACACATCAACGATTTAGCCGCAACAGTCAGTGCTCTCCAGAAGAAATGAAAGAAAAACCAAAGAAGGGCTATAATGAGTTTTACTGTAGTGAGTGTAAAAAGGCTTTCGCTGGCCATATTGCCCTCTTCAACCATCAGCGTTGGCATGCAAATCACTCAAATGATTCTGCAAAAAGGTTCCCATGTGAGGAATGTGGAAAAGTATTTATGACTTTGACGTTCTACTACAGGCATCAGCGCACGGCGCACAGTGAGGAGACCCCAGCAAAGTCGTTTCTTCATCAAGTGTGTCAGCTACAAAAGAAGGCATTTGAATGTAAAGATTGTGGGTTAAAGTTTTCAAGGGCTTCAGCGCTTCACTCCCACCAGCTTCATCACACGGATGTTTTCAGAGAAACCGAGAAGGAGACCCAGATGCGCACCTCTCTGCTACCCTCACAGGCCATTTTGTATAGTGAGAAAAAAGAGGCTGAGCAGGAACAAGTGGAATCGGAGAACACACTTCCTACCAGTGTGGTTGAAGAAGACACATATGTAAATGAGACTGATGATGACATGGAGAGTTATGAACCTGGGGACTTTAATGTACAGGTGATCAGTGCGAGTGAATCTGAGGACGAGCCCGTACAAGACCTAAATCCTGATCTTGAGCTGCTGTGTGAATCGGATCAGGAAATAAGAGATGACGGTGACACGGGATTTTCCCCCAGTAGTATTGGTTCGAAAGCAGAGATGGATTTGAAAATTGTACAGATTGACTTTGAGCAAGCTGACGTGCAGTGTGCACCGATAGCGACGGAACCGGAGAATAAAACGACAGAGGAAAGATTTGATTGTCCAGAGTGTTATCGTTGGTTTTCTAGTGCTTCATCGCTGCGCGTTCACAGAATGTGGCATGGCATTCATAAGAGAAGACAACAGACTCAAGGTCAGTCAGTGGCAGCTTACACGTGTGACAGGTGTGGCCACGAAGCCAGTAGCTACTCAGCACACTGCAATCACATACAACAGCACAAGAATCAAAACGCAAGCGGTGATGTATTGTGCCAGGCAGAGGGATTGGAGAGAGAAGATTTGGCATGCAATGAATGTGGTAAATCCTTCCCCAGTTTGTCTGCTTTAGTCTCTCATCAGTTGCATCATCCCGAAAGAAAACAATTTCAGTGCCCAGATTGCATGATGTTTTATTCGCATGCAACCAGCCTATTTAACCATATGAAAAACTGCTCTGCACAAAAGAAAGAGAATATTTCAGTCACTAAGAAAGAATACAATCCAAAGAAAACCCTTCTAGGCCCAAAGATTTATCATTGTGAACAGTGCGGGAAGGGTTTTTGGTCTCTAGGAGCTTACTCCCACCACAAGCAAAGTCAGACTCTATGTGCAGATTTGAGGCTAAGAAAAGGTGTCGCAGGATCTTTGCAGTCTGTTAATGGACACCAACGCTCCGGTGTTAAGGTTGCATGTCCTGTGTGTGGTAGAAAGTTCCGTCACAAGGGCATTATGGCATTGCACATGCGAAAACATGAAAATGGAAATCACAAATGTGAACTCTGCAACAGGTCGTTCCGTCTTTTTTCCAGCCTCCTCAGACACCAGGTTGTGCATAATGACCAGTTACTCCCACCGCCTAGCAAGTCTTTTCAGCATCAGGTGGAGCAGTTGAAAAAGAACACATACAGCTGTCCTGACTGCGGGAAGCTGTTTTCACGGGCCAAAGCGCTTCAGTTTCACATGAAAAGCCACGGGTACGAGACTGGGCCATCATCACCAAGACCTACTGTCACGCTGGAGGATCTCCAGTGCGCAACATGCCTCGCACATTTCAACAGCAAGGCCTCTTTGAGGGCTCATCAAAAGCTTTGCATTAAAAAAGACAGTCAAGCAGTTGATTGTAAGACAGAACTCTCAGAAAATAATGATCCCCGAAAATTGCACAAGGATAGTATGGAAGTCTGCACACAGGGAAGCTCTGAGCAAATAACAGTTGAAACTGAAGTCAAGGATGACATGGACAGTGGTGAGCAAAAGATGGGAAATCAATCAGGTGTTGGCAACCTAGAAAAGACAACTAATTTGAAATACAAATGCAAAAAATGTGACAGAAGCTTTTCAGTTGTTGGAGCTTTGAATTTTCATAAAAGAATTCATGCAGATGGTTACAAATCTGTAGCTAAAGCAAAATTAGCCATGTCTGTAATGCTCAAGAAACCTAAAGAGGAAGAGCCAAGTAAGGGACTATTTCACTGCTCAGATTGTGGAAGGCGATTCATCTCCAACTCAGCCCTTGGCTCCCACAAAAGATGGCACAAAGAAAAGAAATGTTCACCGCCCTTGCTACAAGATGATGATTCAAAATCTGTGGGCCACAAGACAGAGGGCGGACCTTTTCAATGCAACAAATGTGGCAAACAGTTTTTTAACCATTGTGTTCTCCAGCGCCACCAGATGTTCAATCCTCAGTGTCAAACCAAAACTGAGTCAGAGCGTGATTCGAACAAAAGTGTTGAGAGCAACAGGACTCTGGAAAAGTTTTCATGTGCAGAATGTAACAAAACATTTTTGCATGGTTCCCTTCTAGCTGCCCACTGTGAAACTGACCACAGTAACACTTGGGAAGCTGGAGGACATCAAGGAGATGGGCTCACCTTGGTTGTCCAGTTCCCAGAACAGGGTGATGTCAACTTCGGCGAAAGGGAGTCTACATCATCAATACTGAAGCCAAAAGCTCACCAGTGTCCCCTCTGCTCTATGACCTTTGCTAAAGCAAGAGGTCTACGTGCCCACAAGTGGCAGGCCCACTCAAAGAGAAAAGGCAAAAATAAGGTTCCTTTGAGCACAAAAAAGGAGTTCATCGCCTCAGGCAATGTAGTCAAAAAGACAGAAGATTCACTGGCTGTATACAACGCTACACTGAAAAATAGCCCTGTTGGCAAAGGAAAGATGAAAATCAGACCAGACCCCTCACCTGTGAAATCGGTCACATGCCTTGACTGTGGGAAGCAGTGTAGTTCTACAGCCGCACTCCTTGACCATAAGAGAGTATGCCTGAAGGCAAAGCAAGAGTCTAAACAAGAGATCCAAACTCCTGAAACCACTGCTGAGGTTTCCCCTCCTCTTAGCCGTCTGTTGGAGCATTCAACTAAATGCCTCTTCAAGTGTGATAAGTGTGGGAAAGCGTTCCAAACAGAGGAACAATTAGGAACCCATAAGACCAAGGCAAAGAGCCGACCTTATTGCTGCGCCCTGTGCTGCCACGGCTTTTGGACCGAGAATCAGCTGCAGCAGCACCTCGCCTGGCACGATGAAGTCCGCTGTCGTCTCCCGAACGAGGTACGCTATAGGCTCGGCGCTGCTATGACCTCAAAGCCTCATAAGTCCAACATCCCCTCTGATGACACCAGAGGGAAGTCCTTTCCATCCTCCTCCACACTGAACCAACCTACACAAAACCCAGACAGCCAGTTGCAAAGTAGCCATAAGTGCCAACATTGTGGCAAAGCCTTTCTTTCACCAACTGCGTTACAAAAACACGAAACTCAGCACTGTAACAATGACTGCTATCACTGCTCTATTTGTCCCAGGACCTTCAGTGAAATACAGGACCTTATCAATCATCACCAGGAATGTATCGGTGATAACAAAAGGCAGAGTGATGCCTCCGCTGCTGTCTCATCAGGAGATACCAATGGCCTTACTTGCCTTGAATGTGGAACTACTTTTTGTCACGAAACTGACTTGCACCAGCACTATATTGAACATGCCCGTTTTAATGTATTAGACTATACAACCTGAAAAGGACTGAGGTAAAGACACTGGAGATTGTGGATTTTTTTTTTTACTTTTGGAGGTTGCCAAACTATGTAAATGTGTTAAGCTGCAAAATTCCTTGTTAGACTTTTGTTTAGGCTGAGTAGAAACATGCTTTCCCTTTTTGTTTCTACATTTGTGATTCTTTATATTTAAAAAGTTAAGTTCCTTAGGTTATTTTCCTATTCTCAGGCTTTCCTTATACACTGGATTAGTATATAAATGTTTGAAAAATAACCTTTTATAAACTTATGTTGAAATGTCACAAATGTATAGTTTTGAGCCACCATTTTGATTTGTTCCTGTTTTGAATAGACCTGTCATGAATGTCAGGTGAACCTTGTTAATGTCTTTGGGGATCACAGGCTGAATATGGTAGTATATATATAAGATTTAGAAACATTTATGCACGTACACGTTTGTCCTCATGCATTTAAAAATTCCCTGTCGACACACTACTTATTGCAATGTTTTGAAGGGATGGAAATAATTCTGCACAACAAATGTATACAAATTTAGCTGGTGTCATTGTAAGTGGCTGAGGTTTGGCTGAACAATGTCACATTTGCATATTTCAGAGAGAAGATACAGATATATGAAATTCAGTAATGTGCACTGTTTGTATGAACTGGTTAAACAAATTAATGTTGAACATTACAGCCAGGTACTACCATAAAAGTAATTACACAATCAAGTAATTGAATGTTATGTATAAAACGTGTAGCATTAATTGAAGTATCCCATGTTCTTTCCTTTTCAGTGTTATATTTCTATGTTGTGGGAAGGCTATTCATTATTTAGACTAAAATAGAGCTTTAGTTCATGTAGGATAGTTGTTAGTTTACTGTACCACTTATGTAGTGGGAAAAAAGTATTTGTATTGTACAAGAGATGTTACTTTATTTTTATTTTTCCCTCCTAGATGACCAATAGACCCTTTAACTACTTGTTAAACTTGCAGTTTCTGAAACAATGAAGAAAAGGTTCTCTAAAAAGCTACAAATAAATTGATACATTTTTGCGTGAATTATTGGGTTGTGTGATTAATTCAACCTCAGTTTACCATTTGTATCAGGGCATGTTGATTACATGTAATGATAAAGTTTGACATAAAATACAAGTATTGATTAGAAAGTCATAGCCAGTAAGTTTTAGATCAAAGAAGTTTTTGTTGGTTCATTTTTTCTCCACAGAACATTAAACTTCACATTGACATGAGTTGGCCTGTTTCATAAACGGTACATTATGGATATGCAGCCTGGAGTGTGTCACCAGAATAGCTATAGACTTCTGTAGTGTTTAATTATGATCAAATTAAAGTTCATGGTTAAGGTGGGGTAAGCTATTCTAATCCAAAATATGTCTCTCTTTTTTTGGTAAATTCAGCAAATACCAGCAAATAATGCTGTGCTTGCTCTGGGACAGTCTCGTCCTTGCTTCATGTTAGCTTCGCAGTAGTAAGTGTAACAACATTATGCTAACCCACAACTTAGCTGACGTTGATTACATTACTTGATGTGTCGTCGTTGGCTCAATATCATGTTTTTTTTCTCAGATTGTTGGATTTCTCCAGAATCGCTAACTGCACCTTTAACAAATGCATTTTTAAAAAACAATTTAATTTGCCAATGAATGATTATTTTTACTTATATTGTTAAATGATGAATTCATGATTTAAAAATGGAATTGCAAAATTAAACTTAAACATACTAATTACATTTTATTTTTAATACTTCTTTATTCCATTCAATGTTTCTTCTGATCGTAAATAATCTAATCTCATCAGCTTCCTGCTTTAATATGTTAAAAAATATAGAGATATTTACCACCTGTCCAACCCACAGAGCAGTTGCAGTACCACAATTATTAGAGTGGCACACTCCAGGCTCCACAGCTAGATCACAGATGATCTACTTGCTTTAGAGACATGATCAATAAGGCTAAAAAGAAATGTTTTAATGTTTTGAGATTGATATTTTATGAAGAGTGCTAAGGCTTAACACTTGACTTGTAATTGCCCACCCACCCCATCTGTGACTGAAGAGAAGAGCCACAACTCAGTCTTGTAAGTTTTACCTGCTGCCATTAAACAACAGTAATGACCAGGCTTTTACAACCTGTTACCAGACAGCAAAACATCACCTGGAACATTGTCAAAAAATTCTTCATATCAAAAGATAACTGCTAGTTTATTGTATATTTTAATAATAACTTGGAAGAAGATATAGCACATTTTTACTTATAAAATGTCTAAATTGGTCCTTTTTTCTTCTGTTGTAGTCGAACAGTGCAGCTTCGCATGTGAGGATTGTGGACTCAAGTTTACATGCCAGGACCTCTTCAAGACTCACCTGCACCAGCATGCCTTAGAAGAGGAGGATGAGCAGGAGGAAGCTCAGACGAGAGACTACAGGAATCAATCTGTAGAACTGAACTCTGGGAGAGTAGACAATGGAGAACACAGAGCTGAAGATGCGGGTGGTGACACTGATGGGTGCGGCGTGTGCAGTTCATCGCAATCAAACCTCTCAGGTTTAATACAGGGCGTTGGAGTTGCCACAGCCTCAGTGAATAACAAAAATCAGAAGGTTCATGCCTGCTTGGTCTGTGGGAAGGCTTATACGTACCTGGTTTCATTTAGAAAACACCAAAGGCTGCATGAAAACCAGTCACCTCCAGTTAAAAGTGAGACCGTCCAGAATTTGCATAAGTATGAGTGTCCAGAATGTGGGATGTCATTTATCAGGCGAGCACGGCTACGTGGTCACCTGAGAGTTCACATGTCGCGCAGATCAATCAAATCAAAACCCCCCAGATGTGATCAGTGTAACAGAGGCTTCAGTTCTTTAAAGTCATGGATGGTTCACATTGATCTTCATAAACAGAAACCATTTTGGTGTTTAAGTTGTGCCAAGGGCTTTAAGGAGGAGGAGTCACTAGATAAACACCTGCAGAATCACAACCTGAGACAACATACATGTGATGTTTGCCACAAGAGCTTCCGCATGTCCATACAGCTTGTTAATCACTACAAAACCCACAATGGAGCAAAACCTCATCAGTGCACATACTGTGGGAGGAACTTTACCCACCTTGGAAATCTGATTTTACACCGAAAGAAACATCTCGGTGTTTATGTTGGGTTTAGTGGGAAGTCTCTGGGGATGAAGACTTCTGCTATTACTTTGAAGAAGCACAGGATTAAAGAGAAGAGTCTTATTCTCACTAGTGTTAAAGAGGAGTCGGATGTGGATATAAACAAAGAAGGGCTGCCAGGAAAGGAAGAATGCGTGGAGACAAGTGAAACCGAAAAGCCAGCCGACTGTGGCCGGTTGGGGGATCATTCAAACTCTGACGAGTCAGATTGTGGAGAGCCTGTGCATGTCTTCAAGCCTTCCAAACCACACGGCTCGCCTGGATGTGATGTACACGATGAGTCGAAGTCAGAAACTGTGCTGCCACAAGCAGGACAGGAGCTGGACAAGAGTGAGTCACAAGAAACAAAAATTCACCGAGAGCATAAGTACTGGGAGTGGGAGTGCTGTGAATGTGATATGGGCTTTGATGAAGTGGCAAACCTGCATTGGCATTATTTAAAACATGCTACTGGGGAGCTGCCCATACCACAGGATGATATTGAGGGTTGAAAGCTCACAGAAACATTTTTTTTCTCACACTAATGTCTTTTGTTGACCTTAATAATGACTCTCTTTGCTATTGACTTGATCAGGACAATTACTAGTGTTTAACCTTTCTTCTTTTCTTTTTTTACTTTATGTTAATGAAGCATGTTTAGGGCTAAGAAACAAAGGAATAAACAATAATGCTTGGAATTTTAAAAGTTGATCTTTAACACTTGGATACTGTTACAACTAGATTTAGGACAAATGTCTCTGGGGAGATCAGCATCTACAATAGAGCAAGCCTGAACAGTTCATGCCTGATGCAATGGGATTATTACTGCAGGTTTTAATGAGTATTTTTGATATATAAACTGAGATTAAAACTAGGTGTTGCAAAGCATTGTCATAAATCAAAAAGAGAAATACTTAAATGCTAAACTGAAATAAAGCTACCTACCTCTACTTGTAAAACCAAATAAAATAAAATAAAATCCATTCAGATGGTTTTGTCTGTTTTTTTTCAGTGCAGGGGGAAATAATGTATTTTAGAATGTTACACTATGCTGTGCACTCCAGTTTTTTTAAGTGGGAAATATTTGGGATAGAAATCTTTGAGTTGTGATTGGAAAACGTTTGAGCCAATACTCTGAATTCAGATTGTTCTTTGGCACTGCATATTCCCAACATGTTATATAAACATCACTTCAAATTTTTACAAATTTCAAAAATCACAACATTTCACAAATGTATTGTTAAACATGGTTATTCTCTAAAGCAATACACAAATAACTTTTGTGAATTCATAACTTACTAATGCTAAAACTGCCAAAACTTAACAGCAACGGAACATTTATTATAAATACATGTAACAGATAAATCCATGCTTAAAATTATCTAAAACTGAAAACCACCAAGAACAAAACCTGTGTGATTTCTGAAAACATCTATGGAAACTGCTAATAAGAGCTGAAGCATGATGGTTAACATGATAATAAGGGCTGAGAAATTTTAAAGTCATCATACAACATATTATATTATACATACTATATATTAATGAATGGCAGAGAGTGCAGGACTTCCAGGCATTTAATAGCTCATATATAAAAGTCATTACTATTAAAATGTAGTGTATGGAGGTGGAGCTGATAGACCATAGAGGCAGATGTTTTTTTGAAAAAAGTTTTTTTTTTTTTTTTTTTGTTACAACAGCGAAAAAAGGTAACAACATCCTTCTGACATAATTCTGGGCCCTTAATAGGTGAACATGGGACCTTCTCTGCTGAATGGTGGTAAAAATCCTGTGGTTATATGGTGTTGATCTAGGCCTCTCTTCTTACATTAGTTACATATTCAGTCTTTGTAGCCTATAGTAGCTTGGTCTCTATTTTTCAGTTCTATGTGAACATTTTATTAGACATGGCTAAGAATTGACTTTGCATTTTGTAGATCACTAGAAATACAAGAAAAACAAAGGAGGACCTATTACCAGAGTCACTTAATTAAATCAAGGCCAGGTCTCAAGTTTACAGCTCTGCTTCTTACCACCAACATATAAAAGCAGAAGACAAACAAATCATTTGCCCCAATTGTATTCTGTTAAATTGAACTATTAATTATAGGCCAATCAGTTTCTAAGGGTTTAAGGATAGAGACTGTTTTGTGCTCTGTGGCGGTTTTGTGGGGGGAGGGCAACAGGGGCCAGTGCCCCTTTAACACAGACCTTGGACCCCCCCCCTGCTGAAGGAAATGTCTACAGCAGCCCTATTGAATTGGCGGCCGCGGGCCACATCTGCCCGAGGCAACCTCCATGTAGCCCAGCACATAATCTAATAGACATAACAACAAAAGTAAACTACATGTAGCTAGGCTAGTGAATGGAAGACGCTAAAGAGTGAGATATATCGTTTCCTTATCATCATGGTTGAGTTTCATTGAACTGATCACCGCCAATCAAGGGTCAACATAACTGTCCGACCTGCAGCCTCTCCAGCTCCTCTGTGTCTGCAGATCGCCTCCACACACGCGCGCGCGCACACACACACACACACACACGGATCGAAGTCAGCCAGCTGATCAGCGGACATGGAAGACTTAGTGTATGTACAATAAAGACGAGTAGAAAGCCGATTATTTTCCAACATTCCTGTTTAATAAGCATAAACACGCAAAACATGATGTTTTAATCTGCTCAGTCTTTCATCCACCGCAGCTGTGTTTTGGTTTTACACAAGCACATCGCTAGTTCAGTTAATAGCTTATTGTTACAAACAAGCTAAAGTGAAAGCTCTCTGTTTTTAGTAACTGTTCAGCTTAGTTTGCCACGTACATTAAAATATGATACATTATAAACTCAGTTGGTGGAAACAGACCAGCCCTCCTCTCGATGTCAGGAATATGATTTATTTTACTGACATGTTAGATTTGTTTCCAGTGAGATATTAGTGACTTTGCTGTTGTAAATCATGTTGCTGCTCTACAAACAACATTTACTTAATAAAAATGTTAAATTATTTTTTTAAAAAAATATTAATTATTTAGTAATAAATAGGACTGATAAGAGCATCGATAAAGTACTGAACCAATAAGGATTACCAATACAAATGTGTCAATAAAATCCCAATGATCGCAACTCATGAGATAATGTCCGGCCCATCTCTGTGTCCTGGTTTTAAAATCCGGCCCAATCGAATCTGTAATTGAATAGCCCTGGTCTACAGTGATCATAGTAATATATCTTCCTTGAGACACAATGCACATTAAACTGTATGCAGCATTGTAGACAATATTTTCTCCTTGTATTCCATGTTTCCATTGCATGGATAGCCTTTGGATATTGTTGGGAATTGTTCTCCCCCCCCTTAAAGGGTAAATTATTATCATAACAATTTAATGATGCATTGCATTTAAACAACACTTTTCATACACAAAAAGTGATAACAGTAGCCTACTGGTCCTACCAGGCTGGACATGTAGTCTACCAAAAAAAAGTATCCCCCGTTAATAAAGCACAGATGATGGCCTAAGTATTTAATTTTGTGCTGCTGCTCCTGAAATGATGTTATAATATAATCAAAAAACAGAATATGTCATAATACTGTGAGACTTTATGGAATTGGAAAGGGGAACACATAAGGTAGCATTTTTCGATAGGGTAGGACACCGGACTGAATGGGCCCTTCTGACAAAAAAAAACTGGCCCCGGCCTGGCCCCCTTAATAAAATTGGTCTAGAACCGCCACTGTCTGTGCTGTACATAATGCAAAGCCCATCCATCCATCCATCCATCGTCAACCGCTTATGCTGCGTACAGGGTTGCGGGGGGCTGGAGCCAATCCCAGCTGACATGGGGCGCAAGGCGGGGTACACCCTGGACAGGTCGCCAGTCCATCGCAGGATAATGCAAAGCCCTTTCAGGCAAATTTGCTTATTTTGGGCTATAGTAATACAATTTATTAGAATTGACTAGAGTATATGACAATATAATTTCTTACATCTAAATGTATTCTAAACTGGGTCAAGTAGTTTAAGTACCCCAACTGAAAAACTGCTCTGTCGTACTGTGGTTGTGTTGTAGTTTCAGCGGAGTGGACCACATTCCTGGACAAACGGAGGACTGAGCTGGAAAAGCCACATTTCCCATGATCCATCTGGGCCCCTGGTCAGACGTGACGTCGAGATGTCTGCAGCTCCTCTGTGTTGGCTTTGTGCGAAGCGACGCTGAGATGTTTGGGCGGACGAGTCAGCCCAGGTAACCTTAAATCTCCATCCTCCTGCCTTCATACAGCTATACGTGTGTGTGAGTGTGTGTGTGTGTAAAAGAGCAGGGTCGTAGAAAGTGCCTTAATATTTAGCATGTTTGGCGACGTAACCGGTCGGATATGCTAACATTTGCAGCCCGATTTTTTTTTTACCGCAAATCATTGATTTTAAGCTAGCTGGGCTACCAGTATGTGTGGTTATTATGCAGGGTTTGTTCAAGCCAGTTATCAGCATGCTACAGCACTTTATTTATACAAAATATGTGTTGAATTTGGGTTATACTACAGCCTCAAAAAGCTGCCCTCAGTGTCCTTCGGTTTTCTTTTGTAATACAAATGTACTAAACCCATTCATTCTCTGGTCTCCCAGCTGTCACCATGTAGATAACAAAGATGCTGTTCACTCCTTTAAAACTCCTTGTTTTAAATAAAGTACTTCAACAAGTTTTAATGATACAAATACACTGGTTGGTTGGTATTTTTAGTGTGTGTATCATGTATGTGTTGGTATACTTTTGTAATTAACTGTTTGTGTATGACTTGGATTCATAGAAACAAGGGCATTTGAGAAGCCAAGAGGCAGGGAGCCATGCAGAGCCTGACCCAGCCTAACAGTGGGCCAAACCCGGTGACCACAGCAACCACAGAGCAACCGCTGGACACGGAGACTGAGGCTCAGCCAGCACAAAGTGAACCAGCTGCACAAGAGGAGGAGAACAAATCAGCTGCTACTGCTGAGGCTGAAGCACAAATCTCACCGGAGAAAAATGGGACAGGGGTGCAAACAGCAGAAACACTTGCTAGTATGGAAGTCATGCCAGCAGTGGAGAATGATCCGGCTGTTCAGCCACTGACTGAGCCCTCAGATAATGGTGGAGGGATGGCTGTGGACTCTGCTTCAAAGCCAAGTGCCCCCACAGAACCGGTACCTGATACAAATACAAATCCAGTGTGTGATGGGCAAAAGGCAAAGAAACAGGGCAAAGGTGTGCGTGATGGTAGGAAATATGTTCCTTCAAAGAAGGCGATGGTGGATCCTCTGAAGATGGACATGTCCAAACCCCTGCTTATGCCTCTCTCATGTGAGTGTTACCTTGTTTGTGTGTCACTCTATGCGACTTATCCTGTGTACAGGGTCACTGGGGGGGGCTAGAGCCTATCCCAGGGCGAAAGGCGGGGTACACCCTGGACAGGTCGCCAGTCCATCGCAGGGCCACACATAGGCAGACAACCACTCACACTCACAGTCACACCTAAGGACACCAATTAACCTAGCTGCATGTCTTTGGACCCGCAGACACGGGAAGAACATGCAAACTCCACACAGAAAGGCCGGGGCAACCGGGGTTTCAACCCACGACCTTCTTGCTGTGAGGTGATGTTGCTAACCACTGCACTACCGCGCCGCCCCCTGTATGGGTGTTTGATTATTAATTTGAATTCGAATTGAAGATTACACATTCCCCGCTATGATGAAATTGAAATATAACCACATTGTAATACAGATTTGTTAGTGGGGAGGTTCGGTGTTTTGTCAAATCTCAGTTTACAATGATAACATGTAGGTATGGCAGTCCACACAGCTACTACACTAAAATACATCTACTGTGGTGGCCCAAAGGTTAGAGAAGCGAGCTTGCGAGGAGATCGCCAGTTCAGTTCCCGGACCAGCAGAATAAAATCTGAGTGTGGAAACTAAACCAAGCAGTGCTTGCCCTCCCTCATTTACTACCACTGAGGTGCCCTTGAGCAAGGCCCATAACCCCAACAGCTCCAGTGGAGCTGCTTAGTGGCCAGCAGACCAGGCTGCGGTTGGACTGGGCAGCTTCCAGGTGTGAATGTGTAACAGTGTGAATGTGATCAAGGCCTTCCTGCAAATGAGAGGTTTCTCTCAGTGAAGCTCCCCTGAATAAATAAAACTAAAAAAAATTTATGGCAACACTCTACTATAAAAATTATATTCACTTACTTCACAAACCTTATTGTGGAATTGTGTACTTTTACAACATAGTATGTTTTTAAAAAATACTTCTAAGCTTTGTTTTACCATACTGAAAGAGTTTGTTACAAATTTGGTTAAATCTTTACAATTAATAGTTTTAGTACCAGCCAAACAGAACACTGCATGTTAGAGCTAGACCAATATTTTGGTTGGGCTGACACATATTAGCTTACTGCAGATATATTGGTATGCACATATATGTTTGTGTCCACCAGAGTGCACGACAAGTGCTAAATGTCTTGCTTGCTTTTTATGGTCACAATTTCTGAAAAATAAACAAAAAGGATTCTCATAGAAAATGTGTTTCTGTTACACATTTATATAATTATGTCGTTATCATTTTTTTTAAAGCTCGTATATTTATATTGGGTTCTGCCTCAGTAATCCAGTATTGGTTGAGCTAAACTGCAGGTGTTCATGTTCTTCCCACTTTGATAGCTTCAGTGCACAGAGGGCAGTAGTGACGTGTTTTCCAATTTTGATTTCCCATGTGTGACAAAAAATGAATGCAGCATTTATTTGCTGGTATGGGGAAGTTGTAGAGGAGGTAGTGTATATTAAGGTGCATTTATATTTCTTAAGCCACCACATTTACCCTCTAGAGCCATATTTGTTTTTTTACAAGCTTTGTCCCCTTTCTGCCTTGTTTCCCTCTAGCCTCTCAGCTCTCCCTGCAGTGCATCGAGTGCCACATAATCTTCAGTGATCACAAGAGCAAAGAGCGTCATCTGAAGCTGAGCCACCCAGCAGAATATGAACAATGCATACTAAGGAATGCCCTTTTTGCCTGTTATGTTTGCGACCGCCACTTCACAAATTCCACAGAGCTTATGGTCCACCAGAAAGCCCACATAGAGAAGAAACCCTTCAAGTGTCCAATCTGTGGCCAGGCCTTCAACAAGTCATCAGAGCTCACCCTTCATAAAAAAATTCATTTTGGCCTGGACGGTTATGCCTGTTCTGACTGTGGCAAACCATGCAAAACCATGACACTGCTGAAGTATCACCGTCGCACACACACTGGAGAGAGGCCGTATGTATGCAAAGAGTGTGGAAAGAGGTTCACCATGTCCAAAGCTTTGCAGAAACATATGGTGTCACACCTGCCAGAGGGAGCTGAAGGAGATGGGGGAGACACAACAGCTAAAGCTCAACTGAAGAAAGATGATGGTAAGAAAATGTCCATGTTACGGATATCTCATCATTGTACACATTGAATTAGTAACATAAATTGTAGCTATGCTAGTGACATGGGCGTGTTAGTAAAGTCAAGACAAGTTTTATTTATAATGCACATTTAAAAACCACCAGAGTTGACCAAAGTCTGTCTGTCGGTCAATTTATTCAATACTTTGGTTTATGATTAAATACTCACCATTTACTTTCCCATCAGATGGACTTGTTGCAAATGTGAGCATGCTAACATGCTAAACTAAGATACTTGATACTCTAGCACTTAGTTTAAAGCACCACTCTGCCTATGTGCAGCCCCATAGAGCTGCTTGCATGGATGTAGATGCTCAGTCTTAATATAATAATCTGATCCAAAATTATACAATAATTAGGAATGCATGATAAATCAGGAGACGATATGTTAGTAGCCAATGAGTAAGAAAATTAAATTGTTGTTTTTTCTGAGAAACCAAAGTTATTTAAACAAGTTTACAGTAAATGCAGGTATTTATTTTAGAGATGGTGAAGGCTCTATAAACATTTTATTAGAAATATGTAATGTAATTCTCTCCACATTTTTGCCTTTTGTAAGGTTAATATGATCAGGTATCGTATCGACCACAACAGATTTAATTATCAGTTATCATTTTCGGCCTGAGATTCCATATCATTGCATACCTAAAATTCTAGAAAACCAACTGTCAGGTTGGAGGAAATATACTACCGTACTTAACAATTTTCTTCCTTTATTATCTATAGGTGCTACAAAATATCCTTGTTCTGTATGCAAGGCCAGCTTCAAGAGTACCAAGACACGGTTACATCACATGAAAACTAAGCATAGTGTATTGCCTGCTACTGCCAGCAATGCCCTCCCAGGTGGGCAGCAAGTAAAACAAAGTACACCCATCATAACTCCAATATCTATTTGCCAATCAGCACTACTACAGGTGGAGCCCAATGGTCCTCTGCAAAAAGTTGATGCCAATATTGACACAGAGCAGATTCGCAGACTTATTGAATCTTTGGGAAATGTGCAGAAAGTGAACCAAGTTGTCATATTGGGGCAGGTGCCCCCTCATGCCCCGCCACTTGAAGTGCAGCAGATATCACAAATGGCAGAATCGGCCAATTTGAATCTCAATCCACCGCAAATAGATTTTATGGGCCTGAAACAGACAGAATCTAAGGCCATTGAATTTGACCCTTCAAATAGCATATGCGATTCAATGGAGCAAACAATTATACTGGAACCTATTACACCTGATGGACAGTTGGAAAACCCCACTTTCTCAGAACTTGGTTCACACATAGCAGCAGGTGAAAATATAGAGCTAACACTCGTTCAGACTGAAGAAACAGAAAGACCCGAGGGAGAGGTGATGCATCACATCCTTCAACAGCCAGATATTAGTGCAATTCAGTCTGATCCTATGGATCAAATGATTTGTCAGAATGAGGTAGTTGTCCTCAAAGAAAACTTTGAACAAACAGTCATATTAGAACTTACCCCCGCTTTGATACCAACTGTGGAGCTGGAACAATCCCAAACTGTGCCACAAAATGATATCCCATCCTCCTCTCTGGTATCAATCACAGAACCGGAGAAGACTCCTGATCAGACTCTAGATCATACTGTAATAGATGAGCAGGAGACCAGCCTGTCAGTCCCAACACTTATGCATACAGTTGAGTTGGAGCCGACACCTTTACAAAGAGAGCAGGAAGACCTTCCTTCTTTCCCTTTTGTTCCACCAGACACACTTATACAAACTCCAAGTGAATCCGAAACTAATCCCAAAGAAGGGGTTGATATCAACATGCAAACAGTAAGTCTAGATGAGGTACACCCTGTGATGGATGGAGCTGCACCGCAAGAGACACAGGAAAAGGCTGAACAAGAACCATCTGAGAAATTGCTGGTAGGTGAAAAGGAGGGGCAGGGGCAGGTGGAGAACCTGTCTGAATTAGAGGATCCATCCGCTAAAGAGGAAGTTCCATCACATTTAGAGACAAAGCAGGTTCCACAGATCTCAGAATTACCTGTAAATGTAATGTCAGCTCAAGAACTGGTGAAAGTACGGAAGAGAAAGCCAGCCAGGGCATTTATCTTTCAAGGATATATGCAAGAACTGGTCGGATCCATACTCAAGGATGATTTACAAATTAATACCCAACCTGCCAAACGGCAAAGAACAAAAAAGTCTCATCTTGTTGTTAAATTTGGTCCACAAAGCAAAGAGAAGAAAAGCAAAAAACAGAAGAAGGAGCATCAGCCAACACAGAAAGATGTGATAAAAGGTAAAACACCAACGACAAATCTCTCTCAAAAAAAAGTACCATCACAGAAGAAGGGAAGAAAGGGGAAAAAGGACAAGAAAGCAGGACATTTGGCATCTACAGCTGAAATAAAATCACCCTCATCAACCCGGGATCCACAGGTGCAACAAATCAAAGAAGATATGAGAAAAAATAAAATGAAAAAGCAAGAAGTGGTCAGGGAGGTTGTTACGCATGTAAGTGAGCACAAAAATGTAGCCTCACCTGTATTCAAAAAGAAAAAACAAGCAAAAATAATGCGAAAAGATCAGCCCAAGAATGCAAAGGATGGGAAGCAAAAGAAAAAAGTCAAGACAAAAACAAGTGCAGTTTCAGCAGACATGCCTGGCCCACACATAACTCAAGATGCTCTACTTCTACTGAAAGGTCATAAACAGCCCCAGCTGAAAGTTTACAAGTTAGACCCTTCAAAGGCATCCAGCCAGACACAGGATGCTTCACCTCATGAGTCCCAAACAATGTCCCAACAGAGTAAAGACAGCAGGCTCAAACATCCAGCTAGTCAGTGTACAGATCTCACAGCAGGTAAGAAAAAAGGAGGAAGACCCAAAAAGAACCAGAAAGCTCTTTCATTGTTGTCCTCGCTACAGGTTTCCCATCAATCACCTGAGACCCTGCCCACCAAGCCAAAGACCTCCAGGAAACGTAAAGCCTCCTCAAAAGTGGAGACTGAAGGAGTGATAACTTCTTCTCATTCCAAGCGTGCCTTAGAGTGTAAGGACTGTGGGGAGCGATTTAGTGAAGTCTCATCTCTTCAGAAGCACAAGGCGATGTTGCATATTGTAGAGAGTCCCGGGCTCACTTACACCAATGGGAACATCTTTGAAGGCGTCTCCAGGTTGGATCTTTACCAGCTTCCAAAACAGCATGATAAGGTTGTTAGGGTGATGAATGCTACTACAGACTGGGATACTGAGCCTGAGATGGGAGAGATGGCATTAGAAGACAGAGAGCGAAGTGTCTCTTTTCCAGCTTTGATTCCATCCCCATCTTTACCTCTTCCTCCTTCAGATGTTGAAATGAGTGCCTATGAAGATAAGGGTGGAAGTAAAACAGGGGCAGACGATCAATCTCATACCTTTTCAGAATTTCACTCACCATCTGGTCAAATGAAAAACAGAGAGACCCCTCCAAATTTCACATACGAATCCCCTTTGCGTACCTCTACTCAGACAAAGAATTCGGAGACAGGAGAGCCTTTGGCATCAAATGAGGACAAGCGAGAAGAAGGCACCCTGAAGAATTCCAACTCAGAATCTGAAGTCAAGAGTACCACAGATGAAGACATTAAGGAGGATTTACTTCTCGAGGTAGATTTAGTCACTGTTGGGGAGGTGAATGAGAGAGATAATCCACCTTCTCATGAAGACACTGCTCCTCAAAATGAATCCAATGGAACCTGCAGTTCTGAGGGTGCAAGCACCAGAAAACTTCCCAGGCAAGTTAGTATTGAAACAACTGAAACAAGTCTAACTTCGCAGACTGTGTCATGCTCTACTCATCAGATCGAGATCAAAGAAGAGGAGGAAGAAATGTTAGTCGAGACGATAAAAGGAGAGAATGGACCTGTGGGGAATGCTAGAAGGGGTAAGAGAAGAGGAACAGGACGTTTGAAAAGGGATGTGATAGCAAAAAGAGTTTCAGTTGGAGATACTGTCAGAGGAACAGAATCAGAGAAAGAACGAGATGAATGTCACGTAGTTTACGAACAACACCCCATCCTCTCTGATTCAGAAATTTTTGATAAAGGTCAAACCGGAACAAAGACTTCAAAACCAGAGACCAGTCCTGAATTTGAGACCAATAAAGCTACTGCTACTGTCACATCTTTGCCTTCAATCCCCTCTACATTAGAGGAATCTCCTGAAGAGCAAGTCGTGTTTGAGCTGGAGTCGGTTACCACTAGTGTTGAGGAGGTAATGAGTGAAAGAGGACTGCAAGGAGGAGAGGAGCACCACAGGGATCAGTCTCCAGGCATCATACTTGAGAAGTTCCTCACTTCTAGACAGAGAGCGACTGCTGACAAGGTGTGCCTGATGACAGCGAGGATCAATCAAAGACAGGTGAGATGCTAATTGTACCAATAAATACCAAACATTATAAATGAATGATGAATTCAACATTGCAAACTTAAAACATTAGTTTTTGTTCCAGGGTTTGGACAGCATTGCTGACAATGAAGTGCATGCCCTTGATAGCCAGGAGATCAAGGTTGAAGAGAATATCTCAGACCCACTACTGTTTGCACCCACCTGTCAAAACAGACAGAGTGCAAGTATGCAGCCACAGCACCATCGTGATATAAGGACTGTTCTGGTGAAGGAGGAGAATAGCCTTGTGCTGAATGAGGTTCAGAGCACGCAGGGCAGCAGACATATCCGATGGAATGTGGAGCCGGTCAGCAATGAAACCACCTCCAGTACATGTAAGTATTAGTTCACACAGTAGGCACATTAGTATTAGTTCAACATTTTGGGAATTATTTGCTTTCTTTTTGAGAGTTGGATAAGAATATGGATACCACTCACATGTCTGTGCATTCGGTATGGAGATATAGCCTGGAGGAGATAAGCTTAGCTTAGCATGAAGACTGGAAGTTTATTATTGACCATGGACAAAAACATGAATCTAATACAAAGATGTGTACTGTACCAGATTTTGCAATTAGCGACTTCAGTGCCAGGGCAGGTATACACAAACAAGAAAGAAGGTAAATGGCTAGCTTGGCTCTTCCCAAAGTTCAAAAATATGACTTCAGAGCTTACTTATTTAACTCACTGTATCTCATTTGTTTAATCCATACACAAGCAACGACAGTTGAGTGCTGTGACTTCCCAAGTACTGCTGTCTCAGTAAACAGCAAACACGCTGCAAACAAGTACCGGGCCGACAGATGAATTGTTGTTACACAACATAAATCCCTTTTGAAGCAACAAATTAATTGTTTTTTAAAACAATTTTAATTTAATATGTGCGTTAAATAGTGGGCTCAAGAGGTGTTGGTAGGTGTATTTTTGAACTGCCGCTTCGTCTTTTAGCTAAGATAAGCTAATCACTTCTTAGCTATAGCTTTGAAAGGGGATTATTAAATAAGCCTATGTGGTGGTAATTCCACTTTGTGCCTTGTATTGACAGTCTTAAAATTTTGGACTTTTTTTAAAGATGGACATTTTGGGCTTTTTGCTTTCAGTAATGGAGAGTGGGGATACAACAAGGGACTGTCGCGTCACCCCTGAGTTCAACACCAACCACTGTATCTTCTACCCAGTGAAGGAAGAGGAGAGGGAGGTTCAACTGGGAGATGCTCAGACCAATAGTGTGAATTTAATCATGGGGGCATCCAGTGATGTCCAGCAGACAGAACATCAAGTAGCAGATTTAAGTGAGTCATTGCCTTTTCTAGTACCACGGATTATAGGAAGACCTCTATTTTAGTGTACAATCTGTTAACAACAGATGAAAGGAGCCATTCTGCACCAGACTACCAGGAAATGAGAGTGAGAGGACTATTGTCAGAACCAGGGGTCAGGGACTTTGCAGATGGACATGGTTTGTTTTCTATTTGACCTGTACTTGTAGCTACTTGATTCACGTCCTTAAAGATGGGCTATGTGATTGTAATACAATACAGATCAGCGAATATCTCCTCAGGCTACACTAGCCTGTTGTGTGTGTGCCCTGAAAAAAAGTCTATTGTTTGTACACAACCCTGGCTCTGTAAATAGGAAACAAACAAAGTGGCTTGGACCAAGCCACACAACACTATTCCAGCCACAATTTTTGTGTTGGGTAACGGTAAATGACTTGTGCCCGCGGACATTCAGTTAAGTAGCAGGAGAGTTGTGAGTTTTGCTGTCTGGAGCTGGTGTGCTTGCTCTGGGACAGTCTCCTCCTCTCTACATGTTTGCTTCACAGCATCTTCACACATAGCGTGCTATGTTTGCTCTAAGTCATTGTATCTGTCATGGTATTGGATTTCTTCAGAATCGCATACCCCACCTTTTATGCTATTTATTACAAATGTTTCTCATACTTTAGATGACTTGCTTGTCTATACTAATTGATCTTTCAGCTGAGGTAGATGCTGAGTGGCAGCATCCACCGGATCTCCAGGACTTTCTCCTACAGAGTTCTGATGAAGAGGACGTTGGTGCTTTTGAATTGTCTGATCCTCAGCTTGACTCAGAAGCAGAAGTAATGGCCTATTTCTACAAGAACCAAACAAACCGTGCACAAGGGCCAGATGAAATGCCACAAAAGTACAGTACAATTTTTTTTTATTCTTCAAAACTTCACATAACACTGCTAAAAAATTAAAAAAATTTTGTTGACATGCTCAGATTTTGTTGATTTGGTAATTTTTCCTTGATTTTTGTGCTTCTACCATTGGTAAATACACTACATAGTTTGTCTATTTTAAATGTGTTTGTTGATATACGATCAGGAGTCTGCACGGGGTGTTGATTGATTCTCTATGCCGTTTCTGTGTCCAACTTCCTGCCCGATCAGCTCTGTGCAGCTTGACATGGCTTCAGTCAAAAATAATTTAGCAGAGCAGAGCTGATAGTCGCTTCTGGGACACTTCTGAAAGGGCATTTGGTGGAATCACAAGCATTATCTAGAATGGCCGCGATCAGCTCTGGCGGCTGTGCCTGGTGGAATCCAGCCATTAGGGAAACCTATTTGTTTCAAACAGTAATTGTTTGGCTCTTGTATGTGGTGCTCACTCATTTGCGCATGATATTAATTTCTTTTTGTCTTTAGTTTGCCAACTTCAACGAACCAGCTTCAAACACCAAGAGAGGAAAACAGGACCAGAGAGCCCATTGATTACTTCTCCAAGTATTTTGGTTGGGATACCTGGGTAGAAATTACCAATTGCACAAATAAACTGTCCAACTTGCCCAACCCTGTCATAGCCAGAGAGGTTGCAAAATTTGTTGGGATCCACATTGCAATGGGAACTTTAAAGGTTTGTTCTCAATTCTCTTGAATGTTTTGTTTCGGTTGTGTTAGGTAGACGCACAACCACAAAAAGTTTATTTGGTCTCTTGGTGTTTTTCAGTTTCCCTCTCCGAGGCTCTACTGGGAGGACCTAACTAAGGTGCCCTTGGTTGCTGAAGCCATGCCACTTTCCCGTTTCCTCGAGCTGTCTCGCATGTTGAAGCTTGCCTCTCCTGCACAGGATCCAGTCAACAATAATATACAGGAGGAAAGACATGGTAGTGACTTTCAAAATGTACAGCAAGAAAATAGTCTGTCAAGCAGGCAAAGTGAAATTTCTCAGTGTAGTGACGGGCAGAAGCAAGGGGATACGCCAAATGACCTGGACAGTTCAAAAACACAGACTGATCCCCTGTGGAAGGCTCAGCCATTATTGTGCCGTTTTAGAGCAGGGTGCCAGTCACTGAGACGAGGTGGTGATTATGCAGTTGACCAATACCCACTTCCTCTGACTGGGAAAATGCACAATAAGAAACTGTCTCTCCACTGTACTACGTTAATTGGATTTGGCGGTTTGCTCTTACATGTGGATCTTAAATTGGGTCTGTCCGGCAAAGAGGACGCTGTGGAAAAAATGGTCCCCAAAGGTAGCATGGTATTTCTTTGCAAACAGGAACTCTCCACCCCTGCTATGCTAGAGCGTCTGTTAGTAGCTGGGGTTCATGGTGCAGGCAGGGTGGGAGGAGCCCGGGGACAGATCGGAGATGAGTTCGTAAGCTCAGATGGGAAGCTGATGTTGCGCAGATCGCACCGTGGCTTTATACTTTGTACTGCGGGAAATGGCCAGAGGAACATGGCTTCACTCATTGACAACTTTGAGAAGGCCCAGATGTCAGCTCACCTCAACAGAGATCTGCTAAATCTTTACTCTATCCCTCTCACTGCCTCGGCCCCAACCTGCTGGCCTCAAGCAGTGCTTTGGTATCTAACGGATCTGGCTTTGGTAAACTCCTGGCTCCTATACAGACAGGATCACGGGGCTGCGTCTCTACCTTTGACTCTCATGGCCTTCAGATTGGAGGTGTCCAAGGCTTTGATCCTCTCCAGCGGCTCTGATACCCAAGACTCAGTTCCCCCCCAACCCCTCATAGAGAAGGGACATGCATCAAATGAAACCTCCAATCCCAGCGTTGTGGAGGAAAGTCCCCTGCCAGATGCAGCCACACGGTACGATGGTTCAGGCCACTGGCCCGAGCAGCTTGGGGAGGGAGAAGGGGGCAGGTGTCGTTTTGGGGACTGTCAGAGAACATCTCGAGTGCTATGCCTTAAGTGCTGTGTCTTTCTTTGTATCTCACGCAACCACAACTGCTTTTTGAATTTCCACAACGAAGGGAGTTTGGGAAAAGAGTAGTGTCCACTCCAGACATCAACCTTTTTATGTAACATTTTACTTTCTGGTTTAGAATGTAACTGTGCTTTTGATGTATGTAAACCCAGCTAATCAAAAACTGGTATTATCTCCTCAGTCCTTACAACTTTTCCATGATGCCTATCACTGGCAATGTCATTCTTTTAGTAGGATTATTGTGCTGCAGTTTAAAAAACAAATGCTTTGTGATTTGTCATTGAGCAAGTGTAAAAATGAATTTGCCTTTAGAAGGAAATGTAAAAAAAAAAAATACTCACAGCCATGTACTTTGTGCTGCAAAGTGTAAAATATGATTTTGACATTGCGGTTACCATGATGTTTTTACTATTTATTTTTGTACATCATTTTAAATTCTATGATAAGCTTGTTTTGGGGTATTTGAATTTAAACATTATTTATTTGAATTTCAGAATACAATAAAAAATTGTTAAAAAAAGAAATACATTGTTTTGGGATTTTTTCAAGATCGCCAACAAATATTTACACAACACACCTTTTTTGACAGCTTGTCACAGTAAGTAAAACACAGGTGTTACTAATAACATTAAAGCTCTGTTCTATTAAAATGTCCCATTAAGCTGTGATAGAGCCAGCGTGAACAGTAGCAGCACCCTGAAACTGAAGCAGCTAAATTGAATTCAGCCATCATTCATCTTAGTATTTACACCTATGTGTTTCTTACTGTGACATATCAAAATATCTTCCATTAAAAGTGAAAGGTTATTTATTGTCCCCATTTGTCATGCAGCAATGGTTGACATAATGAAAGAAATTTGGCAGCAAAAGGATACAGACAGATACAAAAAGACAACATCAACAATAAATCACATAGCTAGTGCAAGGAAGTGGAAATTCATAACTGCATATATGCCAGAGTGCAAATGCGCCAAGGTAATACACCTAGGGGGGCAATTGTGGATGAAAGAGACATGGAGTCTTTCAGTCCTCCTAACAGGTGCCCTGAAACAGCTTCAATGATTAGGTTTTTTGTTTTTGCTGCGACACTCGTTATTGAACATGATTAAAAGAAGTGGGCAACTATTAGAGGAACCGGTGGATGTGCCGGTTGGACAGAACTCCATTAATGCTCGCACACTGTGACCTATCAGTTTAAAAGTCCATTATCCAATCAGTCAGATTATGATTAAGTTTAAAGTGGCAGATAGGCCTCTCTGTGAGCAGGAGAGTCCGAATGGTATTGAATGCCAAAGAGAGGTCAATAAATAAAGAGTCTGGCATGAGTCTTGGGGCCCTCCAAATGCTAATACAAAAAGTGTAACAGTGAGACGACAGCATCCTCCACACCTTTACCAGGACTATATGCACATTTTAACGGATGTAGTGGTTCCTCAACCTACATTAAACCTGATTCTTGATGAGCTTTTCAAATGACTTCATTACAAAAGAAGTCAGAGCTACTGGACTGAAATCATTTAACACTGTAGGTGTGTTACTGTTGGCTACTGAAGCAATAATGGAATGTTTCCAAAGCTTCTGCAGCTTTAGAGATTAAGTAAAGATATACTGAAAGCTGCTACAGAGCTGATATGCACACGTTTTTAATACCTGGCCTCAGATGTTATCAGGTCCTTGGCTCTCAGTCATCTGGGCAGTAAAATCATGATTATTAAATCTTAGATTAAAATGATTTAGTTTCCATCCAGAGCGATGCACCTGTTGCCCTTATCCTGAAATCCTGTCATCATTTTCATTCCGTTCCTCTCTTTAAGTTGTTTCTGCTGAGCTCTGCCTCATTCATATCCTTACACCTCAGTTAAGCCTTTTTTCAGCCCTCATATCTTCATTTATTTCCCTCTCTGTATTGGCATACCCAGCATTAAAAAGCATGTTTCCTTTTACATGTCAGACCCTTAATGTCTTCGGAAATCCACTGTTTGTTGTTAGGACAAATATTTACTTCTTTTGTATGAATCATGCAGTATTTGCAAAAAGAGATGTAGCTACACACATCCATAAGCTCATCAATATCAGAGGAGTCTGTCTGAACCTTGAGTCCAGACCTTGACCTGCCTTTTAATCGCCTTCTCCCTCAGCACAGATCTGGGAAGGTTACCTTAGAAAATTACCTTATTTCAAATTTAATAGTAGTGTAACTATCTCAATTACTTTATCAAAGTAGTGTAACTTACTACATTTAAGTACTTTTTGATTAATTTTCTAAATTTATAATGAATGTTTTCAACTGTTAACCATTTTCAAAAGACAGCTTGAGAGGCAATTTAACTGGTAGATGGGTGGCAAATTCAAACATGAGAACCAATCACAAGGAAGAGATTGTACACATGTAAAACATGCAGAGCAACAAAATGAATATTATTCAACAAACAGCCTAGCTTTTTACAGAAAATATTCAGATGTGACGCCCAATGTAATCATGAACATATTCATAAGTAATTGTCATTTAACTACTCATTTTTTCCCAGTAACTGTAACAGATTACAGTTACATTTATTTTGAAATTTAATTATTCAACTAAATTACATGTAACTAGTTACTCCCCAACACTGTAAGCAAGCTAGATTTATTCATCCCAAATGGATGTGCAGTACCACTAGGACCATGCTGGTTCTGCAATATGTATTGATATTATTAGTGAAAACGAAGAAGATAATGTTAAAATAGAAAAGAACAGAAAACTGTAAATTGTATATAGAGTGAATTCAAGTTAGACATTCAATTCAAAACGCTGAGAAACATCTTTGTGGAATAAGCTACAGAAGACTGTTGATTGAACTTACTCACACCTGTGTGAAAGCCTTTTTGTGTGCGGGTAAACATGCAGTCGATGATTTAATTTAAAGTGGTACACGGAAGTGTACGGAGAGGGAGGTAAATAAGACAATTACAGTCCAGTAAATGAAAATTTGAATAAGTACTTTTCACGAAGTAGTTCTGGGTCACGTGACGTGGATCGACCATAGATTCAGACTGAATAGAAAGGGTCAGTTCAAATCCATGTATCATAAAGGCATAACGTTAGCTGTTCTGTTGTGTTGTGTTAGCAGGTTTTATTAGATAATATAGTGTAGTAACAGGTGCGTTGACATTTTGAAACAAAAACTCTTGTATTATACTTGTGCTATTATACTGTAGAACAGTCATGTGCCTCGTTTCCGTAAAATAATATATCTTCCTAGACTCACTACGATGCAAACTGCTGCTCTGTACCTGTGACGGAACAACGTGGCAGATCTATTTTGTGTACCTTAATGTTCCGTGTAAATCATAGGTCTAAACATTGTCAATGCTGTAACAACTAGTACCACAGACTCCCCGGCAGCCATCTTAGTTGTACCTACGGCTATCACAGCCATACACCAGGAAGTGTCCGATCTATCCGTTGTGCTTCTCTGGGGTCAACTCTCTCAGTCAAACTACCTTCAAAGAGCGGTTAGAGGTAACGTAAACGTCTACTCAGTTTTAGATTTGTCATTTAAATCGTTTGCTCTGGCTACAAATATTGACGTACACCATATTGACGTATACGTTAGCATAATGCACACAAGCGCCAAACAATGAGTTAAAACTTGGCGTGTGAAAAAGCACGAAAAGTCTTCGATGTTATTTGAATGGCAGCCAGTGTTGTTAGCGCTAACCAGTAGCAGGATAGCTAGCATTAGCCCGCCCGGTGGCCTTGTATTTTATGATTAGCGCAAGCTACGCGCGCAGACTTTAAAGTAAAGCACTTAAACGATTCTAGTTTACCAGCTAGAGTCGTTAAAGCATTTCAATCAGCAAAGTGAAGGCTGTATGATCGCAGGCTAGCATGGAGCTAGTTATCTTAGCTAGCGGCCTCAAAGGCAGTAACGTTACGCTAGCTAAGATGAGCTGAAACTTAAGTGGTTCCTGTTGGGAATACGGGCTAAAAGTTAAACAGCCCTTAAGCTATGTATATTTTGGTTTCTTTGAACACATTTGTCTTACACTTACCTCATACTAAACAACTTGTAGGGGAAATCATGTATACGAATAGATGGATATAAATAGAATAGTCATCTGTTGAATAAGCTTAAATGATCCTTGCGTATTTAAAGGTAAGTTATCTGTGGGATTATAGAAGTGTTATGTTCCCGCTGTTAACCAAACTGCTGCTATTTCCATGTGCTATGGAGTTTAACCTAATCCGATTTTCATGCTGTCTTTGTTTCTGCTTTCTTTAACCGAATATAGGAAAGTTGTTGTGAGACCACCTAGTATACCAGATGGACTCGGAGATTTTGAACATAGAGGAGATAGTGATGGGAAGGGGATTGCCAGATCCGCCTCCAGAAGCTCCCCCTGAAAAGCCAGCAGAGCCATACAAACCCATCACCTTTAATGGACCTCCTGCACCCTCTGTTCAATCATGTAAATAGTACAATGGTCACACTTGAACTCAAAATGCTGAAAGCAGTTGAAAGATCAAGTGTGTCTTTGCGAGGTCTCTAATCTCCCCCTGTCCTTCCAGACCAGCATGAAAATCTGCAGTGTTTCCAGTGCTTCATCACGTTCTGCAGTGCCAAAGCCAAGGAAAGGCATATGAAGAAGAGCCACCGGGAAGAGTATAAGCAACAGCTTCAGCAGGTAAGCTTCACAATAGCAGGTCATTCAGTTCACTAGTAATGGTGACAGTTTGTGTTAATTACACATTTTGTGTAGAACAAATTGCCTTTACATAAACATATAAATATACTTTTAATTAGTGTTTATGACAAGTTTTCATAAGCACAATCTCTAAGTCTTGACAGAGTTGTTTGATATTTTTGTTGCAGTGCCTATTCCTTTTCTCCCCTAATTTTCTCTGCCAGAAAGTACTCAGATAGTTAACATAGCAGCTTTCTAATACTTTAGTCACCCAAGTATATTTTGACATTAGTTTAAAGGTACAATTTGTCATATTCTGCTTTTATCCTTTAATTGCTGTAAAGTTAATGGCATTGCAGTGCATGCAAAAATGGTCAGAGAGAATGTGCATGCAGTGCATTCACGTGTTATAGCTTGTGTTTGAATATGTTTTGTGAAATTAATATTTTATATTTTATAGAATATGTTGAGCTTGATTTTGCTTGCCTTTATTCGATAGAATGAACACTGTATATACAGCATATACCTTTGATACATTGTTAGTGTGTGTTAGTTTTCAGTAAAGCAAGACAAACTCCTGCACGTCACCTGTCCTGGGCAAATAAAGAAAATCTGATAAAGTAGTTCTTGGTCTTGAATTGTTTTAACTTTGGTCCCTCTTGTTTTTATTTCTTCACAGGGAAACACATTGTTCACGTGCTACGTGTGTGATCGCACATTTTTGTCATCTGAGGAACTGACACAGCACCAGCCAACACACAGCAAGGACGACAAGCCCTTCAAATGCGTTCACTGCAAGGAGAGCTTTAAAACGTTCTCTGAAGTGAGTTTAATGTTAAAGCTTTATTTATTTAGTTTTATGAAATAGCATAAAAGTAATTCACTGGCAGTATTAAAACTAAAATTAACACCATAAATGCCCGACAAATATAAGCATTATAATATAAGATTCTAGTTTATACTGAATGTTTCTGTTTTATCTCTTTACTTCTCACTTTCACAGCTCACAGCCCATAGAAGACAGGTGTGTCCAGAGAAACAGATGGTATGTAAAGATTGCAATGAAACCTTCCGGAGTGCTGGACTGCTGCGCAATCATCGCCTGACCCAACATCTCCGCCCGGACGTAGAGATTGCAGAACAGCCGGAGGACCCTACAAAGACCCACCGCTGTAAGAAGTGTGGTCAGGGCTTTGAAACGGAATCGGAACTGGTATCGCACCAGGAGAAGTACCCTGAAGGGCAGCAATGTAATGGCAGCGCTTCAACCGTCAAGAAACGTGGGCGGCCTTCCAAAACCGAAGAACCGGCAGGTGCTGAGAAAAAGGGAAAGCGGAAAAAGAAGGATGAGGCAGAAGCACCTGAGGAGGCGGTAAAGGCCAGCAGCACGTCCGAGTCAGCAGCACCTCCTGCAGAGGAAAAAGGAAAAGCAGGTGGGGCAAAGCGTGGCCGTCCTTCTAAAGCAGCCGCAAAGTCAGAAACGGAAAATAAGAAGAGTCCCGAGGATGACGGTGAAGCTGCAGCAAAGGAAAAGAAAGCATCTAAACCGGATCCTGCCCCGCCTCGTCAGCACCCTTGTTCTGAGTGTGACCTCGCATTCCCCAGCTTGATCCAGCTCCGCGCTCACAAGAAGGAGAAACACGCTCCGCGGAAAGCCCACCCCTGCGAAGAATGTGAAGAGAGCTTTGCCCGTCCTGAGCAGCTGGACGCCCACATGTCACGCGCTCACGCTGTGGGCCGCTTTGCCTGTCCAACCTGCGGGAAGAGCTTTGGCCGTGAACGCACCTTGAGAGCTCACGAGAAAAGCCACCCAGAGGAGAAGCCTGAAAACCCAAGTGCTAAGAGATAATTGATACGTGGGGACCTCACAGAAAGTGTATGGTTTTTGAAGATTTTAGTCAGGAATTGCCCTTTTTCTTTTAACACTGGAGATCTGATGCTCCAGATGATGGTTTCAGAAGAGTGGGAATGGTTTTGAGAATGACCTTTTTAGCAAGTTTTGGATTTAAAGTTGAGTTTTGATTATGAACTGTTGAAATTTTTGGACAGACAGACACATCTCCTAAATTGACTAACCAAATGTTCAGTCCATCTATTACACCCTTTGTCACAAAGCCTAGTTTATTTGTGCAAACATTTGATTAACTTTTTAAATGATTTGTTTCAGTTTTTTAAAGCTTGAAATGCGTGTGGTGTGAATCTTACTTGGTGTCTTGAGTTATTCAACTCACTTTGTGGTAAAAAAAATTATTTTTAATGTTTTTTTCCTCATGTTTTTTTTTTTTCAAAACAGAATGGATAAGTGCATATTTTGAAGCATATTAGATACCTAGTAGAGATACTATGTTTGAATGTTTAGACCGTTTGTCAAAAGAAATGTGTTATGTACAGCTTCTTGTTCATATTTTTGCATTTTCTTTTTTTACACTTAATATTTTTGATTATGTTCCTTTCTAAATTAAGTCTCATTAAGGAAGAATTTTAAAATAACATGAAAGTTCTGAGAAAAAAAAAAAAAAAAAAGATTTTGGCTAATGTGCTCCAGATTCAATGTGGAGTGTTTGGCGTGTGGGCAGAAATGATCCACTATAATCTTGATTTGTCTTAAGGTAATATGTACTCCTTAATTTTTTCACTTATTAGAATAAAATATGTCTTAGACATTTCTTAAATGGAACTTGTGGCTCTTTAATGCCTTAAGAGTCCCATGAGGAACTGTGTATATCATCTGTTATTCACTGATTGGATTGTTTCTCTCCCCACTGCAATGTGTCTGGACACTGCAAAAATGTAATAAAAGATGCCATCCCAAGGGAGGCTGCTGAAGAAATAACTAAGCCTTTTTGTCTTTGTTCTCACTTTTAATGCAGGAACACAACCTGAAATGTGGTCTTGTGTTTCATGTGACAAACAGGTTGAATGGGACATACACTGGATATTAGGGCCGTTATTTATCAAGCTTCTCAAAGTGACATTTTAGTCTCAAGTGCTGAGAATTCATGAAATTTACTCCCACTTTTAAACTTAAGAATAAAAACAAGTAATCAAATTTCTCAAAGCTAAGAATCACTCTTACTCTCGCAGTTATTTAAGACAGCTGCAGAGGTCTCTCAAGTGGTTAGGAGCTGCCAGTAGGGGCTTGTGATGGCACTGTGGAGACAGAGACATGAGACAATATTTCTGATTTGTTAGACGACGCGCAGTTAATAAAACGGGTCGGGTAGCGCAGGCATAATCTTTGTCAGCGAGTTGGTGAGGGACGTCATCTCACCACTGGCTTTACACAGTAATGCGTTTTCTGTTAAATTGAAGGTGGTGATGACGCTTCGTTTATTTGCCACAGGACAAACGCAGCAATGCTGATGATTTTGTCCGTCACTACCATCAATAAGCCGAAGAGTCATGGAAACAATTATAGCACATAGGCTACAGCTCCACACAGTCACGCGTTTCATCGACATCCCAACAACACCCCCGGTATTCCGACAAAAGCAAACAAATAGCCGGCAATACAGGAGTAGTAGGCGCATTTGATGGCGCTCATAAAGAAAAACTTTTTTATCTTTCATTTATTAATGTGTAGTCCTATATCATAATGTATTATCTTGAAAATTCTTTATTGTTAAACGTGTGTTGAATATAAACTCCTCTTAGGAATTTCACCATTCAATGTAAATTTATCTGAGAATAGGCTATTCTTAAATAAGGAAATCTATTCAGTGATTGGTCTTGGCTACATCGTCATCCAAAATCCTGTTTGCGGCACAGCAAAGTGTCGTAAATCAGCACTAAGACTGACACTTAAGATTTAGTTAAACACTTCACTCAAATTAGGACTATGATGCTTGATAACTAACTTTTAAGCACAGCTTTGAGCCAAGAATTGTTTTACAGTTCTTTGCAGTGTTGTTATGAGTATGCTCAGTGAGAAGCTCTGATTGGGCTGATGTGTACCTTTACCACAGGGCAGCTGAACTATTACAAATGCTGAATATTGAACATTTTGTCCAAGCACACTAATCCTGATGTGTCCTTCCTTTATAGTTTGGGACTGGCTGTTATTGTGTGTATCTTCTGTTACAATAATCATATTTGAATATAATACCATCACAAATAGGGATTTTTGATGTGCACTTGAAAGCACGAGAGTTAGAATAATGACATAAATGTGTGCCCAGCTGTTCAAACTTCCTTTAAAAAAAAGAAAATTCTCAATAACACAAATTCACAAGTAGTTTAATGAGCAATGAAATCTTTTGATAATAATGTCACAGCTATTTTAAAATAATTTTCTTGGATAGGAAATTCTTTGTATTGCATTTTATTACTGCCAGTGCCTGTTTGTGTTCATATGTATCAGCCACTTGCAGTGGTTAAAAGTAACCAAGTACGTTTACTCAAATATTACAATTTTAAGTTACTTGCACATAACTTGAGTACGTCTGATTTATGATATTATCTACTAGACATTGTACTTTTGACTAAACTAAAATCAGTAATATTCTTTATTAAAAAAATAGAGTTTGTACCACACTGACAAGCATAGTAATAATATTAATCAGTAGTAATAATCAATATAGATAGAATAGATCTTTGTTGTTAATATTTAAAAAAACAAACAACAAAAAACAGTCAATTGCACTTCCAGTTCTTGGGGTAGGGGTTATATTATTATATAGTACATGATTCTATAATGCATATAAAATACATAGCCTAAAGTAAAAGGTACTTCCTGTGAAATTTAATTAAAAGTATCAAAAGTGAAAGTACTTAAGTTATGCATGATGGCACCTGTCAGACTAGATATTATATCCATTTTATGGGTGCATTACTTTATAGAGATGCAGCATTTTAATTTAAATGGAGCTTCGAGATATACTGATGTTTCAGCAAACTGCTGTTTAATCTCAGTGATGTAAGTACTGAACTTAAGTACAATTTTGAGGTACTTGTACTTTCCTTGAGTATTCCCATTTGATGCTTTATAGCTTTATAGTTTTAATTTCCTAACTGAATTTATTCAAAGAATATTGGGATGTAGCATCTTGTTTCCAAGTTAACAAATACAAAATAAAACACACACAAAATAAAACAGCATTACATGCACTGTAAATACACATATACAGACAGTATCTGTGTATTTGTTGTTTGTAGTTTGACTTCAACTGTCAAGAAAAATTGGATACAAAGACCACAATAAGTCAATTACATCAATATAAAGGGCAATCCACTACATTTCAGAGACAAATATTGTACTTTTTACTTCATAACTTTTATTTGAAAGCTTTAGTTGCTAGTTACTTTGTATTAATAATCTAAATCTAAAAAGTCCAAATCAATTAAGACATTGTACTGTAGCTACCCAGCAGTAATTCAATTAGCTCCATCCTTACCAGCTGCAACATTAAAGTGATGAACTCATTAATTTGTCACTCCTTATAATCCAGCAGTGGTGGACAGTATCTAAGCACATTTACTCAAGTTCTGTAGGCTGAGATTTAGTGGAGATTTAGTGGAGCAGAAGTAAAAAAGTGGCAAGTAGCCACTTTTTTACTTCTGCTCCACTAAATCTCAGTGGGAGACATTGTACTTTTTATTTCACTACATTTATCTGACAGCTTCAGTTACTAGTTACAAAGTAATGTTTTTACACACAAAACAAACCACCCAACTGTTTTGATGATCGTTTTCATTTTTCATATAAAAACATTTTATAGTTCCATCTTAACACAAATGTGAAGATTTGCAGTTTTTTTGATTGGGCTCTGGGCAATTGTGACAAAATATTTATCCATACTAATACAATCATTAATTGCAGTCTGATACAAAATAGTTCAACCTCTGAATGCATGAGTAAGGACAATCTAATCCAGTCACAGGGGAGAGTAGGCTACTTTTACTTTTAATACTTTAAGTCCAAATTCCTAATTATTTGTTTTCAATGCAGTACTTATACTTATAACATAGTATTTTTACAGTGAGGTATTAGTACTTTTACGTAAGTAAAGGATATGAATACGTCATTCATTACTTATAATACAGTAATATAATATGAATCTGAGTAGGCTACTTTATTTTGATGCTAAAACTTTTGTCCTTTTGGTTGTAGATTTTGAATGTAGGACTTTTACGTGTGATAGTATCTTAGCACTGTAGTATTGATACTTTTGTAAAATATATTTTACAAGCTCATATGAAAATCTTTAGCAGCAAAAGTGCAATATTTCGCACTAAATTGCATCAGACCCTTTGTAACAGTTATGTCATGTAATACCGCCCCAAGACACTAGGTGTGCTCGAGCGTCCACAGGAATTTCTCCTTGCGTTGCTTCATTTGTTTTCCTCATTTTCAACTCCCCTTTATCATCGGGGTTGTCCATGGTAATGTGAGTTTGTAGCTAGCTAATCGTCTGGTTGTTATTGTTGTGTTTTCACGTGGTGTTAACAAATCTTCTTGGTTTTTTTGTTCCCCTTGTTCGTACAAATGACGCGTCTCTTTTGCCCTCTGGTATAACGAGGATTTATGCTTGTCGTGTAAATTTACTGAAGCTTTGTCACCATCAGTCCCTCCTGCCAGGTGAGCGAGGTGGCCAACAGTGCATTAAGGTGTGTCAAAAATGGATTTCCACGGAGAATTGGATTACCAAGCGCTATAAAAAAATAAAAGATAGAAGAAAACGAAAGGCCCAGAAGAATAGCCACAGATGTAGTCGCTCGACAGGTAAATAGATATGTGACAATATTATGTGTCTAATTTATTCATAAACATACATTTAATTTAGTCTTAAACATGATCCCATAACTCAACTCTTTCTGTTAATGTCAACCTTAATGCTAACTGATCACCTACCCCTGTCTGTGTTTCAGCTAACAGTCATGTCCATTGAATACACCATTGACATCCAACTAACGGAGTTGGGATTTCCAGAAATTCTGCAGCCCGTGGAGACCCCGGTTGGAGAAACACCATGTCCCCCCACATCATCTGATCACTCATCCAGTCACTCTCCCACAACCCTTTCAACCGCACACAAGCGAAGCCTGCTGGACAGAGGCAAGCAGTCAGTTGATGGTAAAGAAACAGGTGCAGCAAAACAGACCTCAGATACTGAACAAAGCACAGTGGTTTCTACATCGCCTTGCAGACCTCTAAATCATGCACAAAGTCTACAAGATGAGCAAACGGGCAGCGGCACAGCACTGATTGATCTGACAGCTGGACAAGAACACGCAGACCTCCCACAGCTGATAACTAAACAGGATGACCACAGAGAGACAGGTGTTGACCGCGGAGACACTGCACGAGAGGGTTCGACAGAGGTGCGGCAGGATGCAGAGGACGACTCAGATGACAGTGAGGTTTCAGAGGTCTATGAGGAAGAAGAGGTCGATGAGGACGAGGATGATGAGGATGAGGAAGGACTAAACAATGGTGTGACTCATTCACTTCTGACTCTCTCATGAGCATAATATCCATTACATGTTAGTTTATAACATATGTATATTAATCCACTGCTAAAAATGAGGGCTGCATGATATGGGAAAAAAAATCATATTGCGATTATTATGACAGATATTACAATTTAAGAGTCACAGTTAGTGGGATTGATCATGTTTGCATCACAGTAATTATTTTCACTGAAAAAAAAAACTATTAAAATCATGAAGGTATGACTTTTGTTGGGGTCTGTACCAAACATACATTGTTTTATTACATCTGGAGAACAGGATTTGTAGGCGGTGATATCTCTGCAGGATTACAGTACTTCATTATAATGCTGTTTTGTCACACCTTTTACCTTCAATTTGGCTATTGCGATATCAATAATATTTTGATTAATTGTGCAGCTCTACTAAAAATACAACCCAACAAATGTATTGTTTGCTCTTGCTTAAGTAAAATTTGCTACAAACTACAGTGTCTGGCTGTTTTAGGACATGCTTTTAGGACATGACACGCTTATTGGAGAGAAAATAAGTAAATATTTATAAATTTTTATTTTTATATTTAGTTTTTAAACGTAAACAAATGGGCTTAGGGCTGAGTGCCACAGACAAAAGCCATAGCTTTTAAAACTGATAAGGTGAAACCAAATGTACGCTGATATGATAGTAAATCTCTAATTACTCCTAATAACTTATCAGTTTTTCTCCTGCCTGCTGAGTGTATGTCTTCACTCATGATATAACCTTTAACACTTGCCACACTTACAATTTCCTTCTCTTTTCCACAGAGTTGAGTCATTTGGGCGACTGCCACTGCAGTGTCTGTGATCTCCAGCTGCCCTCCAAATTCAAGCTCCAGGACCACATGAACCTGCACACCGGAGCACGCCCGTACTGCTGTGCTGAATGTGGAAAGCGCTTCTGCCAGATTTACAACTACCGTGTCCATCTGCGCACGCACGCCCAGACCAAAGTGGATCGTCTCATGTGCCGGGTCTGTCTGAAGGGCTTTGCATCACAGGAAGATCTGAAAGACCACTTGTCAAGAACTCACTTGGAGAATGAGTTTTACGAGTGCGACCTGTGCAAGCGCGTGTTCACTTCCCTGAAGGCGTGTGAATATCATGTGCAGTTACACAAATGCATGTTGAATGTTGTTTGTGAAGTGTGTGGCCACAACTTCTCCTCGCCAAAATCCCTCGCGCGCCACCGGAGGAAGAGGTGCCATCGCAATTTTAAATGCACAGACTGCCCAAAGACCTTCACGAAGAAGAATGCTCTCCTGAAACACAGCTTTTCCCATCTTGGTTTGTTGCCGTACACCTGTATACGTTGCCGCTGCCACTTCCGCCTGGCAAAGCTGTACCGGCAGCACAAGTGTGAACCTGAACGCATTCACTGCGTGGCGTGTCTGAGGGAGTTTCTCAGTCAGGAGGACTTCCAGCAGCACAAAAAGGACACAGGCTGCTGGGGCAACCAGGAGCCTAAAGGGGATGAGATTAGATGTTTGGAGTGTGGACAGAGATTTGACACTAAGGAAGAGCTGAAGAAACATGCCGGGGCTCACCAGAGGGTGCTCAAATGTGCCGACTGTGGAAAGGGGTTCCGGTCGGCCTTGCTGTTAATGTCCCACATGGGCGGTCATGCCGGGAAGTCCCCCTGCCTTTGTCAAAGCTGTGGACTGGGCTTTCCCCACCAGCAGAACTATGACAGCCACCTTAAGACTTGTGGACAAACCCCCCAGCCTGCGGTGAGTGTGGCGCACTATGGTGATTTACAGTAGGCTAGTTTTAAAGGAACAATATATTTGTTTATTTTGCCCACTAAATACAAATTACACCTGTACTTTGCTGCAGCAAGTTAAACTACTGGAGGTCTGAGCAAGAACAAGAACAAGATTTTCAAAGGGATTAAGTTACTGATAAAAAAAACAACAACTTTGAATGATTCAACTGTATATGAAAATGAAATTGCAGGGATGTGAAAACACCTTGAGTTAGGTAATCCTTAACTATGCATGTTGTCAGCTTCATTTTGTTATCAGTGTTAAATTATTGCCATTGAAGGTAAGAGTAGAAACTTGTGGAACTCTTGTGAATGTCATGAACTTTTGAACTTTTGGGGTATTTAAGACTAATTTGAGGCTGTGAAATGAGACCTGCAATGAAGAGAATGCAACCTGGAGCTCAGAGACAACCTGAGCCAGAGTGGAAGCACATGTGTGTATATATAACTGTGTCATCTGTATAGAGATTATACTGTTAATTTGTGTATCATAGGAGTCGTCGAATGTCTTTTGATTGTTGTGGATGTGTCTGGTGTCCTTATCTGTAACTCTGTAACTCTGCTCTGTCAATATGCTGCTACTCTGGCCAGGTCTCTCTTGAAAAAGAGGTTTAAATCTCAATGTGATTATCTGGTTAAAAAAAGGAGGGGGGGGCTTTAAAACACTTGTGTTTTGTTCAATTCATTGAGTGACTGGGATGTTTATGTTGTTTGTCGTTTCAGAGTGTTCCCAAAAAGCGCCAGGCCTCGAAGAGCTCTTCATCTGAGACTAAAAAGCTCAATGCAAAACCAGACTCGTGGAATCCAACAAACACAGTCACCACGCCTTCTACTGTTTCAAGCAACCTGGCTGCACCAGCAAAGGATTCTCATAGTTCATGTCTGACAGGGGATGCGTCTGCTGGCTCTGGTCCAACAGATGGATTATGGAAACTAACCCTTGACAAACAGCCTCCTCCAGGTGTTAAACTTGTCTTGTTTCTTCCTGTCTGCCCAACTCAAACGAATGGCCTGACACTCCCATCTGCAGTCTCTCCGACATTATTAGGTCCAGCTATCCAGCCTCAAGTAGCCCTGGATTTGGTTACTGGGATTAAACAGTATCTAGAATGTGAAGCACCTCTGGATTTGTCCAATAAGTCTAGCTTGTGTAACTCTGCTCTGAGCGACGTTCCTTTTCTTCCGATTAAAAGTGAGCCAGAGGGATGTGACATCTCATTGAAGGCTGATGGAACTGAAAGACAAGAATTAAAAAACAGAGATAGCAGAGCGGTTGTTAAAACAAATCCTGGAGAGACAGATACATTTTCTGAAGTGAAACAGGTTCAAATGGATCCCATGGATCTCTCCTTTAATGTTAGTACATCATCCTCTGGACTAATAATAGACATTAAGAAAGAGCCCCAGTCACCTGGTCCTGATTTTGAATCATGGTCATCCAGATCTTGTCTACTGGCGGGGAAAGAAATTAAGATGGAGGTTGACATTTCACGCACTTCTTATGCAGATATAGAGAAAAAAACTTAAACATTTTCTGTGTAAATCTTGCAAAGGTCTCCCCTTCTGTTGTCTACCTGTAGGCACATAAACTAAATATGGAAGTGTTATTCTACAGGCAAAGAAATTATGTGATATCTAAAATCATACCTTTTTATATGATAAAGCAGAATTTTATTTTAGAATTTCTACTTTTTCCACTATTATCAATAGACTCTCGCTGAAATCCAGGGTCTTTCTAGCAGTCAAATGTGTGATTTGATTTACAGTAAAAAAGATTTTTGTTTCTTCTGTTATTAAAAACATTCCAAGCTCTTGCTTTTTATGGCATTTGTTTTATTTGCATTTTGGGAAATGCTTGTGGCTTGAGCCACTGGAGCAAAGTGGTACTTTAATAGTCAGGAAGCCTATGCAATATTTCTCACAGTAAAAAAAATATTCTTGATTTCTACCTTGTGCTTATTTTTTGCATGATGAAAATATTCATGTGTGTTAAGTTGAATGAAAACACTGGATTTCAGTAACTCGACATGATGTGCATTTTTCTGTATAGGGACTTTTAGTACTATGTTAAATATTTAATAAATGCAAATAATGGTACTGATCAATTATATGAGATGTGACCCTGTGTTTTTTGCTGAATCTTGACAAACTTCAGGTATCTTATGATGTTTTTCTAAAGGTAAATAAACATTTATCGTTGGTGCCTGATCAGTTAATATCTTGTTGACAGCAGTTTCTTTTGCCTTATGTGTGTGCGTGCATTCGAGAGACCAAACCCATGTTTGCCTTGTTAGACTGTTGGCACTATAAAACTATTCCATTTAAAAAGCACTACAGTGCACCATGTAAGTGTACAGATATCGCTCTCCTTATACAGAAACGCTCAGAAATAGCTTACAAGTAAGTACTTCACTGGAAACTAGATCAAAATATTGATCTGGAAGGTTCAACACTTTCCTTTTAAAAAGTCTCCTGCTTTCACTGAGATATCCCATCCTATTTTGCAAATCGTTATCATCACACAGATAATTCTAATGGATATTGATGTTCCCATGGGGATTTACTGTATAGTGCTTACAGCATTTAATAAGTGAGTCTAGTTATCATGGTAACTGTGGTTACATTTTAAAAATTATGAAAATATGAACGAAATTAATTTTGGGTAATTAATCACTTTCAATAGGAAAAATCCAAACACCCAACAAGGGTTAAATGACTAAAGGTCACTTGTTTTGTTTTTTTCTCACATAACAAATTTTGATATATATATATATATATAAGAAATATATTTAAATAACTATGATATACGCTTACTTTTTAAAGTTTTAAAAACATTGATTGAATGTTTGTTCAGTTATGTTCAGTTCACTTGTTTTTATACTGTTCAAGTGAATACGGTATGTTTTTTTAGGAAGAAGGATGTCACGTGATTAAAAAACCCGGAAATATAATGTCTGCTACGTGACGAGATGTTTTAACGGGAGTAGGCTTACGTTACAGTCGAGATGTAATAATGACATAAAGAACGTGCTTTTTTAAAATTTATGTTTTTTTGAACCCCAGTGTCTGACATACTGAAATCGTTGATATAAAGCTAAGCACGTCGGTCTGGCGACAACAACAGCGTTTGTTTAAATTCATGGACAAAGACCAGTGTAGCGACATTGTAAGTAGGCGAAACCGCTATTTAAATCAGCCGAATTTGAGAGGGACCAGAGTTTTCAGCTAAAGTCATGAAGCCCCTAGTCGTTGTAACTTTTGTTTATTCATACACCAAATGCATTCAGACTGTGCCTTGTACTTCTTGCAGCAAGGTCAGTGCTCCTGGATGGAGATGCATCAGTTCATTGGTGACCTTCTCACATCTGGAAACACCTCCAAGGACCAGCCAGATGTGCTAAACGCAGCATGGGGCATGGCTGCTGCTGCTGCTGGTGGTGGTGGTGGTGAGGCTCTTGGGTTCAAAAGTGCTTCACTCGGTCTTCTAGAACAACGTCGACCTGCCCAGGACAAGTCAGAGGCAGAGCCTGGCCAGCAGATCCAGCTTGGGGCATTACAAAGAAAGGGGGAGGACAGAGACAGGAGAGAAGGTTAGAGCTCAAAATAAGGATTGTTTTGATTTTCTTGCTAAAATACTTGTAAGCTAATTCATGTTTCTTTTATGTCTAGATGTGCATTATGCCTGCACCTGCCCCGGCTGCCCTTACTTCACTTCTCCACCTTCCTTTGAGACTTTAAAACCCAGACAATCTTTGTTCTTGCCACCACGCTCAGATACAGTTTGCCACCACTTACCGGACACTGAACCAAGCAGCACCACTGCATCGGAGTTAGAGACCAGGTCGTCCAGCCGACCGCAGAGGGAAGACGCAGACAGTGGGACTCGGACCCCGGACAACAACTCAGACACTCCTCCTTCCAGATCGTCCTCAGGCTCCATGTCCCACCTCTCCATGTTTCCTTGCTTGTGTTGCCACCGCAGCCTACAAACCTGCGCTCAGATACTGAGCCACCAGGAAGGCACCGACCCCCCGTTTTCTCACACCCATGCCCATCATCATTTTCATCACCACCACTGTCCTATAAGTTCTTGTTTACCCTGCCCCCAGCTTGGCCGCTCTCACGCCTCACAGCTCTCTGGCCCTCTTCCCTGCTTGTCCTGCCAGCGCTCCTTTCCTACCTGTACTCAGGTGTGCCATCACCAGCACAGGCCAACACACACTCAGCAACAAGAGGAAAGAGGTAGGGCGGCTACGACCGTGTTGTTGCTACATCCCTGCATGCACTGCCCTGCCTCTTTTTCCAGACCGTCCCAGTTGCTGCAGCACCAGCGCTCTGAGCACGCCCACAAACCGTCCGGCTTCCTCTGCACTGAGTGCGGCAGGGCCTTCAACTCGCACAGCAACCTCCGCATCCACCTAAATGTGCACACTGGTGCTCGGCCCTACTCCTGCTCTGACTGCGGGAAAAGTTTTAGCCAGTCGGGGGCTCTGAAGATCCACAGGCGCATTCACACAGGTGAAAGGCCCTATTCCTGTCGATTTTGCGGCAGGGGTTTTCCCCATCTGGCAGGGGTCCGGGCCCATCAGAGGACCCACACAGGGGAGAAGCCCTACCGCTGTAGCCAGTGTGACAAATGTTTCACCCAGTCAGGAGCTCTTAAGATCCATACCCGCATCCACACAGGAGAGAGGCCCTTCATCTGCAGCCTCTGCGGGAAAGGCTTCTCCAACCGCTCCGGCATCCGCTTCCACTACCGCACAGTCCACGGTCTTGCCCCGGAACATGCTGGAGAAGCTGCAGCTGGGGTTGCACCTCGGGGGCCGGCCAGCCGCGGTTATCCACCTGGGCGTCCCAGGACTTTTCCTCCAGCCGGCGTTGAGCTAAATACACCAAACAACCTGGAGAGCAACCCACATACTGCTCCAAGCTCCAGAGATTCTCCTGCTCATCCTGGCCCCGCGCCGCTCAGCGGTAATGAGAGCAAGTCTCAGCCAGAGGCAGCAAACCGAGGCAGTGACAGAGTGGGGCTCTTGTATGCGTGTGAAGACTGTGGCCTGCGTTTTAAGGATGCCCCGTCCAGGAACAGACACCAGACTCTGATGCACTACTCCTCTGAGGGGAGAGAGGAGGAGGAGACGCAGAGGAAAGAGTTAAGCACAAATGAGAGGGTCCGTGATAACAGTGGAGAGTGAATTAATCAAATCACCAGAGGAAAGTGTATATAGTACAGTGTTGAAATGATTTGTGTGAATTATATTCTGTAGTTAATTATTACTATTTAAAAAGCCTTTGATATTCCACAACTTCTTCTCAAGCTATTCTATAGATAGATAGAACTTACAAATATGTAACACCTTAAAATGATTTCAAGGTGAGATTATGTTATGTTCAGAAACTCAACCATGCCGGTTTTCACCTTCAAAAGGTTTTGTACAATTTCTGATTCGATCCAAGTTTGTACGTCAGATTGTTTAACATTTCTCTATCAGTGAGAAATCCAGCTGTTTGTGCGGATTCATCACCACGACAGGCTTTCAGTCCATCTTTAAATAACCTTAAAACACCTTGCAATCACACACCAGGCCCACTTCTACAGTATTTTTCTTAATACGGTTGTTTTATTGTGCCTTATTCAGCAGTGGAATGACAGATTTGATCTTTAAGAGTGTTTTGTTTCACAAACCTTTCAAAATGCCAAAATAAAGTCAAACACACAAAATTACAGACCCAGTGTCTTTTAGGAATTTTTTTTTTTAGACATAATGAAGGACTACCACTGCCACCTGACCCTTATTATACAAAATGCCTTGTAATGGTAAAAAATTAAATTTTCTACCCTTTTCTATTTTCTTCTTTTGAAATTTTCCTTTAAGGGGAAAAGTTTGACCAGCAATGCCATATCAGTTTACTTAAATTACTTTCTTTAGTTTAACAGTTGTTTTTTCCCCATACAAAAGAAAATCCAATGGACTTTGAATGGCATAGAAAATTAAGTAAATGTATGTAGAGTATACAGCTTTAATTTTATATAACTGTTTAGGTGTTTCTCACTTGTGGGAAAGTTGCTGTATAGTGGTAAAACAAATAAAAAGACAGCCACGTACTGGATGTTAAGGTAAAACTCTAAACCCCTCAAAGGGAAAATAAATCTATCAGGCTCTGGAGTTTGGTTGAGGTATGTGTGTCTAGCTCAAGAACAACATCCCCTTGCCTGTTGTGCCTTCCTGTGATATGCTAATAATCCAAGCATTTATTTTAAACCAATGTCTGTTTGTTACTTTACAATGTATGTTAGAAATAGAAGACAATTATCTGAGGAATGAGAACCAGCAGACAAATAATTACACAATCCATTGTTATTAGATGTTTAAAGCTCAAGAGAGCCACCTAGTGGTTACACATAATCATAGCAACAGTCTTAACCACTTTGTTACAGTGTATCATTTCTAGTGTTTGTTAATGTTTCTTCTTCTAATTCCTTCCTTTTTTTTTTTTTTTTTACAAAACATGTTGATATTATACATTGTGAATACGATGTTTGGTGAGGACAAGTAACATATTCAATCCACTTTTGTTTGCATTAACCTGTTAAATAGAATGAAGCATACATTGCTGTATGTGTTTCTTTTCTTTTGAAAGTGCAGCTTGTGATTAAACATTTCATCAATAAAACAGTATCTCTGAGACACAAGTGAACCTGCATTTTCTTTGTGCATCACAGGATATTTCCAATACATACTTCCTGGGAGAAAATATTTGCATTCATATGGCTCTAAGAGCGTTGTGTACAGAGTGATGTTCACTCCTATATGCATAGTGGTCCAAAGTGACTTCTCAATTTTGGGTCCATCACTCCCTGGAAGTTCAGCTCTGTCAGCATTAGTACAGTCTGGACAACGCTGCTCAGCTTGAAACCATTTGAGATCACTCCAAGATCCCAACACACCTTTTAGCTCATTAGTCTATTTTTTTTCCACGCCTGAGCTTGGTTTGTTCACAAAGGCTCCTCATAGGTGTGCTTCTGTAGTAAAGAGTCACATGACTTTGGCTCTGCATAGACCACACTGACTGGCCGTGGGCCAGTGGCATGTAGAGCAGGAGTGCAGTAGCCATTGGATAGCATCCTGTGTGAGGGGCAGTCATACTGAGCGCGGCTGGACGTTGTCCTGGAACCAGCGGTAAGTCCTGGTAAAGGAGGTCCATGTGACTCGGAAAGCTGCTCACTGAATGGGGTGGCATACTCGGGCTCTGGGGGAAGAGGCTCGGCGTACTCTGGTAGGTTGTCAGGAGTATCATAATGGTTGATGATGAAGGGGGTGGTGTAGCCCTCATCTGAGGAGGGTCTAAAGGTTGACCCAACCTTCTGTCCAATGGCTGCGACAGCAGGCTCGGCATAGTCTGGAAAGATGAATAAATTGGAAAATTAGTCAAAACCAGTATGAGATTGTATTTCTATTTATTGAAGATGCAACAAACAATGGTTAGACGATCTATATATATCTACATCTGCCAATCTGTGGCAGGCCTACTCTTATTTCTGCAGGTACTGTCAGCTCTGAGCAGTTGCCAGACAACCAGCAGGGACTCCAGGAAGTTACTGGTCCCTGCCACGAAATAATGACCCCTCGTAAAGCAGTGAATAGTCTTTTTTACACCAAAGTTTTTGTACGGATTAAACAAACAAAACAAGCAGTAATTGGAGAGCTTTAAGCGGATTTTGTTGCTGTTGCTAGACTAGCAGTCTTTGTGCTAAGCTAAGCTACGCAACCGGTCGGTGGTATCAGTCTTCTCATTGAAAACTCCAAGAAAGTGAATAAGCACATTTCCCAAAAATGAATATCTCGGAATCCCAGAATAGTGTTGGACTCTCGCAGTTTGCCTCAATCACTGAAACATTAGCAGCTACATTCACCTGTTTTAACTGATACCTTTGTCCTTGTTATGTTTCATTTGTCACCTTATAGTATCACTTATTTGACTCCTGGTTGCAATTATATTTTTTTAATTAGTATTTTATCAAGTAACTACAACTTTTTACACTTATTTTGTATGTATCCCTCTAATGATACTGTTGTTTGCATGGTAAATAAAAGTATCTTTCAATCCACTGAGTGTCACATAATAAAACTGTCAAATAACCAGGATTAAAGTATAATCTTTAAGTCATTTTTAATTACCTTAAAGTACCGTTTCCAAACATTTTGGCTGTTTAACACAGTATAGTAGATTTTATTTACAATACGGGGGTGGAGAGCAAGACACTTAACCCCTAGTTGCTCCAGAGCCTTGCGACCTCTGAAATAAATATCAATTGTAAGTCGCTTTGGATAAAAGCGCCAGCTAAATTAATAAATGTAATGTAATGTAATATATCCCTTCCTAAGGTCAAGACTAAACCTCTACGCACCTTTCAAACAGGCATGTCAAAAAAGCTTAAGCCATTTTAGTTATTATCTTCAAGACTCCTAGCATCAGGATGAAACAATATGTAAATGAAATGTCGGGCATTTTACGAGCTTTAAAACATATTGGAGCATCCCCACTAATACTCCATTACTGTGATGAACATGTTATTAAATGGGTATGACTACATCAACTTTACTGCATGGCAGCATCCTTTCACAAAGGAGAAAATATCTTTTGAGATCAATTGCTTATTTGCATCTTCCGCTGCAATTTCTGGGAAAGGCTTCTCTTCCACTCAATAGCAGTCTCATCCCAGGCCAATTTTGAGTATCCTGCTTGGCCACCAACAATGTCTCCTCTAACCACAGGGACGGGGGGGGGGGGGTGACAGTGTAACAGTCAGATTCAACCACAACCTACTCTTCACTCCCAGAAGAGGCAGTGGTGTGGGAGGCCTAGACCTTACTCAAGAGCCAGAGCTATTTTAATTAGACAGGCTTTGGTGAGGGCTTTGATTGTCTTAGCTTTGACCCTCTGTCCTGTTTATCACTGGACCTCTCAGTGAAGGGCCCCCTCGCTGGGGGAGGGGACGGGGGAGGCAGAGAGGGCGACTGATGGTGGTGTTGGTGGGGGAGGCTCAGCGCTCTTTATCGAGCTCCAATTAAAGGGTCTCTTTCAGAGAGGCTCCGTGAACCAAAGAAAGGAATGTTTATACTGCGACTGGGTGATGGGTTGAGCCGGGGAAAAGAATGGACAGCCCGTGGAGAGAGCTGTTTGCCTGTCGGGCCTGGCATGAGCTCCTCATACTGACCACTGAAGCCTGTGACTGTTGGAAAGATGGAGGAGGGAAGGAGCTCACAACTTGAGATCCCCAGTAAAAACTGTGAATGGGCAATGAAATGGCTAGCAAAAACCGGCAGAGGCCAATAATAACAGTGGTAAAACTGAGGTGCAGCAGTGCTCTGTTAGAAAAGTCAAAAGTTATTAAATATTTCTCACCATTAAGAGGAGGGCTAGGTAAAGCATCGTGGACATTTCGCTCAAGAGGGTAGGAGATAAGACCTGACTGTGGGCAGGGGAGACTCTTCGCCTGGAAACTCTGACAACCTACTTGACACACAGACACAGTAAGGGGCTTTTGGAAGACTGGAAAATGCTGGAAAATGGTTAAAGAGCACTTGACTTACTTGTGGGTAAGGAGTACTTCAATTGTGAATCTTTCTTCCTATATAGAGAAGGAGATGAACACGAAGCTTAAAGTTTTGTACATAGTAGAGACTGGAGCATCACCACTACAGCTGAAACGATTAGCTGATTACTTGGCTGGCCGAAATATAACATGCAACTATTTTAGTAATCCATTAATGGTTTCAGTAATTATTTAGGCAAAAAATATTTATGCCAAATATGTTTATTACTTAGGTATGAATAAAATAATAGCTTTTAATATATAGCGACAGTATAGTGTGTGCAAACTGTACTTAGAAAACAAATACATTCTAAAAAGGTCAACAGTATTAATATACAGTACCTTCGCTTCCACCAGACTCCAACCAACAAACAACTGCCGCACATTAACAGTGCCAGGACCACTCCCACTGCCACTATTACTGGTTGGCTAGAACCTGCGGGATGGTAAGTGTCCGAGTAAGTAAACGGTTGTACAAATGTGTGGAAGGAATGCAGTTTATTGCAATGTTCGCAACGGTGGATGTGAGAGGATTCATTCTTCTCACATGTATTGATGATTTGACATGTAGTCTTACTACATGTCAATAATTCTCACTGTACACATGTGAAATAGGAAAGTGATAAAAGTACACACTCAGTCTTGTCTCCACTAACACTGGGCCCTCTGTGGGGGTGGGAGTGGGGCCGGGGCGTGGCGTCCCCATGTTAACTTTGACATGTGGTGATTCTGTTGGACAAGTAGCAGGACAGGACATTATAATATCAGGAGTACAGACATGAATTCACACCACTAGAAAGATCATAGTAACAGATAAAGGTTTTTTTGGACAAGTAGTGAGAATACGCACCAGCTGCTATGCCAGACCTTGGTGTGACCTTGGCAACAGGACAGCCAAGAACTTGGAGCTGAACTGAGGCTCGGCCGTGCCAGCTCAGTGGTTGTAGCCTGACAAACCGAGCAACCACAGGAGGAAATAAGCTGTTGATAACCCTGAGGTGGCCAGCAGTATAGGCCTGAAACACCTGGGGGCCATAATAACAAAGTTACTAATTCACAGAGAACACCAGAAAGCCCACAGTGTAAACTCAGTTGCCACAGCTCCGTTGGGGCCTCAGTAAGAACCATTAAGTGAACATCTGCAAGTGCAATGCATACCTTTCTTTCTTTGCTGAGAGCCTGTTTGTAAAGCTTCCAAATCTTTCTGTCTTTGCTGAAAAGAAGAATATAGGATTCTATGTAGAACTCATTTGTTCCAGTTGTTATTATTCCTGAAAAAAACAAAACAACAACAATCAGGACACAACATTTTGATTGTTCAATATTTGAGATGTGACGAAAGTGGTTTCACATAATACAGCGAGACACTGTGGAAATAAAATAAACACACACATTGTAATATAATAGTAATGGTAACATTTTAGCCAAGTTAAACATTTAAAAAATAAGTTGGGGGATTTTCTATATTTTTTCTCATTGACAACAAATCACATGAAAAAAACCAAAACCAACAATGTGTTGAGCCCCATCTCAATAGTACTGGACCTCCCCAAGCCCAGTGGCTTCCTACTGAAGATGTACAGTGGGTATGGAAAGTATTCAGACCCCTTTAAATTTTTCACTATTTGTTTCATTGCAGCCATTTTCCAAAAATCAAAAAAGTTCATTTTATTTCTCAGTAATGTACACTCAGCACCCCATCTTGACAGAAAAAAAACAGAAATGTAGAAATTTTTGCAAATTTATTAAAAAAGAAAAACTGAAATATCACTTGGTCATAAGTATTCAGACCCTTTGCTCAGTATTTAGTAGAAGCACCCTTTTGATCTAATACAGCCATGAGTCGTTTTGGGAAAGATGCAACAAGTTTTTCACATCTGGATTTGGGTATCCTCTGCCATTCCTCCTTGCAGATCCTCTCCAGTTCTGTCAGGTTGGATGGTAAACGTTGGTGGACAGCCATTTTCAGGTCTCTCCAGAGATGCTCAATTGGGTTTAAGTCAGGGCTCTGGCTGGGCCATTCAAGAACAGCCACGGAGTTGTTGTGAAGCCACTCCTTCGTTATTTTAGCGGTGTGCTTAGGGTCATTGTCTTGT